CCATAATGCAATCGTGGAGCAGTACAATCTGTGCTGAGTATCACCTATGATTCCGTTTCGTTCAAGATGGGTGACTAGGGGATAATTTACCTGTAGGTGAAACACCTAGGAAATATAGGAAGAGAGAAACATACTAAAGTACACCACCAGTCAGCAAAAGCAGGCCCTCCGTAGCTACTGGCCCAGTGACTGCAGTAGATATAGATACTGGAGTCTGGACTAAAGAATGAGAAGGAGGGCCTGGGAACATTTCAGTAGTAGAGAGTTTGCTCAGTATTCACAAAGCCCTGGGTTCAATCTCCACTGCTGAAGGAAAGAAAATGGAGTGGGTGAAGGAAGAAAGGAAAGAGAAGATAAAGAACAGACAAAACAGCCAGATGCAATGGTTTGGGGAATGGTTCCTAGTTTGGATAAAGAAGCTAGAAGGGACATTTGGAAGATATCTGAAGACTTTGAATGATATGTTGACTATCAGATGATGATTAAATATAATTATTAATTTTACATGTGAAAGTTGTTTTGCTAAATAATAAAGAGACACACACAATGTCTCTAGGGTAATTTTTGCATACATCACATGGCTAGACATTACATGTGAAATGAACTGTGACATCCAAGCCACCTTGGGAATGAGCTGTGTACAGATGTTGTCAGGTATTAGCTGACAATATGAGTTTAAGTACTGAGCACAAAGTCTGTAGGTGTTCTAAAGGTTGAAGTCTGAGGGTGAGTGCGAGATGAAAATGGCATAAAGTATTGAGTTCAAAATATCAACAAAGATGTTATTGCAGGAAGATAAGCTAAAGGGGGTCACAGTGTGTGATGCATTGTAATGCTGCCATCAGAACCCAATTTCCACCTATTACCAATGTGGGTGTATGGAAATAATTTTTCCGCTAGTGTTACCCCAAATCTTAATTGAATAGTATAAATGTGTCACCAAGAGGAAATGGTAAAACAAATCATATATCTATGTGAAGTACTGTAAGCCATTGGCAGTTAAAATTTGGGTTGAAGTTGTCTTTCGAGTTGCTATTCCATAATGCAAAACCAAGTTCATGATAAAATGTTCAATGCGGGGCATACAACTCTGTCATATCAAAGTCCCGGTTTTATGTAAGGCAGGTATTTAACCTTGGGACTTGTTGAGGGTTGTTTACTGTAGCCCTAGGAGCATTGTTAAGTTTTAAAAATTAGAAAATATGAGTATGGGGAGACAGAAAACAAGGTGTTGGGCTGACGCGTGGGGTGATATTGTTGTCAGTTTAACATGAAGCAATAGGTTCTCTTACCACATTGGCACATGTGGTAAATTTTCTGACTCAATGGTAAGGACTTTTAAGTTTACTCATCTTCAAAGCTGAAAGTTGAAGAGTTGAAGCCCTTTTGCCCTTTTCAGAATGACTAATCCCCTGAGAGCCTCCTTTTTTTTTTTTTTTTTTTTTTTTTAACCAAGTAAGGGACTTACAGTTGGCCTGAAAAGGTGACTTTATTCTCACTGGTGGGACTTGCAGAATGAAACCCAGTCCTCAGGCAGAGTGTCTGACTGTTGTCTGTGGCTTACCCAGCAGAGGCTTCTGTTTACATGCATACACACACATACACACTCACACAATCACACACACAATCTTTCTCACACAATCTCACACACAATCTCACACACATACAATCTCTCATACATAAAAATACACAGTCACACAACACTCACACAAGCACACACACAATCACACACAATCTCTCTCTCACACACACACAATCTCACACACATACAATTTCTCATACATATTCATACAGTCACATACACATTCACTCACAAACACACAATCACACACAACACTCACACACACTCACACACATAGTCATATACAATCACAGACACAATCTCTCTCACACACACAACTTCACACACATATACATACAGCCACACACACACACACACACACACACACACACAGTGACCATTGCTTATAAAGAAAAGACACACACACATCAAACTAGAGAATATGAGAAACTAGAAGGGAGATGGGATAAAAGGGACTTTTCTTACTCTGTATATTCTTGTATTGGGGGATTCTTTTTACAATAGTATGTATTCATTTAGTCCCTATGTAAAAAAAAAATGAAAAGCAGAAAGAAATCCATCCACTCCTGGTAGAAATATATAAATGATTGTTATCTGAAAACAGCAGTTTTTCAAAAAGTTAAAAAAGGTCATTGTAGGCCCCAGTTTCTCCATTGCTTTTTTACCCAAGAGAGAAACACATGTCCACACAAAGACCTGAACAGAATGCCAAATATATAGTGAGATCTGTCTCAAAAACAAAACATAAATGGTAAAAAATGAATACATAAAAAGAAGTCAGACAACAAAAGAATAAACACTATATATATATATATATATATATCAATTAATAGAAACTGAGCTATGATAGAAAGAAATCGATGATTGAACAGACACAGAAGTCCAGAGAGGTTGGAGCACAGTGAGAATGATACATATTTAATATAGAAAAATTTGAATAATATGAGGATGGATGAAAATAAAAGACTACTTACTTCCTTGAAAAGGCAGTTACTAACAGTCCCTGTAAATGTCCCTATTCAGAATTTCCCCTGGGAACCTGCTGTGTTAGTCTGTCTACCTGCTGTTCCTGAAGAATCGCCCCAAGGGACAGGAATTAAATGAGATTTGAAGAAGGTCAGTGTTGCTGAAGGTGAGCCCCAACCCTTAGGAGTGGCGCTGTCCACGTGCCCTGGAGATCGGTGGCGATGAGGCTCAGGAGGAGCAGTTTTTTCTCAAGTGGATTTTCCCCAGCTTTCTGTTGAAGTTCAGGGCTGCACAAGTGAAACTTGCTGGAAACCACTATCTGCACAGCGTGGTGGTGGCAAACCATAAATCATATTGGCTCCCGAGGAGGTGGGACAGTCTTAGAAGCATCTGAACTAGCAGCCCAGTTCCGATTCTCACAGTTACCAGAAATGTTTTGTCACACACACACACACACACACACACACACACAGATATGGAGGCAGAGACAAAGACAGAGACAGAGACGGAGGGACAGAGGTGGGGAGAACGTTTGTTCATTAATAAGGAGAAAGATGAATAAGAATATATAACTACATACATAGATTCAGAAAAGTTCCCAATACAGCTTTACTTAAATGGTAGCATTCCCTTTTATAGCTAAACAAAGGAGCAACTTGCCCAAAACCCTTAACCCCTCTCTGTTTAGGAGGGCTACCTTGAAGGAGACCTCATTCCCACACGTCCGGCTGTCTTGCTGATCAGCATTGTTGTGGTCCAGCATCATGGGCATTGTCTGGAAGCTTATGGGAAGGGAGACTCAGATTCCACCCAACACTGGTCAACTCAGAACACGGTGTTTTGTTTTGTTTGTTTGTTTTTTCAAGACAGGGTTTTGTTGTGTAGACCTGGTAGTTTTGGAACTCACCTGTAGACCAGGCTGACCTCAAACTTACAGAGCTCCACCTACCTCTGCCTCTCAACTGCTGGGCTTAAGGGCATGTGCTACCATGCCTGGCTAGAATTTGTATTTTAATAAGATCCTCCTATTAAAGTCTGATCAGGAGACCAGAGCAAAGAGACACAGCCACTGAGAAGAGACAAAGGGCTCGAGCTAGCAGGTCTTGTGTCAGAGTGCTAAATAAAGTGTAGGAAGAGGGATAAGCAGGAAGTGGGGACTGGACACAGAGGCCACTGTTGGTGGGCAATGCTGACACTACTTAGAATGGAGGATATTGGCCAAACCGTCCTGCGGTTCACCAGGCCTCCAGGTGTCTCTTACAGCACATTTGCCCTGGGAAGCTCTCGCTCAATAATGTGACATGCATATTGTCATTATCTGTCTCGGTGGGGCTTCTTCATCTTTCTTAAGAAGAGGCTATGGAGGAAGCAGTGTCTGCCATACTATATCCAAAGGGTCTCTTGGTCCTTGTTTTTGTACTCTTTTGTTCCTCTTAGAAAATGCCACCAGTGTCTCAGTGAAGTAAGTAGTTGTATGCTATCCTGGGCTATGACCCAGCCCCCACTGGACATTTAATAGAAATGTCGCTTGTGTTGAGTTGGAAATTGCCTAATCTTTGATAAACACTTCTTTTGGGGGAAGGTGCCAGGAATCAGTGTGAGTAAAGTCTGGGAAAAGCATGGCAGAGAATATAAAATTTCTCTCACTTGGGAGCCTCAAAGTCTCCATCTTACTGAAATAAAAGTCTATCCCAGAGAAAAGTGATCACCCTGAGGTCGGGGAGAACTCGAGGTGACATTTATGTCATCACATAACCAGTGGTTGAGGCCGTTTGGTTCTTCTCAACTCATTGAGAGTATGGTTATTGTTATACCAACAGTCCTCCTGTCTTTGTGCTTTCCTCCAAATCTCCCTGTCTTTGTGCTAAGCAGCAGTGAGGTGCATGAATTAGGAAGCTAGAAAAACATATACTCACAAGGCCACATGGAAGGTGTGTGGTTTGGGGTCAGGAAGCCAAGTTCCTGGCTGTCAGGTGACACCCACAGTCCAGGCCCCACCATCAAGTCAGGTGTCTCTGCGTTTCATCAGCTCTAAAATTATGAGTTGACAGTCAGGTGGCACGGAAGTTTGGAAAGTAAGCTATCAGCAAATCATCCAGGCCTGCTTGGATGTGGTTTAGACATCCTGAAAGGCAGCATGTGGAAATCTCAACACCAGGATGAGTTATGGTCTCTGTCGTGTGCATGTTTATATGTGTGTGCCTATGGCTGGGTGCAGAGAACTGAGCTTTGTTCTTAAGTATCAGGACAGATGAACATAAAAACAGATTAACAATGGGATGGTTTTTTAAAACAACTTTCTAAAGAACAACGTCTACTTAGTATTTAAAACAAATTTCAGATTTTGTGATGCTGCCGAGCAGATAGAAAACTTATTGGAATCTTAAAATGCTCAGTGTCATTGTGTTGAACATCCCATACTGCACACACAGTTTTGCCACTTATTTTTCAGAATACTGTCACAGAAAAATACCAATGATTGCAAAGTCAAACTCTCCCTTACTGCCTTTCACCACCACCCTGACTTCTTCCTAGAGGTAAGCACTGTAGTCATTTGGTTTGAAGCCTTCTCAAAGCATTTTGTGTATCATTATAAACAAATAAATTACTGTGATTTGTATTAATGTGACCTTGACAAAGTCTAGAATCACCTGGGAGATGGTCCTCCGAACACACCTGTATGTTGGTAACTGATGTGGGAAGACCTGTCTGAATGGCCGGTGGGATCATTCCCTGGACTGTATAAATGGGAAAAGTGACCTGCTCATTTGCATAACATGTTCATTCATTCATTGCTGTCTCCTAGTCAGAGTGAATTTGATGTGACTAAGTGTTTCAAGTTCTTGCCACCTTTATATTCCCACCATGATGGACTTCACCTTGAACTGTGAGCCAGAAAAAGTACTTTCTCTTTAAGTAGACTTTGTCAGGGTATTTGATTATAGCAAGAGGAAAAGAAACCCCAACACATATATTCCCGGACAGGTTGATTTTGCTACTGAGAATGCCAGTATATTGAGCATATGATAGACAAGTTGTTTTGATCATTCAAAACCATAGGGATCTTTGCATGTTTGTATAAGTTGAGAAACATCATCTTCGTCCTGCTGCATGGCATTTCATGGAACTAATGTACTATGATTTATGTAATCCTCTCCTGGTGATTATCCATTATCAGCAAGATGTAGGTTGCTGTCATACATGTGACGTTGTTGGAATGCTGTGAGCCAAGGAGAGTCAACTGTACATTTTAGCAGATGTTGTCATAGTCCTTTCTAACATGGCAGGGCTAATTTTCACATTCTTAGGGGTTGGTAAGCATACTTGATTTCTCACCACCAATATTTACTGCTAAACTCAAAACAAGTTACCTATGTGAAAGATGAAAATACTATCCTTGTTGAACACATATTTCTGCTTTCATAATTACTACTTCTGTGGGGGGGGATGAACATGGATGTGTGTGTGTGTGCGTGCGTGCATGTACATGTGTGCACGCATGCAGTTAAGCACATATATGTGTTTGTGTGGATATGAAAGCCAGTTCCTCAGTTGAACACAGAACTTACTGGTTCAGCTAGCCAGCTAGCCAGCTTGCCCTGGGATCCCGTCTCTGACTCCTGAGTGCTGAGTTTATAGGAGAGCCACCACACCTCTGTCATTTATATGGGTGCTAAGGGTTTGCTCTCAGGTTCACATGCATATAAAGTGGTTTACTCATTAATCCATCCCCCAGACCCACAATTACTACTTTTCAGATATTTTTCTTTTCTTCCTCAAAAACTTTTCATATTTTTTTCACATTTTAAAATTTAGATATTCTTCTGTTTTTGGTTGGTGGGAACTGAGTTTCTTTTCTCTTAGACATTGCAAAAAGCAGGCAGGGGCCTACAGAACTAGAAAGTCACAAAAACGTTGCTCACATAGAAGGATAAAAAGAAGCTGTGGTGTGTGTTTGTGCATAATTTATTTCCACAGCGTGACTTTAACACCCACACACCTTTTAGCAAGTGGAATGAAGCCCCCAAGACTTTAAGGGCAAAGATGAAAGAGGGAAGTCAGTAAGTCTACCACATGCTTGTACCAGGGCCAGGCTCCTGACTCTGATAGCCACCCTCCTGTCCTACTCAAAGCTTCATTTCAGTCTAACAGGCACACTCCCATAGGAATCTTTCCGTATCTAGAGCTTGGAAATTAGGCTAGTGTTTGTTTGTTTCCCATCTAAGGAAATGATGTAAGCCCATGACCCCCTGCCTGGAGTTATCTGAGGGGCTCATCACGCTCCGGTACAGAACAGAAAAGCAGCCAGGTGGTAGCGGGGGGCCCAGGGCCAGGATGAACCATGCTAAACCACAGCACAACTTATCTGAGCATCACATCTCTCAGGGAGAAGATGAAGGCTGGGGGCTTGAGAGAACTGTAGCATGGTGCTGAGGGGCCAAGGAGAAAGGATAACTCTGACAGAACAGTCACTGTTTTGGTGGTAGTTCTGATATTTCAGCAGGGCCCTGGAGCTGAGAGGGATATAAGTAAGATGGATAAAACAGATCTACGTGTGACATTGCCAAATCTATAATTCTGTTTTATATGGTTTCTGGGACTGGCTGAAGCAGGCTCCAGCTAGCCTAGGAAAGAGCTCTGGCTTAGGTGATAGCTGCACCTTCATGGAAGCAGCTAGCAGGTGCAGCCTATCCCTGAGGAGAGCCAGGGATAGGATGTGTACCATACCCACTTGGTGATACCACAGGACAGACATGCAGGCATCACTTTTCTGCAGGGTTTGCGAAAGCCACGGCCACCAGTGTCTGACTGGGGTGGTCTGAGGCATCACAGTTCTGGCGAGTTTCTGGGTGGTGTTTCTTTGGTCGCTGCTGTCCCAGGGAACAGGCTTTGAGGACTATTGGGTGGGTGATAACTTGCCTGAGAAACGTTTAATTTGGGATAAAAAAAAAAGATGGTGGGCTCTTGTGAAGGCAACTGTGGTCATGGTCTCTTCTCTTCTGCTGTTGAGAGAGGGGAAACAGATTCAGAACAAATCCTTTGGCATCTACATTTGCAGATGAGATGGGGGGCTGAGTCTGTACTGCTCTAAAAGCAAGGAAGGATGAGTAAAGCTGGGATGCCCTTGAGAGTCCACCCTTACCTAAGCTGAGGGCCCGCTGAGGAAAAGCAGGCAGTGTGAAGCGTCTGTGGGCCATGCTTTATATTCTTTACATCAGAAAGCTTTGGGTCATTCCTAGATAATTTTGAAATGGAATCACATTCCATTTCCCAAGCTTACCCTGAACTCCAGGACTCGGGTGATCCTTCCTTCTCCCCGCCCCCTTGGTTTGTTTGAGACAGGATTTCTTTGTGTAACAGTCCTGGCTGTCCTGGAACTCACTTTGTAGACCAGGCTGCCTTTGAACTCACTAAGATCCACCTGCCTTTGCCTCCTGAGTGCTGGGATTAAAGGCGTGTGCCACCACCACCTGCCGTGATCCTTCTACTTCAGCCTCCCAAGGACACCGCTCAGGTTTAGACAGTTTCCAGTTACTTAACAAATGAGGAGCTCATTCCTATTCCAGCCCAACTTCTCATCTTCACAAGGTAGCTTTATTTTTTATCAATACTAATACATAGTTTATAGTGACTGTAAAGTTGTTTACTGCAGAGCCATGTAGCAGGCAATTATAACAATTTGTTACTTATACAGCCTTTTGTTTTTCCTGGTGTTTCTAATTGTTTTTTTTTTTCCTTCTGCAATGTCTTATTTCCTAAAGTATTATTTCTGGGGCTCAGAAAGACGAATCAGCCCTTAAGAACGCTGGTTGCTCTTCCAGAGCTCCAGGGTTCAATTCCCATCACCCAAATGGCAGCTCACAATCATCTGTAACTCTAGTTCTAGGGAATAGATGTTTCTTTGGTCTCTGTGGGCAGCAGGCACTCAGGTGGTGTGTGGATACACATGTAGATAAAACACTCATACACATGAAATAAAGCCAGATAATTCTGTCTTCATTTATTTTTAAAATCTTCTTCTAAAAATTCTCAGGCAGGAGAGGTGGCTCAGCAATTAAGAGCACTGACAGCTCTTCCAGAGGTCCTGAGTTCAATTCCCAGCAACCACATGGTGGCTCACAAGCATCTATAATGGGATCTAATGGCCTGTTCTGTAATGCAAGCATGCATACAGACAGAGCACTCATACATAAAAAAGTCATTTCTAAAAAAATAATAAAAATACCATTTCTCCCTATCTCTCTAAAGCTCACTGTAACAGGCATCTATGAGGTCCTGTTTCCTTTGGAAGGAATTTCTTTTACATTGTCCCCTAAATTTGCCAATCAATCAAAACATATAAGCAAACAAAAAGTCCTTATGTCTATATCTCTCTTTTTAAAAATTTATTTTCATTTTTTTATTATTTTTGCTGCATGCGTGTATAAATACCACGTGTGTGCTTGTTGGATTTTCTGTAACTGGGGTCATGGATGGTTGTGAGCCACCATGTTAGTGCTGGGGATCCTCTGCAAGAGCTCTTAACCACAGAGCCATCTCTCCAGTCATTCCTTATCCCCTACATTCCTGTTTTAGAAGTCATACTTTTTGAAGAATTTAAAACCCTTAGGAGTTATCATGGGTGAAAGACTGAACAGTTTAAAAGCTTACACTGTTATCCTGTGTGACTTCCAAGCAGTCCTTTCCTGGATATATGCTGATCCTACAGTTGGGTGTGCAGAAGCTTTTTATTACGAAAATGTGTCTTTTATAACAACTTAATCCTAGGAGATGCCCTTTCCTGGCCTTTCTTGTCATGGTGCTTCCTTCTCATACTTCAATTCTGAGAATAAGTGTCACCTCCTGAGAGAGGCTGTCCCCGTTCTTCATCTGAAGCAGCTCTATTCCACTTCACCCCCGCCACTCCTCCACCTAATATGCTACACTAACGTCATTAACGGCTCCAACTGGCAGCCTCCTTATTGTTAGAATATAACTTGAACAAACTCTGCCAGACCTTGACTAGGGCCCTATATTGAAATTCCAGCCCCTTACCCATCTCTGCCAAACATAGTCACCCAAAGTGACCCATGTTCTGATAGCTGGGACAAGGCCGTTTCTAAAGACAAAATAGCCTTTTCTGGACAAAACAACTCCAGGAGGGAGAAACTGCAGACTTGCATGTATCCCCTGCAGGTGCATTCCTCAAACCGCCTCTATAAACCCTGAGTATCCTCTTCCCCTTCAGCAGACACCCTTACCCCTGCTGTGTCTGCTTCTCCCTGTTTGAAATAAACAGACCCTTCTGCTGAAGTCATTCCCTTCTGCTTTCTGTCTCTGTAAGCAGACTCAGACATCTAACATCATGTTGCCACACAGATCTAACGCTTATATTCAAACTCTTTACAGTTTTCCTCTTGAGATGTCATTTCCATACCCTTGAGTCTGGACTAATCTTGCGACTTGAAGTTTGTATTTCTACCCCCTCCAGAACCTACGTATCACTATGTGTACAAGCCAGGCTAGCAAGCTGGCGGATAAGAGACAGGCTAACCCAGAGTGAAGGCTGTCTTGAACAGCTGCCTTTAGTCAGCTTTGTAGCTGACCATAAACACCTGGGATAGCAAGACAAAAGAGCCACCCTGCTTAGGTTTCAGTCATGTATAGGATTGTGAACGAAATAAGTATCATTTTAAACGAGTTGTTTTGTTTTTGGAGTAGTTTGTTATGCAGCAAGAACTGACTGATATACCCTGCTTCCTTCTTTTCAAGCCCTTATCACCAGGCTATATTGCTTATTAGCCCCTTTTTCCATCACCCCTTTGAATGTGAGCTGTATTAGGACACGCTCTTGTATCTTTAGCTCCTATATGCTCAGAATTATAATATAGACTAGGCACAACAATTTCTCAACAAGTTTTGGGTAAATTAACTTACCTCTTTGGTGTGTGTGTGTGTGTGTGTGTGTGTGTGTGTGTGTGTGTGTGTGGTGAGAGCAATTAAAATACTCTCAGTAATTCTGAGGCATTGTCATCAGCTATGGCCACCAGGCAGTGTGAGGAGTGAAAGATTGGGGTCTGAGATTCTGCATGTTGTCACCTGCCAGGAAGATGATTTTGGTACTGTGGGCTTAGCAGCCGTGGGACCGAGAGAGCATGTCCCAGCAGAAGCCGCGGGGCCTGCAGTCCCCCACCAAGAAGCTCCACTTTGGTTTTCTTTGCAGGCCCGGAGGTCTTTATGTGGCTACTTTGATGTGGCCATTTTGAAACTGAGGACATTTTGACAAAGCTGTTTTGATGCTATGGAAACTTTCTGACTTAAAAAACACTAACCATTGAACTTTTACCTTTTGAACAAACGATCACGCATCACACAGCACAAGGTTGGGCAGAGCTACAGATGCTGGTTCAGAGGGCATGAGGTCCTTGTGCTCACGGACAACACTCAGGAAACCAAGGATGTTAAAAAAAGAGGCTTGTCTGTTCATAGGAAGGAGATGTTTACCTGTTCTCCACTAGGAGAGATGGGAATGGATATAGTTGATAACCTCTTGATCTTTGTGATCTGTAGGGCCAGGTCCCACCCCAATTCCCCTGACTATTATGGTTGTTTATCCCAGACTCTTCCTCCATAGATTTTGAGCTTTGATTCTCAGGCAATAAAATGCAACCTTGTGGGAGATGTCACTTGTACTTTATAAAAGCCTAGGTAATTTCTGTGTTATCTGTAGGGCCTGACTCCCACAGGCTGTTGTGCTTACTCAGTCTTTCTTCCTAGACTCTGACTTTGAGCATTGTTTCTGAGTCAACAGAACCCTTATAGAAGAGGCCATATGTACTTTGTAAAGAGTTTCAATGCCAACATGTTCTGTATACATGGGATTAAATCAATTACATCAGGAAACTCCCCCCACCCAATTGTACTGTGCTTTTATATGGCTAAAATTAACTGCTCAGGGTCAGAGTCTAGAAGTTTGAATCAACACCAGCAAATTAAGTCACATTGAACTGTATTTCCTTCATGCCTCAATGCAGCCTGATATCAAAGCTTCCTACAGGTTGGCACCATGGAAAAGCGGTTGAGGTTGTGAGGCAAGAAGGGGTACCTAGTTATTATTTATAGAGAGTAAACATGTTTCTAATGGTGTTATTTTCATTTCAAAAAGCTCATGAGTTTTAAAAACTTGGAAAATATTTTTTAAAGTAAATCTTAAGTAATCAGGGCAGTATGATGTTGGGAAAGGGACAGAAATGTAGATCAAGGGAATAGAAACAGAACCCAGTTAGACCAACAGAGATAGAGCCCACTGGTCTCTGACAAGGACCAAAGGTGATACAGAGAAAATATGGTCTTTCAGCATTTCGTGTTTATTAAGTGGATATCCACACCAATACTGAGTTCAGGCATGGAACTCGGACCCTTCTCAAAAGTTACAATGGACCATGAATATACACGTAAAATGGAAAACTACAAAACTCCTTTGACATACAGGAGAAATCCTCATGGCCTTATGATCAAAACAACTTTTGTAGACAGAACACCAAAGGGGCTGTGTATGATAGAAGTCACTGAGAAATTGGATCTAATTAAAATAAAAACAAACAAGCAAACAAACAAACAAACAAAAGACCTGGGCATCACTGGGAAACTCAGCAGTGTGTGAACCTCCCAAAGTTTGACAGTGGCCAAGAACAAATTAAAATGTCAGAAGTCCAGGAATGTATTTCACATAACTAGCCACAAAAACTCCAAGGCTAAAAACAAGGCAAAACCAGGTATTACTCATCTTAAGATGATAAATGTTATGAAGGATGAAAAAGTTAACAGAATGAACAAGACTTTTGTAAATATACAGAAGGAACTTGTAAACTTCTCAAAAAGTCTTTCTCTTAAGTCTAAGCAGAAGGAGCCGTGGCCTCATGAAAGAGAACCAGCTAATGTTGATAAAGCAGCAAGACTGATTGTAACAAATGCACTTTTTGCATTGCAGGGCAGCATTTCGTGGGAAAACGATGCCTACCACGGGGAAAGACATACCAGGACGTTCTGAGTCTTTGACAAACTTGGGCTACTAACTGAAAGTTTCTCTATAAATAAGACTATCAACATTCCCAGATTTCACCACACAATTAGCTTCCTTATTGTGAATGAATGTTCCCAGCTTCCCTTGCACAGGGATTCAAGCCCCTGAATCTATTGTGTCTCCTTACAGGTTCAGTGAAGAGACAGCTTGGGCTGCCCTGGCCTTCTGAGGTGGTCTTGCCCTTAGGTAGCCACAAAGAGCTAGAATTTGCCTTCTTTCTTCTAGTGTCTGCAGTGAAACCTAGGGGGGGGGGTACTTTTTTTTTTTCTGTTGCTCCAGATGCAGCTGCCTGTGATCTACTGAAAATGGAACTCAGTGCTGGGTGTGGTGGCCCACACCAGTAATCCCTGGGGAGAAGAAAGGAGAACAGTGAGTTTAAGACCATTTGGGCTGTATTGTAAAAGCCTGTCTCAAAAACTGAAAAAAAAAAAAGGAAGGAAAGAAGGAAGGAAAGGAAGAAAGGAAAGAAAGTAGAAGAAAGGAAGGAAGAATATAGAAAGGAAAAAAGAAAAGAAGAAAGAAGAGAGAAGAAAAGAAATATTATGATATTCATTACATAAATCCTTCATTGCCTTTCCATGTAACTGGCTTTGAACAAAATCATATGGCAAGGTAGCTAACCTTATATCCCAAAGTAGTCATCCCCTCCTGTTTCCTGGCTGCTCCTTCCTCTCTGCAGCCCACACTGGTCTTTCTTATCCTCCTGTTTTCTGGCTGCTCTTTCCCTTCTCTGCAGCCCACACTGGTCTTTCTTATCCTGCACTTGCCAAGTTTGTCCTTCCTTTGGCAGTGGTTGCCTCACTTTTCACACTCATGTAATAGAGGCACTAAATGTCGCCGCTTTAGGATTGGGTTTGCCATCCTCAGAGGCGGCACTAGTCTCAAGATTCACCTGCTTCAAGCACACCCCCGCAGTGGGCTAGGCTGTCAGCCTAGATCTTTCCCCTTATCAATGTTCGTGCTCTGCAGTGGTGGCAGCATCCTCTCAGTTGAACTCTTCACCTCTCTCTGTCTGATGATGACTTATTAAACACTTCCAACACCCCTGGAGCCTCCAACACCTCAGCCAGGCCACATCCAATGCAGAACACACCGCTGTCTGCTAACCAACTTTCCCTCATGCTCATATGTGTGTATGCTCACACTCACCCTACACCCCTCTGCAGCCTCCCAGAAATACTACTGTCTCTGTGGAGCGCTTGCCATCTCCTGGGTCTCTTAGCCATGTGTTTCCAGTCCCTTCAGGTCCCACAGGTCCCACCGTTGATGTCCACGTGGTTACTGCCTTTATCTCTGCTTCCACTCTGGCTTCCTAACCAGAGGCTAGGCAGAGTTTTTTGTTTTGTTTTGTTTTCCTGTTAACCACAGAACACGAGGAATTTGGAGAATCCAGGTATTCTAGGAATGCTAACTGGTAGTGAGAGCCAGCTCTGAGGAAAGGGGTACTCCCTTTAATTTTTCCATTCCCAGAGAGAGGAGTCCTGGCTGGCTGACACCCTAACCCTTTTGAGGCTGTTGCTAAGGTGATCACATTAGTGTCTGCAAACAGGTTAGTTAGACCTAGATGATCTACCTGAGTGATTATGAGCCACATTTAAATTTAAACCAACTGCAATTAAATACTTTTTTAATTAATCAATTAATTAATTTATATTTTTTTCAAGACAGTATAGCCTTGGCTGTCCGGGCTATTCCCTCTGTAGAGAAGGTTGACCTTGAACTCAGAGATTCGTCTCAGTCTCGGTAGTGCTGGGATTAAAGGTGTGCACCAGCAGGCCAGGCTTAAAAACAGTTTTTAAAAGATCAGTTTCTCAGTCCCACTAGTTTCAGAATTGTTTCTTACAACTCTCTGTGGCCGCATGCTGGACAGTGTGGCTTTCAGGCATCTCCACTACTGTGAAGCATTGGTATCTCTCCTCAGTTCTTAGGACTTGCACCTGGCTCCTTCTGTTTCTCCTGATTTATACAGAAAATACTTAAGAAACTCCTGCCATGTATTTCTGGGCCACAACTATGGCCAAAGGTCCTCCTGATCCCTGTCCACTTGGATCAGTGGAGACAGAAGGGTCCCTTCACACTCCTAAAAACTTGAACTCGGGACTCATTGTCACACAAAGCAAAACTTTACCACCAAACTGCTCTTTGCTGATGTTACCTTGTCTTTTTCAGGTCAGGTAAAAGCCTTAATCAGTGAAAAGGAGACAGACAACATCGTCCTTCCAAAGACCCCTCTGTGCTTCTGTACTGTGACTTTCCTAATATGTATAAATATTGAAGAAGGAGAGAGTCAGACTCCTGAGGTGCCTGGAGAGCAAAGAACTGAGACAGAGTTTTCTTTTCTGCCAGAGACAATTCTAGAACATGGTTCATGAGAAGGAGAAAAGGGGGATGAGATGGGTCCATTCACTTCAGCAGCAAGGCCAACTTGAATTTCTGTTAGAGAGACTAGAACTTGAAGACTGCAATTCTGGATTCCCTAGAGACCATCAGTTACTGGTACAACAGCTGGCCTTGGGTGTCTGAGGGCACAGTGTCCTACCCTAGATTCCACCTTAAGCAGAGTGAAAAATACAGAGACCCTTTGAAAAGGGGATCACCAACCTCTTACTGTTATCCAGTTCTGAATTCTGACAGCCAATACAGAAGTCCAGCAAAGACAACAAAAGGATGGGGCTTTCCTTGCAAGGCATCAACCAAACTAGACAACTAAAAAGGGACTTCAATGTCCCCGGGCTCCTTTGAGAATCCAGAAGCTTTCTCTGGGACGTCCTAGCCTTTGCCTGACTCCCTAGCCTCCTCCACATGTCCCAGGAGAGGATACCTGTGAGAGCAGTACCTCTTCAGACTTGATTTCTCCTGCACCATGGGGTCCGTGTGGAGGAAGGAATCTGATTGCAGGGGATGTTGTTTATTTTCACTGCTTCCACCACTCTTCTTTGAATCAGCTCTCCTGACTTTCTGATGCACAAACACTGACCCCTTGGGATACTCTTACCTGGAGAAGAGACAGGTGCCAGAGAAGGAAGTCCAATAGTTCTAGTCTTCTTCCTCCAGGAGGCTTTCCAGGCACAAGACAAATACAGCAAGTTTATTGCTATTTTTGCTTAGAGATGGCCGGAGCATCAGGGCCTGAAGCATCCTCTTCCTGTCAGTGTTGGGCACTGTTAGAGCCTGGTAGCACCATTGTAAACACTATTTATGCTCATGAATGTGGGACAAAGGAAGGGAATTTCTTAGCTCATTCACGCCCTGGTTCCCTGAAGGCTGATGAATCAATTGCATCTTTCATTCTTACTGCTCATGTTTCTCTCCCTTTCACATGTTTACTGGCCTTTTCCCGCTGAGATATAAATTAGGACAAATAATGAAACCCTTTGTTCGGTACAAGATGGTCGAGATTGCTGGGCTGTGTGGCTGTGAGTAACACTGCACTCAGTCCACAGGATGCTAAACATACCAAGAGGGGATTAGTCTTCTCGAATGAGCTGTGATTTGTATATTTTAAGTATTTTTAAAAATAATGACAATGGGAATCTTCACTATAACTGTGGCCCTTTGAGAAGATATTATCTGTGAACCTTAATTTAAAAAAAAAAGTAACCTGGGCAGTGGTGGCGCACGCCTTTAATCCCAGCTCTCAGGAGGAAGAGACAGGCGTATCTCTGGAGTTCAAGGCCAGCCTGGTCTACAAGAGCTAGTTCCAGGACAAGCCCCAAAACTACAGAGAAACCCTGTCAAAAAAAAAAAAAAAAAAAAAAACCTGGAAAAAAATGTAACATTTCATGCTGAGACTTTCCAAACCTTCCTCAAGACACCTGTGATTCATAAAGACACAACTGTCAATGTTAGTGTACAGAAAGTGTAAAACCTGCATTTAATCTGTCCCCGGGATGCCATATCCCATTCCCAGCTACCCAGCACATACACAGCTTTCTAAGGTAATGCCGTCTGCAGGGTGTTCTGCCACGTCAGGGACGTTAGGTATCCGCACTGTCCCCCTGTGGCAGCTGCTTATGTATATGTGGAGTGTCATTGCAGTTTCCATTTCAGTGGGAACATTTGGCCGGTAGCTTTAGTATTGGGCAACACAGTTCCTCAAGGCCTCAAAGGACACATCTTGATGGACAGCACTGAGGAGGCACCTCACATAAGCCTGTTCAGGCAGCTTCACCTAAAGAAATCTTATAAATGTGTGCCTCTGGCCAGGATTCCTCATGTCTCCTGCCCCTGTATCAATCTGCGTTTGGACTCTGTATACACATTGTACACACTGAAGATAGTTTTTCTTGATCCCAGTGATTCTCAGCTTTGCATTTCTGGCTGCAAGTGATTGATGTGTGCTGCTGGAAGTTGAAGTAGCTAGCTCCCCACCCTTCTGGGTTACTCCACCAGTGACAACACAGGCAGAGTTGGCCTGGCTTCCTTTTTGGTGTTTTGTAGCGGATAGCTGCCTGCTCAGAACCCACAGAAGCCTACTCCTCATCCCAGACAGCTGCAGCGGTCCTCTCTCCACAAACCCAGACCCAGGCTCTGCACTTCCCCTCTTGGTGAGTAGCACCCTTCCCCTCCTCGATGCCCTGGCTGTCATCTGTGTACTTGCTATGTGCTGCCCCATGTGCATTTATGTGTCCAGATGTCATATGCACCATGCCCTTTTCTATAACTTTTCCGTATGGTTCAGGCTTCTTGTAGGATGGATGAGTGACGAGGCTCCCTCCTGACACACAGTGAATGTCAAGCTCAAGGCCATTGTTGTTGATTTGCACCTCAACGTGAGGAGAAACAGTGTTGGGACAGGTAGCAGGAGGGTTTCCAGGAGACAGAGAGGGTAACACCTTGGGTCTGAGAGACTGCCCATGGAAAGAATGTATATTGCAGAGAAAACCTGGGAACAAAAAACTTGACACCAAGACGTGAGTAGAGCAGTGGACTACGGCTCATCAGATGATGAAGGGCTCAGTTGCTTAACCCCATTCATATCTCTATGTTCAGGGCATGAAAGACTGACTAAAAATATATGTGTAAAATTATGTGCAGGGTGTGTGTGGTGTTAAAGAGAAAGTGAGAAGATACGCCTCAGAAATTTAACATTAGCTAAAACTAAAATGTATACTTGATTTTTAAATTTTTAAACATTTATATATAAGGCATGTGTGTGCATGCTTGTGTGTGCACATATGTGTGTGTGTTTGTGGTTTTGGATCTTTTTGTGCACTGTGAAAATAGTTTTTTATGATCAGAAAGGAAGCCAAGTTATTTTAAATGACTATAGGTGTGTCCTTTCTTTTTCAGTATGTCCACCTTCTTCATTTCTAAAAAAACTTTATTTTACTTTTAATTATGCATACACACATGTGAGGAGGACAGGTGTTTGAAGCATTGGCAGTTGGTTGTGAGCCATCTGACGTGGCTGGAATCCATACTCAGATCTCTGCAAGAGCACTATCTGCTCTTAACTACTGAGCAATCTCTCCATGACCCCCTACTCCCCTCTTCTTCAGTTCTTAATTAACCTGCTCTATAGTCAGCCAGCAGGTCAAGGAAGTTGTTGCTGAGCTATTCTGGACCTGGAGGTAACCACCGTAGAGGGAATCTGTCCCTTTATTCTCTTTGCCAAACAATCCAAAGTAATAGCCATTCCAGCACCTGTAACTTCAGAGTCCTCTTCCAGTTTCTGTCTACTCTAGCCTATACTCTAGGCTTGATCTTACAGGTCCCAAGGAAGAGAGCTCCTGATGCGCGCGCGCGCGCACACACACACACACACACACACACACACAATGTAAGAGATGATTCAACTCATGAGTAGCAAATAGGACAAAGGTCAAAGATAGACTGGGGCCGTCACTCACGGTCACAGTAATACTGGATGTGGGATGTGATGAGGCCCTTCAAACCTCCAGGGTCAGCAAGAGTCACCTCCTCAGTGAAGACCTCCTGGATATTTCCTGGTGCTGAAACCAGAATTCTCTTTTTCTCATTCCTACAACCTCTCAGGATATTACTACTGTGTCATTTTGAGTCTTAACTTACCCACTGCTCTTGAGAGTGGGCTTCTTGAGAGTGTGAACTATCACACTGCTTATGCCCAGCTGGTGTCCATCACACCTGGCCTTTGTGAGATGAAAGTGATCTCAGCTCTCACAAACGTATGTTCCAACCAGAGTGTTTGCATATCCTTCTACTTGATTGTCCACCAAGCCCTGGGATCAGATAGAACTGAGGAAGGAGTTCCCGTTTCCCAGATGAGGAATCCAGGCTCTGTGAGAGTGTGTCCCTTGTCGCCAAGCCCCAACGGCAGAAAGGATAAACCAAAGGCAGAGTAACTATGATTTCTGGTCCAGTGCTCTCCCTGTTGCTCAGTTCTCCATGTAGACTCAGCTGCTAGGGTGTCCACAAGAAGGCCATAAGGAGACTGAAGGACAGGTCAATGGTGAGTTGAAGCCTTCTAACTCCCAGGAGACAGCGAGTTCCTTACCTCTCTGTGTGTTTTTGTCATATGTGGGCTTTCCTCCTCCTCCTTCCTCTTCTTTCGCCTCCTCTTTTTCTCCCTCCTTCTCAGCACAAGAAGAAAACGAAAGCAAGCTCTATGACTGGCTGTATAGTAATGCACTTGACAAGTATCTGGACAAAGATTAAAGAGAAATCAATTTAAAACTCCAAGACTGCCTGTGGTATTCGCTCACTACTTTAGGGAGCTCTGTGTTTGTTTTCTCCTTTGGTTCCCTCCAAATTTCTCATGTGCCAGAAGCAGATTTATAATGGAAGAAAGATCAGCTTTCGTAAGAAGCTGGTGCAGGATTTCAGTCCCAAATAGTGCCACCTGGGTGAGGACTGGCAGGCCCGGCTGCTGCAGAGCCACTGAGGCAGCTAGTAAGCAGGTGTGCTGACTGCTACTTCTGTTCCTTTCTTTCTCTCTCTCTGCTTTAAAAAAAAAAAGCTGATGAAAACAGGTGGTGGTGGCTCATGCCTTTAATCCCAGCACTTGGGAGGTAGAGGCAGGCAGATCTCTGTGAGTTTGAGGCTAGCTTGGTCTACAGAGCAAGTTCCAGGACAGGTTCCAAAGCTACACAGAGAAATCCTGTCTCAAAAAGAAAAAAAAAAAAAGCTGACAAGCAATAGTCCTTATAACTTCACACAATTAGAATATTGGTAAATATTCTAATACATTGTTGCATTGCAAAACTTAAAAGAAAAAAATCAAGTACCATTTTTTCACCAGTGATCATGGATTGGGCTTGTGCAGGAGAGCTTCTGTTCCAACCAGCTGCAAAGGTTGTATATATATTTTACATTTTAATCTAATAATTTCAGTGGCCTCTTTTTTATTAGTTTGAAGCACCTGTTTTTCTCTTTAATTGCCTATGTGTGGTTTTGGAGTAGAAGTATCACAATGTGACCAACTGTTGAACATATTTGTTCCCCAACTTTTGTTCTGCAAGAAAATACTCCAGCATTGAGAGAACAGGGCAGGATCTTAGCAACACATTTGCTGAGCAGAGATGTCCCTCCCTATACATTTTGATATTGTATACCCTCCTAAAGGCTAATACAAGCTCATACCCACAGCTATGCACCCTGTACTATGAAGATCTCTTCATACTTGTGCCGGGATCATCACCCTAAAACTTGCTGTAACCAAAACCACATTCCTTTTTCCAGCTTCTTCCTTTTGAAACTTTCCCCAGATGTCATGTGATCACCATTCAAACTCTTCTTACTAAGGAAAGTCAGGTGACATAAGCTACCAGGATATATGGGATGATTTCTGACTCATGTCTCCAGGTCTGTCTCTGCTTCCCAGAGTCATTTGCTTAGTTAGGGGTGCTTTTCATTTAGTGGAAAAGCAATTTTCATCCCCCAGAGTCTGCTTTTTTGTCTTTGTAGCTTAAAATTTCCCATCTTTTCATGGACTTGGTGATGTCCCAGTAACACCCGGAATGTGACTGAACTGAAACCCAACAACCCTGAAGGGCCACTGATCCCAGAATAATGTAGAAATGCAATCTAGGGAGAATTTGTGATTCTCAAATTTAGGAAGAAAAGAGAAGAATGTAATTTTTCTGAAGAAAAATGCATGTCCCATTTCTATTAATCTAAAAGCATTTCAAAGCAATCATAAACGAAAATGTCTTCAGACTCCCAGAGTGAGTGTTTAAGTAATATATGGGCCATCCCCTGTTCGGAGGCTGGAGAAGAATATTTAGTGATGGATAAAATGCCATAATTGGTTTGATGGAAAGAAAAAGAGAGAAAATAGAAGTACATACATGCACAGAGACAAGGCTGGGAAGGAAAATAAGTTGATATCAGTTATTTGGAGATGTAAATGTTTGGGTATTTTGATTTTTCTCTCAACTTTTTTATATTTGTCAAATATTTAAAATTTTTAAAAGATTTATTTTTTGGTATGTTTGTGTCTGTGTGGGAGTGTGTGCATGTGCAAGTTCCTATGGAAACCAGAGGTATTGGCTCCTACTGGAGCTGCAGTTATTAATGGTGATGGGGTTATTAGTGTGAGCTCCCTGATGTGGGTGCTGGGAACTGACTCGGGTCCTCTGTAAGAGCATTATACACTATTAACCACTGAAATATTTCTCTAACTCTGTAAAAAGGTTTTTTAAAGTTAAAAAACCCAAAAAACCAGTATGTCTAAAGACAATATAAGGATTTCCCCAGCTACCACCAGGTACAGCGAAATTCAGTGAGGCGGTGGCCAAGGCCACACTGACTCAGATTTAGCTCCACTCCAGGCTCCCTTCTTTCTGTCTTGGGGGCCGATGTCAGTTATTCTTTTTCCTACATTTTTGGGTAACTTTTCCAGAGCTAATTTCAAACATGCAGAAGACACAGAGGCTGTGCGTATTTATTTGTTCACCTTCAGTATACCTATTCATTTACCTATGTGACAGAATTTTACTTTTTGGACAAGGTTTTGCTTGTAGGCAGAATTCTGTTCTTTTCCCAAGTGCTGGGATTACAGTGTCGCATCACCACCTCTACCCTCTGCTCTAATACTTTAAAACTTCCAAAGCACAGCACAAGACACTAAGGTGCTTGGAAGAGCTGCCATGGGAAGGGCAGGAAAGGGAACTTTCTGATAATGAGGGCTTGCTGATAACGGAGATGACTGATTACTGAAAGAAAAAGCTCACTTTGTTTTCTTCCTTATCTTGAAACTTGGTTGAGTCTTAGTAACAATAGCCACAAACATGTGAAGTGAAGAACGAGTCCTTGTGTCCCCATGAAACTATCACAATCATAGGTCTTCCTCCTCTCAAATTTCCTCACTCCGCTTTGCATCCTGTCTGTCCCTTGCTCTCCTCCACCTCCTCTTCCAGGACATCTCTGATCTGCATTTGCCACCGAAGGCTAGGACGTGTTATCTGGAGTTTCATATAAGTGAAAACAAACAGTATATACATTTGAATTCACCTTCGTTACTCAGCACAGAATTATTTTGAGACAGTTTGAGCCGGTGTGAGGAGGCAGACCATTCCTTGCCCTGCTGTGTGGACAAGCAGCTCTCCCATTCACCACTACATCAACAGTTTGGTGGTCCCTTTAGCTGCCACCAACAAAACTCGTTTGGGGGTTCATATGCAAGCTTCTATGGGGACACAGCTTGCGTTTTTCTTAGGAAATTATTTAGGCATAGCATAGATAGATGTAAGGCAAGCATATGTTTGACTTTTTACGAAGCTGCCAAACTGTTCTCCAGTGGCTGGGAGACGGCTCTTGTTAAAGTCCTTGCTGTGCAATCACGAGGACGCATTTGGATCTTCAGCACCAACAGAAGCCAAGTGTGGTGGTGATGTCTATAACCCCAGCTCTGAGGAGGCATCCCGTAAAGCTGAAGCAGTGAGCTCCAGGTTCAGTGAGAGGTCCTACCATAACAAATAAAACAAAAAAAACAAAAACCAATCAACCGGTAAACAAGCAAAAAGTAAGGAAAAAGATAAGCGCTAGAGAGATGGTTCAGCAGTTAAGAGAATTGGTGGCTGCTCTTCCAGAGGATCTGGGTTTGATCTCCAGAACTCACAGGGTAGCTTACAAACGTTCTTAACTCCAGTTCCAGGGGATCTGATGCCCTCTTCTGGCCTCATCTGGTATTAGGCCCGCATCAGGTGCACAGTCATACATGCAGGCAAAACACCCATATGCATTAAAAAAAAAATAAAAAAGAAAGGTAGAGAGTGAAGGCTCTTGGTGACCTTTGGCCTTCTCAGGCACAGGTATCCACACACTTATGTGTATACCCATATACAACACACACACACACACACACACACACACACACACACACACTAAACTGTCTTTCAGAATGGTTGCACCTCATTTTATGTAGTGAAATCCACAGGCAGAGTGGAAAGGAAAGCCACAGGAGAGGAGGCAGCAGAACACACTGGATCCAGCACCGAGATGTGTGGTACTGACAGAGGGTTGGGTGCAGGTGCTGTCCAGGCACAGACCCCTCCACAAAGGTGTCCATCTCTGGTTGCACAACCCTGGGTTTCTTTCTCCAGCTGAGTGCGGGAGCACCCTTCTTTACAGATCCATGACCTGGTATTGCTCGCTCAAGCCTAGGCAGTATAACAAGGCAGGAGTGGGGGAAGCCTTTCCCAGACCTTACACAAGTTGAGACAGGAGGAAATGAACTACCAGGTAAGGATGCGCTAGAGACTACCTAAGAGCCCCTGTGGTTCCTCATCAACAGATGCAAGTTTTGCTGGCTTTCTAAGTTAAAAGAAATTAAACATTAAACCCTGGGTCTATTAGAGTAAGGAAGTAAGCTGTAACTCCAGAACTGTTACTTTCATTCTGTACTTTCAATAATATTCTGATAAGCAACTGTAGTCTGAAAAGGGACATAGATTCTAATGTGTTGTGTGTGTGTGTGTGTGTGTGTGTGTGTGTGACTTTTTCTACAAATACGAACAAGTTTAATGTTGAATTTCCACCTTTGGTGTTTGGTTACTAGAGTGCATCTATAAGTCTGTTTTCTTTCTGATATTTGCCCTTTCTTTCTAGAAGCTGGCTGGCATCTGGCTCACCATGATGTCCACAGAACTCACAGTGAGTATAGTCATGCCTCAGAAATACTCTTTTTTTTTTTTTTTTTTTTTTTTTTTTTTTTTTTTTTTTTGGTTTTTCGAGACAGGGTTTCTCTGTGGCTTTGGAGCCTGTCCTGGAACTAGCTCTGTAGACCAGGCTGGTCTCGAACTCACAGAGATCCGCCTGCCTCTGCCTCCCGAGTGCTGGGATTAAAGGCGTGCGCCACCATCGCCCGGCTCTCAGAAATACTCTTACTCTCTGGTCTTCCCTGCATGGGGATGTGGGACGAAATTTCCTATAGGGACTGATTTCCTGTGTGATCCTCTAGGGAAAGACCTCTGTCAGCAGTGCCCATCACTATGTGGGGATGTGGGTATTTCTGGTGATATCTATTCTCTCTGTGAACACAGAGTTGGCATTGGGAGGGGCATGTTGTGAAGACAATACATTTAAATTTTAGATTTTATTAATAGCTGAGGGGTTTTATACTCTTTTACTAGGATGGGCTTTGTCACACGTATGTTTTGAAGCTCACACAGAAGAAAACAAGGGAGAATCCATTTAATTTTTTAAAAAAGACTTATACAGTATACAGTGCTCTGCCTGCATGCATGCTTGAACACCAGAAGAGGGCACCAGATCTCCACAGAGAAAATCAAGGTTGCCTCCCCACCTTACTGGGATCAAATTTAGCAGTGTGTGCAACCATATCTGCAAATATTCCCAGACAATGTTAAGGACATACTGGTGTGTTATAAATAATTGTTTGACTACCTAATTGAGCCTCCCCATTCTGTAAGTCCTGGAAACCTATTTTTTTTTAAGGAAAATTTGTTAGCCCTACCGAGGAGGCTTAGTTTCAATTATGTACATGTAAAACTTTTATCTTCCCTTTTACAGAAGAAAAATGAAAGCCCTCGGATACTGTTGTAAGGTGTGAGCTTCAGAATTTGGCATCAGCCTCCTATTATCTACTGCTTTTTATCAGCTGATTTAGTGTGTCCTGGTAATAATAAGAACCACACATACATGTATGCATATGCATGCATGCACACATACACAGGGATATTACTCCATATTCAAATAAGTCAATGAAGCATTGCTAAGGAAAAATTTAAAGGACATCTCAAAAGCCTGTTATTGTGCCAATATGCAATTAAAATGCAGAAAAGTTCTGTAGGACTTTTTCAGAGATTAATCCACTTGGGGTAATTGTGACTTCCAAAGACAAAAATGCAATATGGAGATTCTCCAATATTTAACAACTGCATAGCTTAGGAAAGGCTGGTTGACCATCAGAAGCATATGTGAGTTATGCAGACAAAGAAAGCATAGCCAACAGAAAGTAGAGGAATTTTATTATTCAATATGAATATTTAAGTACATAAACTAATTGTAGTTGCACATTTACTAATATTAACTACCCAGAGCAAAACGAAACCCTCATAGAGTTTATGTCTAGTTCAATACAGACAGATGACTTGAAAAATTATTGTATTTTCTCAAGGAAAAGAAAGGCTATGAGATTATCCTCTCATAAAGGAAATGCAGAGAATGTCCCTCAGGGCAAGTCCCAGAGACTCTGTGGGAGTCTCTGGGAAATTACAAGGCCTACTGGGAGCTCCAAAGTAGGGCTAGAAGGAGGTGAGATCATGTGGGTGTGAGGTGGAGGCTTCAGCAATGCAACAGTTATCATGCTTTGGACCGGGTACTCTCCTAAACCCTCTATCTGTTCACCCAGATTTTATTCATCCCTTTCCCCTCTAGCAGTAGTACCCACAGGATGAACAGTGACACATGTGAGCATGTGTGTCTAGATATGTTTATGCAAGTGTACTTGTGTGCATGAGTGTGTAGATGTGCATGTGAGCAGGAGGGCGAGCCTATTTATGCCTATGAATGTGAGCAAGTGCATGTGTGCCCTGTGTGTGCCTGTCAGAACCAGAGCCTTGGGTGTATGACCCTTGTGGTCACACAGGGGTCAAGTGTTTAAGAATATTCATATTTGGGGTTGTAGAGATGGCTCAGAGGTTAAGAGAACTGACTGCTTGCTCTTCCAGAGGTTCTGGGTTCAATTCCCAGCAACGATATGGTGAGTCTTTATAATGAGATCTGGTGCCCTCTTAAGGCATGCAGGTGGAACACTGTATACATAATAAATAAATAAATATAAACAAAAGTATTTTCATACTTAATGCTCACTATCTTGAAATTTTTAATAATTTTCTAGCAAGGGTTCTTGGAAATATTACAGCACTCACATTTTTGTGTGTAGTTGAGAGTGTCATGATGTGCATGTGCAAATGTGTGTGCAGATAGGTGATGTGCATGTGCAAATGTGTGTGTGCAGATGTGTTGTGCATGTGCAAATGTGTGTGTGCAGGTAAGTGTTGTGCATGTGCAAATGTGTGTGTGCAGGTAAGTGTTGTGCTGCATGTTTACTTTTGGGGCTCTCAGGAAACTCAGAGGTGCCGTGACTCCAGTAGGTTTAAGAGCTCCTGGTGACTTTTTATATTTGCAGATGTTGAACAGTTGGGGGAAAGAACAGTCATAAGTCTCAGGCACTCACACAATTCAAGTAAAGTGCCCAATGTAGTATCTTTTTGCTCTTTTAGGGGGCCTGCAACCCAGCTCCCAAATAAATCACACAGAAGCTTATTATAAACATTTGGCCTTAGCTTGGCTTGTTTCTTACCAGTTTTCCTTAACTTACTTTATCCCATCTACCCTTTGCCCCTGGACTCTTCCCCCATTCTCTCTTCTTACTCCAGGGATTGCTGTGTAGCTGGATGGCTGGCCCTTGATGTCCTGCCCCTTCTCTGGCCACCTCCCTCTCCCAGATTTCCCCTTCGAATTATCCTCTCTGCCTGCCAGCCCCGCCTATTTCTCTCTCCTGTCTTGCTACTTGGCATTCAACTCTTTATTAGACCATCAGGTGTTTTAGACAGGCACAGTAACACAGCTTTACAGAATTAAACAAATGCAACATAAACAAAAGTAACACACCTTAACATAATATTCCCAACAGTGCCCATTTGTGGTCCCAAAGTTCTTTCCCGCCAAACCAGAACACTTGTCATCCACACGACAAGTGTTCATTTGCTTCTCTGTATGCTTCATGAATAAATTAAGTTCTATGAAAGTAGAAACCAGACTAGTTTACCTTTAACAGCATAGTAACCACCTTACAGATGGGAAGTAGACATTTTTAAATGAACATTTCTTTCATGGGTCAATTTCTATTGATTTATCTATTGTTTTACTAATATTACTATTATCATTTTGGGTTTTTTTTTTTTTGAGACAGGGTTTCCCTGTAGCTTTGGAGCCTGTCCTGGAACTAGCTCTTGTAAACCAGGCTGGACTCAAACTCATAGAGATCCGCCTGCCTCTGCCTCCTGAGTGCTGGGATTAAAGGCGTGCGCCACCACTGTCCTGCCATTTTGTTATTTTGAGACAGTGTTTCTCTGTGTAACAACCCTAGCTGTCCTGGAACTAGATCTGTAGACCAGGCTGGCCTCAAACTCACAGAGATCTGCCTGCCTCTGTCTCACAAATGCTGGGATTAAGGGTGTGAGCCACCACTACCCTTCCTGTGCCATCACTGCCTGGCTAATTTCTATCATTTTAACAAAACACCTTACATTGGGTTATGTATAAAGAAACTTTTCTACAGTTTACAGTTTGGGAGGCTGAAGGTCTCCCCAGATTGCATAGCCTCGTCTGGTCAACCTCTGGTGCAGGTCTCCTGGTTATATCACAACATGGTAGAAAAGCAACATAAAAGAAGAAATACACAGTCCTATGTCAGGACAGGAAATCAGAGAGATTGAAGGGCAAGGATCCACCTCTTTCATGACAACCTGCTATTGCAGAAACTTGGGTCCAAAGAGAACTCATTAATGTCTGATGTGGGATTCTCCTCTGTATGCTGTGAATATGTTTTATTACCATTGGTTAATAAAAAAGCTGCCTTGGCCTATGGCAGGGCAGAATATAGCAAGTCAGGAAATCTAAGCTGAAATGGAGGAAAGAAGGAGAAATCAGGCAGGTGCCATGTAGTCGCCCAAGAAGCAAGAGGTAACAGCCTCATGGTAAAACACAGAATAATAGAAATGTGTTAATTTAAGATGTTAGAGTTAATATTCAGGAGGATGCCTATATGTTTTTCTTTGGCATCTTCCTGAATATTAACCTTCATCAGGCGATGAAAGGAGACAGAGACACACATTGGAGCACCGGACTGAAATCTCAAGGTCCAAATCAGGAGCAGAAGGAGAGAGAGCACGAGCAAGGAACTCAGGACCGCGAGGGGTGCACCCATACACTGAGACAATGGGGATGTTCTATCAGGAACTCACCAAGGCCAGCTGGCTTGGGTCTGAAAAAGCCTGGGTTAAAACCGGTCTCGCTGAACATAGCGGACAATGAGGACTACTGAGACCTCAAGAACAATGGCAATGGGTTTTTGATCCTACTGCACGTATTGGCTTTGTGGGAGCCTAGGCAGTTTGGATGCTCACCTTACTAGACCTGGATGAAGGTGGGTGGTCCTTGGACTTCCCACAGGGCAGGGAACCCTGATGGCTCTTTGGGCTGACGAGGGGGGGGGACCTGATTGGGGGGGGGGGAGGGAAAGGGGAGGCGGCGGTGGGGAAGAGACAGAAATCTTTAATAAATAAATAATAAATAAAAAATTATTACATAGTAAAAAAAGATGTTAGAGTTAGCTAATAAGAATCTTGAGCTAATAGGCCAAAAGAGGATGTAATTAATATTAAGCCTCAGAATGGTTATTTCATAAGCGGCTGCAGGAACTAGTGAGTGGGACCTGGTGGGTGGAGAGAAACCGGTCCAGGGGAACCAGCAGAATGGGGAATATTTGTAGCTACAAATGTCTTCCATGGTAGTGCCCCATTACATAACCAACAAACAGTAGGCCCCACCTCAAACCAAGACAGTGATCAGTATTCCATAACCCTTACACACTCAAACCAAATGAAATCATAACACAGTCTTTCTTCTAACACATGCTCATTTTGCTTTACGACAGAGCTTGGGTAATTAGCATTGGATCTTGTTACTCTAACTACCATCAGACTAGAGCACTCAAAAGTTATCCTTGATCGAATGCATTCTATATTCTTTACAGAACCCTATTTCTGGCATATTCGGTGACTACAGCTATGACTCCACTACTTCCATAGAAGACTCCACTACTTCCATAGACGACTTCATGAATTTCACTGCTGCCGGTGACCTCTTCTGTAAGAAAAGCAATGTCAGGAAGTTTGCAAGCCATTTCCTTCCACCTCTGTACTGGCTTGTGTTCATTGTGGGCACCCTGGGCAACAGCCTGGTCATCCTTGTCTACTGGTATTGCACAAGAGTGAAGACCATGACTGATATGTTCCTTTTGAACTTGGCAATTGCTGATCTCCTCTTTCTTGCCACTCTTCCCTTTTGGGCAATTGCTGCTACTGGCCAGTGGACATTCCAGACCTTCCTGTGCAAGGTTGTAAACAGCATGTACAAGATGAACTTCTATAGCTGTGTGCTACTCATCATGTGTATCAGTGTGGACAGATACATTGCCATTGTACAGGCCATGAAGGCTCAGATCTGGAGGCAGAAAAGGCTTCTGTACAGCAAGATAGTCTGCATTACCATCTGGGTAATGGCAGCTGTGCTCTGTATCCCAGAAATCCTGTACAGCCAAATCAGTAGGGAATCTGGTATTGACATATGTACCATGGTCTACCCTAAGGATAAGAATGCCAAGCTGAAATCAGTTGTTTTGATCCTGAAGGTCACCTTGGGGTTTCTCCTCCCCTTCATGGTCATGGCCTTCTGCTACACTATCATCATCCACACCCTGGTACAGGCCAAAAAGTCATCCAAGCACAAAGCCCTAAAGGTGACCATCACTGTCCTGACTGTCTTCATTATGTCTCAGTTCCCCTACAACTGCATTCTTGTAGTGCAGGCTGTTGATGCCTATGCCATGTTCATCTCCAGCTGTGATACTTCCACCAACATTGACATCCTCTTCCAGGTCACTCAGACCATCGCTTTCCTCCACAGTTGCCTAAACCCCGTTCTGTATGTATTTGTGGGTGAGAGATTCCGCAGGGATCTCATGAAGACCCTAAAGAACTTGGGATGCATTAGCCAGGCCCAGTGGGTTTCATTCACAAGGAGAGAGGGTAGCTTGAAGCTTTCTTCCATGCTATTGGAGACAACCTCAGGGGCTCTCTCCCTCTGAAAGAAGTTCTCAATGAGACAGATGGTCCTTTTGGGAATGATGAGATATATAGACACAAACAACATAGTCGCCCGACTGATGAGAAAACAAATCATAAGAAATGAGAAAAAAACAAAACAAAGTAAAGCAAATTAGGATGAGCCTAAACAGCTTTATCATGCTTAGTCAGGATATGCCGAAGTCTTCAAACCTGACCACACCAGCAGGGCACTAGCTGTATTTTGGTTGTAACTGCAGTTCTGAGGAGGATGCTCGATCGGCAGTGAAGACACCTCAGCCGTGCACATGCCATCAGTGCAGCTCTGTTCTGGAGGTGTTGCGTTTCTTCAATGCTCCCCATTTCTGTTACTCCAGATTCGTCGCTACTACTCTCCAGAGGTGACAGAGCACTGACTGCTGCCGTAGTCCACAAAAGCAAGGCTCAGTGACATTTTCCACCTTGGGATCTTTTCTCATTGGTCCCATTAGTGGGAAGACTGTGTTTGTACATCTCATTACTTACAGATTTTTAGATCTAGAATATACCCAAATGATCTGAGGTTTAATGCCTTTCTGATCTCCTTAGTCTCTTGTGAGTCAAGGGGAACCATTTTTTTCCTATTTTGGAGCCACTTGTAAGACAGGTTGGTCAGTCCAGGTACAGATGACCACATCATAACATCAATTAGAGTCTGTTGCTCCTACTCTACTTCTGTGTCTGGCTGGAGGTGCCATGTCCAAACCTACCTGTAGGCTCTGTCTAGGAAGTGATCTAGCCTGTTCCCTGAGGTGGCAAAACAGCTCTCACAGACCAAGCCTGAGAATATACTTGGGTGGTGGAGACCTAGCATTGGCTCTGTTGGAACTTTTTCAGGGTAGAAGCATTTGCTGCAGGTTCTCCCATATCCTGTCAGTGACATATCCTTTCCTTCTGAGGCTTCCAGAAGGGTGTCTGCCTCCCTACTGCCTCCCCTTTCCATACTCTGTAGTGCCAACAGTTTACGAAAAATTTAACTTTAGAGAGATTAAGAAAAAAACATGTATTATATTTCACTTTTTACCTATGTTTTTTTTAACTACTTACCAAATTTCTCACATTGGAAAAAAATCATTGCATATCCTGGAAAAGTGCTTTATAATGTATATTTTAAAATGTTCATCACTTGCTATTTGTTTTATGCTTTCTCATTATTATAATTGTGAGCAATTAAATATCAAATAGAAATACAATAATTGTAAAGCGTGAGATGGCGGTAAACCTTTACTTGTTTTGGATTGCCCATGTAACCAACTTTTACAACATAATGCAGAACTATAATCTCAAGTTATGTATTCTATGCCCCTCACCTGAGGAATGCATGTATGTTTGCATGTTTGTAATAATAATCATTTGCTGAAAACAACAAAAATAGAGGTTGAAAGCAATCTTATAAAATGAATATCCACCATAAATTCTGAACACAATATATGAACTGTTAACAATGATTGCTGTATACTGTTTGTTATCTGGGTCAGTTGAAGTCTATAACTTAATCCCTCATAAAACTTAAAAATTTCTGTAAAGTATTTATTTAAAGTATTACTTCTCCAGATGATGCTTTCTGTTCAATAAATCCTTTATTGGGGATAGAGAGAGACAAAACACACACAGAGAGAGAGAGAGAGAGAGAGAGAGAGAGAGAGAGAGAGAGAGAGAGAGAGAGAGAGAGAGAGAGATTCAAAAGATAGTCTTCAGGCAGGCACAGATTCAGACTCATATAGCAGAGACAGGAGACAAAGGGAGAACAAAGTAGAGAATTGAAATTTGAGCTTGCTCTTGGTTAAATGACACTAAGGGGAAGTGCTTTGATTTCTTTCCTTAATGCACCCAAACATTGGTGACTCGGAGTGTATTATTAATACAATCAAACCAACTGCACTGATGCATAATCAAAGAAGATTGTGGTTGGTTGAGGTGCATATAAACAATACACGAGGCTGTGGAAAGAACATGCAAAAAATCTATGCCAGAAGTCTCAATTATTGTTACATTAAATTTAGCAGCATAAACAACAGCTTTTCCATTTGCTTAGTAAAGTTTTGTAGGTAAGGAATTTGAAAAGGATGCACTTGCATGGATCTAGCTTGGGGTCTCTCATGCAGCTGTAGTCAAAGGCTGGAGGTATGGTCACCTGAGGCTTGAATGGGAGGGTCAGCCTAAAGTCAAAGGGAAGAACCTCTTAAGAAAAGTGTGTCAAGCAACCAATATTATGGCCATGTTTCTTAATTTTTTAAAATTAATTATTTGGGAATTTCATATAACATATTTTGAGCACATCATATCCACTTCTCCAACTCCTCCCAGATCCACTGCCACCTCTAAACCCACCCGTTTCATATTGTCTTTTTTTTTTTTAAAAAAATAAGCCACTGAGTCCAATTTGTGCTGCCCATTTATTCCTAGGCGTGCAGTCACCCACTTGACATTACCGACAAACTAGGAGTCACATCCTTAAAGAAAGGAGATTTTCCCTCCCCCAGAAGTCACCAATTGCCCAGCTTCTTAGATGGGGTGGGGTCCTAAGTCATGAATCCTTTCCCACCCTATGCTAGAGTGTTGCTCGGTTGATCTGTGCAGTCTTGTACAGGTAATCACGGTTGCCATGAGTTCATGAACACAGGGGTTCTGTCATGTCCTGAAGACTGTTTTGTTTTGGTCCTCTGCCATCTCTGACTCTTACAGTCTTTCCTCTACCTCTTCGGAGATGATCCCTGAGCCTTGGGGGAAGGGGATGATATAGATACCCATTTATGGCAGAGCACTCCACTGATACTCTGTATTTTGACCAGATATGCATTAACCACTATCTACTCCATAAAGAAAAATTTTCTGATAGGTCTGAGAGCTGTACCAGTCCATGGGTAGAGAGATAGGAATTTAGAGGCCAGTTTGAAACTGTCAGCTTAGCAGAATAATAGTAATAGGCTCACCTCTGAGGCCAAAATATGGGTCCTTGGCCAGACTTATAGGACCAGACATATGCCTCTTTTGTGGAGTGGGCCTTAAATCTAATCAGAAAGTAGTTGGTTACCCCCATAGTGTTTGTGCCACTACTGCATTTATAGAAACATCTTGTCATTATTGCAGTTCACAAGGTTCACAGATGGATAAGACTTGGCAACTCCCTGCCTCTGGTTCCCCGCTCCTACTCCCCATAACCTCCAAAGAACCTCCCAATACTATGAGAACTAATGGACATATTTTAAAATTACCACATGCTAACTTACTAACTTCAATACTTGTGTTCCCCAACTGTTCATCTGCTAATGCCAAGAAAGAGGCAGAAGCAAGGAATGAGGGCTGGTAGGTGCTGTTTTTTTTTTTTTTTTTTTTAAGTAATAATAGCTCTCACATTTCATGACATTATGGCTAGATCACTTATCTCAAGACACAGTGAGTACCAGAAGTTCAATTTATGCCTTTGTGATACTTAACCTTGTGGAAATGCTATTATACTTTCTCCACCCTGGGAATTCAAGTTTAGCTCTTGTCGTCATTTACAGTTTACCATCAATGCGGTGAAGCTCTCTTATCATACAGACCTGAGTCAGAAGACCAGGATGGCCCCATGTAAACCATTCCAAAAGCAAAAGAGCAGGAACCCTAGCTAGACTATGGCTTCTTCCAAAGCTCTCCCTGGGTTGCTTCATGATGTCAAGCTTACTGAGTAGGTGACCCCCCCCCGTGGGAATGCATGGAGACTGATTTTGTGTATGGTGAGAGATGTTTCTTGCCAGTGGTCATGTCAGAGGAGCAGCAGATGGCAACTGAGGTTTGAGGCGTCAGCCTATCAGGAAATACCTGATGAGTGACCCTTTGATAGGCAAGGCCCCAAGACCACTCCAGAATGCCTTTTGCTTCTGCTGTGCCTTTACATCTCTCTCTGGCACCTGGTATGGTGTAAATGGGTGTGGGGAGATTCCCCACTGTGTGTAATGTAGTGTGTTTATCTCACAGAAATATCCCGCTCTACCGGGTATTTTTACCTGTGGATTAATATGAAGATGATTTCCTCCTAAGATGTAATGTTTAACTGAAACAAGGATTTTATACAATAATAGTGTTAGTTTAAATAGGATTTTGATGATTGAGGGTTTTTAATGAATATACTGGGGATTATGATAGAGGTTAGTTTAGTGGAAAAGTTAACAAAGGTAAAGGCAGGGTAAAATGTTGCCCCATCTCTGATAAAGCAGAGGCTGCAGAGGATAAAAAATAGAACAATGAAGTGTCACACAGGTAGAACACGTAAGTTTCTATTGAGAAGCTGTAGAGACTGTGACTTAGGCTAATGATGAAGGAAACCAACTGAGTTCCAGTAGCCCAGCTAGCTTAGATTGTTTAAATCTTAATGCTGGGAGGTATACTCACAGGTTTTGGAATGTTCCATAGCTGAAACAGAGTTTTGAAAATAAAGTTAGACTAAGATGCTTTTGTAAAACAGTTGTAAGGTGAAAAACCCAAGAAGATAATCTAAATTTTTAGGAAGGCACATAGTTGAATGAAAAACTCGTTGTCAGGGAACAAGAACAATCTAATCCAATTATCCTTAGCTGACATACCTTTCTTGCTAGGATTGGCTGATGACTAAAGATGATGATTTATACCATTTCTATCCTCACTCTCCTGATATAAAAAACTATTGATGAGTGGGTATGCACCCTTAAGATTTAAAGTAGAGCTGACTGATTATTTTTCATGTATAAAAATTTAGGTTCATCTCCTGAACATTAACCTTCATCAGGCGATGAAAGAAGACAAGAGACAGAGACAGAGACCCACATTGGAGCACCGGACTGAAATCTCAAGGTCCAAATCAGGAGCAGAAGGAGAGAGAGAGAGCACTGAGCAAGGAACTCAGGACCATGAGGGGTACACCCACACACTGAGACAATGGGGATGTTCTATCGGGAACTCACCAAGGCCAGCTGGCCTGGGTCTGAAAAAGCCTGGGTTAAAACTGGTCTTGCTGAACATAGCGGACAAGGAGGATTACTGAGATCTCAAGAACAATGGCAATTGGTTTTTGATCCTACTGCACGTATTGGTTTTGTGGGAGCCTTTGCAGTTTGGATGCTCACCTTACTAGACCTGGATGGAGGTGGGTGGTCCTTGGACTTCCCACAGGGCAGGGAACCCTGATTGCTTTTTGGGCTGACGAGGGAGGGGGACTTGATTGGGGGAGGGGGAAGGAAAGGGGAGGCGGCGGAGGGGAAGAGACAGAAATCTAATAAATAAATAAATAGATAAAAGAAAAAAATTTAGGTTTATGATTCCTTCAAGTAAGAAGGAAAACATCAAAAGTAAAGATAGATGTTGACATAAGTTTCTGTTCCACCTGGTCCCGCAGTCCTTCAGTCCCAAGGAAACACACAGAGGATTATATTTATTACAAACTATTTGGCATATTAGCTCCGGATTATTAACTAGCTCTTCCAACTTAAACTAACCCATAATTCTTGTTTATGTTTAGCCACATGGCTTGGCACCTTTTCTCAGTGAGGCATTCTCATCTTGCTCAGTGTCTAGCTGGTGACTGTGTTTCTGCATTTCCTCTTCCCAGAATTTTCTTAGTCTGGTTGCCCCACCTATACTTCATGCCTGGCTACTGGCAAGTCAGTGTTTTATTAAACTAATATGAGTGACAAATCTTTACAGTATGTAAAAGCATCATTCCACAGCAGATAGTTAGAAGAAAAAGAAATCTAGAACAAGAGAAGGAAATCACCAGGAAAGTAATAGAAAATGCAAAAGAAGAATAAAGAAAAGGTCTGGGGGAAATGAGAGAGAGAGAGAGAGAGAGAGAGAGAGAGAGAGAGAGAGAGAGAGAGAGAGAACGTCTTTTCACCTTACCCTTCAGATTAAAGAGTTGTAGTATGCCAACTCCGTGATTCCCTTTGAGCCCTGCATCCCTGGAGGATGGTCTGCTAGGCAGTGGACATTTCCCTTCTTCTACAGGTCATTATCCAGGTTTTCTGGAACTTTTTATTGAAGACATTGTCCTTTCCTCAATTTGAATACACCGTTTATAGTCCAGAACAAATTTTGTTGAGAACCATTTGGCTGTAAATGTCCTGGTTTATTTCTAGGTCCTCTACTCTGTGCCATTGTATCTATCTATGCTTTTTACATTAGTATCATGCTGTTTGGTTACTCTTTGTAGGCACTTTTGTTTTGTGTTTTGGTTAAGAGAAGATGTCTTGTTGTTGTCTAGGTTGTTCCCAAACTCCTGGACTCAAGTGATCCTTCTGCCTTAGCACCTTACATGGCTGGGTCTGCAGATACACACAGAGTGAGCCCTGCTTGGAACAGGCTTTGAAGTTGGATAGTCTGATGACTCCAGCTTTGTTCTGTATACTCTGCTGTGGATATATGCACTCTTTTGCAGTTCCAAAACACACTTAAGACTGCTTTCTGATTCTATGGAGTAACTGACACTAGAATTGGGATCACATTGATTCTATAGATTCCTTTGGGTAGCATTTCAACAATAGCCATTCTCCCATTTATGAACATGTAACACCCTTTCATTTGCAAGTGTTATCTTCAGAGTGAAAAGTATTTTAACTTGTCAGGAAGACAGGCTATACCTGCAAGTGTTACAGCTCTGGAGGGAAAGGTATCTTAAGTTGTTGGGAAGTCAGGTTATACCTACAGCTGTGGAAGGGTCAGGACTGCAGACAAAGCTTTCCTCTTTCCAGAATTCCCGTTCTTGTTGCCTTGCCTCTACTTCCTGCCTGGCTACTGACCAATCAGCATTTATTTAAAATATGATTGACAGAATACAGACAATTGTCCCACACCAGACTCTTTTGTTGGGTAATTAGTGTAGAAAGATTTGGTTTCTTGATTTTGTTTTCAGATAATTATTTACACATAAAAATACTTTTTTTTTTTTTTTTTTTTTAAAAAAGACAGGTTCTCATGACATAGTCCTGGCTTGATGGAGGAAGGTCATTGGTTAAATAAAGAAACTGCCTTGGCCCTGATAGGTTAAAATTTAGATAGGCGGAGTAAACAGAACAGAATGCTGGGAGGAAGAGGAAGTGAGCTCAGACGCCATGCAGCCAGCCACCAGGTAAGACATGCTGAATGTTTTCTGGTAAGCGCACCTCGTGGTGCTACATAGATTATTAGAAATGGGTTAAGAGGCTGAAACTAATGGGCCAGGCAGGGTTTAAAAGAATACAACTTGTGAGTTGTTATTTCTGGGTATAAGCTAGCCAAGCGGCCAGGAGCCGGGCTGTGGGAAGAGGCCTGCAGCTCCCACAACACTGGCTGGCCTTAAATTTATGGAGATCTACCTGCCTCTGCCTCCCAATTTAAGGGGTTAAAGGCATGTGCCACTACACACAGGAATATTGATTTTTATGTTGCTTTAAGAAAAACATATAAAAATATATTTAAGAATGCAATTTTCTGCATGTGTGTATGTACCCTGTGTGTGTAAGATATTCATAGACGTCAGAAGAGGACATTGGATTCCCTGGAACTACCTCTGTAGATAGTTGTGAGCCACCATCAGTGCTGGGAATTGAACCAGTGTCCTCTGAAAGAACAGCAAGTGCTTTTTATCACTGAGTCATCTCTTTAGCCTCATATGATGATTTTTTTTTAAAAGTACTGCCACTTCAACTGATAAATATATTAGTTCTAATAGCCAAACTAGATATATATCTAAAGGAGCTGAAATTACCATTTGGAAGAGTTATCTTTCCTCCTGTATTTACTGAAGCAGGATTCATAATAGCTAAGATACACACTCAGCCTAGGTATCCAAGAACACATGAATGGATACAGAAAATGTGGTAAATTTACATAATGAAATAAAAAGAGTGAACTCCAACTAGTTGTGGTAACTTGGATGAGCCAGGAGGACACTATGACAACTGAAAAGAACTGAGCACAGAAAGACAACTACTGAATAATTTAATTGGCAAAACTCTGGCCACTGTAGTTACTCAGCCATGTAGTGGGTGGGATCAGCACAGCATGTGAGACTGGGTGTCTTGGGTGGTACATGTTCTAGTGCCCACCCAAGAGGCCATGCACTGTCTTATTAACCAAGAAATCTCTCTACTGTTTCATTTGAGGCACTCTAAACCTGCTTTCCACTTCACCCAGTTACTAGTTAGAAGTGTGATTTGAAGGCATCTTCCATGTAAGAGGTTTAGGTGAACCCATGTGTGGTGGTATATAACTACATGCCGGACCTGGGAGTTTGAGCCAACCTTGGTTATACAGTGAGACCCTATCATCTCTCTCTCTCTCTTACACACACACACACAATGACTAAGTGACAGTGCTCTGCTCATTTTCCCCACGACTCTGCCCACAGCCCCACAGCCTTTCTTCAGGAGTTGTCTTTAGCAGAGCTGGTTGGCCAGTGTGATCGTTGAAAACCATTTTGCTAACCTAAGGCATTGGGACTGACTAGGATCTTCATTGGTGCAAGACTTTTTTTAGTCCCCCTTTTTTGGGAGCTTATTGCTTCATATGGTGGGGAATGATAAAGATGAATGTGACAGAGTTCTTTGCCCTCAAGGGAAAAACCAAAGAGTTATAGAAAATGTGAATGATTCAAGTAGCAACCATGAGGAAATCTAGGGTAGGGGAAGACTGGAGGGATGGGCTGGGACAGGTGCCTGGGGTGTTCTTTGAGGCATGGGATACTCAAGAGACGGGGACTCTGGCCATCTCAAGAATCCAGGTACTGAGCACCAGTTCAGGACAGTGCAGGTTGGCCTGTTGACAGCCCCCTAGCAGCTGAGCAAAGGCGGCGCACACACTGGTGGAGTGTGGTTCTCGCCCTGCAAGGCATCAGCGCTGCGCCACATGGTTACTGATAATGAGCTGAAAGCGATCAGTGGCCTTTTTTTACTTCATTATTTTGGCAGGTTAAAACGTTTGTTCTTTGAGCACTCTGAAACCATTAGAGAGGAGCAGGAGCCGTATGAATGGCAGAGGAGGGTAGGTGGAAGGTGATGCAGGCTTAGGCAATTCTCAATATCACCCCCCGCCGCCCCCGCCCCTGAGAGGACCAGGGAGTATGGAACGCCAGAACAGGTCCCCTACTTACACTCTCTTCCGCAGGGCTCCTGTAAGATGTTCTGCTTCCTGCAGGATAGTTCTGTCACTCATCCAATGACTTATTCTTGTCAGAGGAATGAAAGACAATGTTACTCCAACTGCCACAGTGTTTGCTTTATTTGAAACCTGAGGTTAAAAAACATTTCCAAATGGCACAGCAGACACTGTTAAAGGAGACAATTCAGTGATACCAAAGGTTCATCCCTTGTGGAGATGAAGTGCTGGTGTTTGATGTGCTTCTGAGTAACTCTTTGGCAGATAAGAATGAAATGGGTTCCCTGACCCATTATCTCATAAGGCCACACAAAACGAGGATTAATGAATTAAAGTGCATTCCAATCGTCACGCCTTCCCACAGAGACTCGGTGTCACTGCAGTCACCAAAAGCAGGGCATCTAGATTAAACACACGTCAAAAGGGTCGAAAAACGCCCCTTGATCAGAGAGGTCTCCTGAAATTTAAAAGGTGTTTGAGAGGGAAAAGGAAATTTTGAATTAACTTTGTTTCGTTGGAAGAAATTAGGCGCGATGAGGAAATTGTGCTAAGTTTCTACCCAGTAGTGTTCGTTTCTGTGAATGTGAGCAGCACTCAATGGTCTTCGTATTGCATTCCCTGGTTCTGAGCACCAAAGATGGCTCCTCTCTGCCTCCTTTTCCAAAACCTCTGAGCCAAGAATGTTCTCTGAGTATAAAGGATTCTCACAGGTAGAACCAGGGAGTCTGAGTTTAAAAACAAAACTCCATGAATATCAAACTAGAGCTGCAAGATTTCTTTTTTGGCCAGGAGTAGCTTGATACTTGCCGGACAACTGAACCTGTTCAGAAATAACATCTTTATTTATATATGGCTCTTCGTTTCCACCTCCCAAACCGTATGGAGATTTTCAGTTCCAGATTTCTGCTTGAGAATTCCTTTGCCTTCTTGGCCCAGGGCTAGCTGGAATCTAGGGTGCTTAGTCAGCAATGCTCTCCGAGTCTACTGAGACACGGAGGGCCCCATCTCTGCCTCAGACATACTTCCCTGTGTCTGGGTAGCTGGTTTATTTCTTGGGTGAAGTCAAGTAGTGGCTTCAGTGTCTGGTAAACAGGCAGCTGGCAACACTACTAACATGGCTGTTATGATTCCTCATAACATAGCTGAGTCATTACAGAAGGAGCTGTCCTTAGAAAAAGAATGACCCAGGATCTCAAGGATGTTTCCTTATGACTTGTAGTATAATTAAGTCCAGCTGGGCCACCATCTTTCTCAGTGATTCTTCAATTGTCATTTGCATTTTTAAAAGTTACTCCAATGAACTACTTAAAATAATAAAGCTACGTATGAAAGGCACACGTACACGGGGCCAAATGTTCTCTAGTAACCTAGTGCATGAACTGTGAGTGGGAACATGAACAGTGAACCAATATATAACACAGTACAAAGTCCATTCAGCACAAAACTAAATATACTGTCAAAGACAGAGAGTTGCTAAGTGCCTACCGGAGTCCTGGGCAGTCAGCACTGAAGCCTCTCACCTCAGTTATGAGCTGGCCTCACAAGAGCTGCGTGGGACTCCTGGTAAGTTCAGGATTAAGTCTGATGGAAGGCCCCAGGCACCTCCCAGGCCCCTAACACAACAGTAACTCAGTGAATGGTCGCTCTTGATGCAGACAGTGACACGGGCAGAAAGCCATGAGCTTGGCCAGTGTCTCCAACATACCCTGGAAAAGCCAAGTAATAAAAACGAGATCCTACTTGGTGCTGGATACTGTTGGCCTAGTAAGCAAGCTGGCTCCAGTCTTCCCTTTGCAAGAGGAAGGTTCAAAGGTAAGATGATTTGGTCTTCAGCAATCTCAGGCCACATACAGACCTACAAGGAGCCCTGTCAGTCTTCGAAGACTCAGCTGCATACGCCGGCCTCACATGGCAAAAAGTTGCCAGCAAAGGTAAACTGGTGGTGGGAGTAAAAAGGGGTCACAGAGAACAGAAAGTTCTCTAAGCTAGCTGTCCTAGAAAAGGAAACAGTAGGCTGTCTGCAGCATCAGATATGAGCTGATGAGCAAGAGGGGTGGCGGGCAGATGGAGGCCCAAAGGAAGTTATGCCCTGCTCTTCTGCTGCATTGCTTCTTCGTTACCAAAGACTTTTTAGGAAGGTTCCAGGTATTGAAAGTGGTTCTTAACTGACTCCACTCACAAGTAAACAACCGTCTGCAGATGGGGCGGAAGCTCTGGTGTTTACAAATAAAGATGGGCTATGGGCTGACACATGAGCTCTGAGGCCAACCTGAGTTCACTCTATTTCTACTCCTGCCATCCATGTGCAGAGCTGAAGCCTTCAGGTAGTGGCTGCTCTTTCCTAGACCTCTGGTTGGTTCTTGTGTGTGTGTGTGTGTGTGTGAGTGTGCGTGTGCGTGCGATGTGTGTGATTTAGAGCTGCTGAGTGGCCAGGCTGAGCAAAGGCCCTGAATAGACAAGGGCTCTGAAGGACAGTGCAGTTCAGCACCCGCCCCCAAATTGCTGAGAATGAGAAAGCAGCCCCTTCTTATGGAAATTAGGTGCATCTCCCACGTGATGGCCCTATGGTCTCCTTCTCCTGGGACTACACAAGGATTCACAAAGGGAATCCTTTGCCTGAAAAATACCACAGCAGACTGTTACCAACTATGATCCCAGGTGAGGCCAATGGTGTTTCTAGAGTACGAACATTTGGCAAAGTGTCCCTTGGGTGAGAAGATAGCTGAGTCTCACATCTGGTCCTTAGGGACCCTGGGAACTGACAGTGACAGCCTCACGTAACCAAGCACATTGTGAATCTTGGCAGAGTAGTTTCTAAGGTGCAGTTCAAGGCTCTGCCAGAGCTTCAGAGCTGGTGAGCTGGGGTACAGCTGATTGCATTTTCTGTGTTTCTAATTCTTAATTAAAATTGTGTGAGTGTGGGTATATATGTTTAAAGAGATGGGTGAGGAGGAGTAGTGTTTCCTGTGGATGACAAAGAGCTTAAAGTTCCGGTACTGATGCTATGGGAAATCGCTTCCGTCGTAGATCACAGGCCGGTCAACAGTCAGATGGTAAAACACTCTTTTGGAGATAAATCTGAAGAAATAAAAAAAATGGAAAATACAGGTGTTACTTTTAGTGAAGACTGAGGCCTCATGTCACTGACTGGGCTTTGCTAGGTGTAGAACTAAAGTCTCTAGAGAAACAGTTTCTGGGAATTGGGCAACTCACGGGCCATTTTAGTGTTCCTTGGCTCCCTATCCCCATCTTCTGCCTGTCTAGTCTAGTAAAGTTCTCTCCCCTCAGAAGATCCAAGTACTGTCCATCATGGGCTTCCTAGGGCCACAGTGAAGGGTGGGGCTGTAAATCTCTGTCCTCACTAGCTGCTCTGAGGTGCCAGTGGTCAGGACTGCATGGGAGGACAGACTAGGTGCCATAGGAGGTCACAGCAGAAGCCAGAATGTATGTCACACACACTGGACATTTGTGTCAGTTCTGATCTCTATGTACCATAGACAGAGATCATTTTCCAGAGCACCGCACTACCCTAGGTTTTCCAGGAGCCTGAGGCTGCATGCGGCCCTTGTCACACCCCTTTCTGGAACCACTGCCAGGCTCAGTGAGGCACTGATACTTCTAGGATCATTACAGAAAATGAAATGGTTAACTAGAGTTGCAGCAGGAAGAACAGAGCTTGGCTACATAGACACTGATCCTCTCCTAACCCTGCTCCCTACTGTTATTGCTGCTCACCTAGATGGGGACCACAGTCAGCTCCTTGGGAAGCTGAGCACACTCCAAAGTCCTACAGATTTAGGCAGAGTTCTATTATTCAGGGCAACACAGGACAAGTGGGAAGGTCTCTTGCATGGTAGGCAACCCTGTCCACAGGCCTGAGAACTCAGGACCTGAGGACCTGGAGTAGGGTATGGGAACACCTTTGCCTAGAATATCCTAACAAGTTACTCTGCTAAAAGCCAAACACTTGTGAAGGGAGACAGCCACAGCCAAGACAGGTCTACTTTAAGAAAGAACCCCAGTGAAGAGGCTCCCTGGAAACCAGAAGCCTTCTCTAGGGACAGAGGTCTCAACTTGTGCATGTGATAGATGCTGTCTGTCTGTTCTGCCTGTTCCCTTTTCTAGTCACCTACTTACCATCCTTTTTATATTCTCATGATGATTACTCCTGAGATCAGACCCCCTAGAGCCTTTAGCTGACCCTCAGTACTGCCTGAAGTAAATGGAGAAGTCAAGATGGCAAAGACTGCTCCTGTGACCTACAACATGGCTGTTGTGGAATATTCGTTTAAAACTTGAGTGGTCAGTATACGGTAAGACAAGGTAAGTGTTGGTCCACCGCTGCAGCCTGAATAACCCATGTGCCCCACAGGCTCACATATGTGATCACTTGGTCTCTGGTTGGTGATGCTGTGTAGGGAGGATGTAGCATTTTCAGGAGGAAAAGCTTTGCTGACAGAAGTATGCCACTGGGGGTGAGCTGTGAGGATTTGTAGCCTCCCCTACTTCCTGTTTGCCCTCGTTGCTTCCTGCATGTGAATAAAGATGTGACCTGTCAACTTCCTGTTCTGGCTGCCTGCTGCCATTATGGACTCTGAAACTAAAAGTCAATTAAACTCCTTCTTCCTTTAGTTGCCTTTAATCATGGTGTTTTATCCCAGCAACAAAAAGCAACTGACAGACCTGCTTTATAAAACCTACCATGAGCAGTGAAGGCAGCGAAGGAGTCTAAATTATAGAATCACTAGCAAAAAAACTTTGACAACGAAGTCTTGATTTTGAGTGCCTGCCTCAGTGCTAGAGAACAGGAGCAATGATGCATAGAGACAGGTGGACCCATGAGATGCCATGACCAACTTAGGTACCTACCTGGAAAAGGTGTTGTCAAAGATAAGCAAGTAGATACCAGGGGTTCGGACCTTCAGCTGGCCCCGGATACTCTCCTTGTGGGAATTGCATCGAGTGGTGGGAATGAGGACCTGGCAGGGAGAGCAATAAGGTGTCACAGAAGCTGAAGGCTGTGAGTCCTCTAGGCAAGCTGAATGAGGTCACAGCTGTAAAGGCTGGGACGAAAACTCAGCCCCAGCAAGGGTGGGGTGTCAACTATCCCACTCACTGTAGGCAGATGGTGCGTATGCATTTCTTCCACACTAGAGCCAATCTGTCCCATCCCTTGGAGAAGCTGTATTTCTTCCATGCTTTTAGGAACATTCTAAGTGCCCATTTGACCAGCTGCCTCATGTAGGTCCTAGTGCTGTCCTTAGGACACAGTCCTCTTTCCGGATGATGACATTCAGGCTCTCTATAGCTCCTGGCCCCGCCTCCTCCAGGAAAGACAGCCCTAGCTCCACCCATGGCCTCTCACAAGGCATCACCACAAGCCCTTCTCTTGGATAGGTGCTGGCCAGTCCATGTGATTTTAATCTTTCCAAGTCTAAATCTTAGCCTCCTGTTTATTCTTTCAGAATCACAAATTTATCCCCTAAGTGCAAATCTGGGCATATAGTGTATGGATCAGAGCTAGTCCTTGGATGGTCAACCTCATCCCCATGGGGGGCAAGGTCTTCTACCTGAATATCAGCTAAAGCACAGGCCTAAACTTAAAACTGAAGTTATATGAGTTAGCAAAATGGCTTGGTAGGTAAAAGAGCTTGCCTTGCAAGTCTGACAACTTGAAAACCATGTAAAGAGGAGAAAGGGAAGAGACACTATAAAAGTATCCTCTGGTCTCCATGTACATGCCATGAATTAATTCATCCCCTCCCCCAATGATAAAGTGAAACAAAACTGAAGGTGTGACAGGAAGAGATGACCAGTATTCTCTTTCCTTCCTACTTTCCCCATCCCCCAGTGCCTTACACTGTCTACTTAGCAAAACCTATGCATAAAGGGTTATATAGACCACCAGCTCTACAGAGCACTCTGAGCTCCTAATATAGCAAATGGCATCAGAAGTGACCGTTTTTATCTACCCCTCTTACCCTGCAACGAGACAGTCTCAGCGTGGCCTTCTCTGTAGACACAGGAGTCCTTTTCCAGTTGTGCCTATAATGCCTACCTACTCATACTGTGATTTCTAGTTGGAGTCATAGGTCTTTATTTCTCAGAACTCTCTCTCATTCAGAATGCTTCAAGAACAGATTTGGGTGTCATCCTATATCTCTTTGTCCCCAGTAGACTCTACAGAATGTGGGATGCAGCAAGAGCTCAGCTTTTAACTGTTCAAGGATCCAGCAAGGTTTTCATGTGTTGTTATGAGATACGGCCATCTGTTTTCTGAAAGGCCTAGGCTGGTCAAGAGCATATGAGAAGTCCCCTGGACAGGTACTAAACATGGGGACCTAGAAATATGCTGCCTAGGCTCATGACTTTTCAGGGGACCATAGACAGAGAAAACAGCATTCTTCATTGCTGACTGGTGACCTGGGCCTGGAAGGGCAGAGGAACACCTAAATATTCTAGACATGGGCTTTTTCTGCCCCACTGTGTTCATGATGGGAAAAGACAGTGGTGATCATTAAACACAGGAAGGGCGGAAGGGCTCCTTGTAAGTCTGAGACAAGGATGGCTGAACCAGGCCCCTAAGCTCTATCTGTCATGAGGACTGATGGGAGATCAAGGAGCAAAGGCGAAGTCCACAGCTCAGAGACGCTTATGGAGCTAAGGGCCTAGCACCTGAGGCTTGCAGGACTCTGACAGCAGAGGATTTCAATTGCTGGTTCCAAACACAGAGAAATTTGCTGAAAATCAACATCAAAGAGCCATTTGCCTACTCATAATCGATTTCTAGCAAGGTAAAGCAAAAAGGCCTCTGCTAGTTAACTACCTAGGAAAATTAACTGCCTAAAATTCACTTTTTGTTGCAACCTCCTGTGTCTGAGAGTTCTTTTTTTCTCCATTCTTTTCTCTCATGATTCATATACAATCTGCATTTCTACCCTTCATTCCTCCTCTCTGCCTTACAAACATGGGAACTCAGCTGCTGGGTGCGAGGATCCCTCTTTCTCACCCCACAGTGAATCAGCATCCTGCAAGCTTCTACCCAGCCCTTTTGTGGCTCTGAACTACTCAATTTGGGCTGCTCAGTGGAGTTGCTGAGGGTTGCCTGCACTGTATTCCTGATACCCTGATTTAGTGGTCTGGGATTTGGCCTAAGGATTTGGGTTTAAAGTCTCTCCCTGGGTTTCTAGTGTATAGCCACATGGTTGAGAACTGCAGTTCTTCATTGCAAACATTTTACACCTAGAATAGCCTGGATGTTATAAAGCTCAACTGACCATGTCATACTGGGGCTGTCTTTGCTGTTGTCTTTGTAGGTGACATTTGGGACATTCAAATTGAATAACTGGAGATGGAGCCCATAACTCCTAAGGTATCCTACTCTGCTCTGCAGAGTTCTGTGAGAGTCCTATCTCTTGCAAGTCTTTGAGATTTACCTACAGATCTATCCCAAGGTCAAATGGAATACGTGAGGCACAGAATAACCTTCAGCCAAATGAAGATAGTTCTCCTGAACTTGACTTCTGGGTCTTGTTTCCCCAAAGAAATCAAGTCTTGGATGCTTTGCCCACTCTGGGGAAGGTTTGCTTAGGCACCTGGAGCGTGTGATAAGGACGCTGGTAGGGAACCTGGCCTACCTTGCACTGGTCGAGTGGTGTGTCTTCTGTCTCTTGGAAGACCACACTGAAAGAGATGCTCTTGGGGTCAGAAGAGAAGACCCAGCAGATAGTGAGGCCGGGCTCAGCTACAGTAATAGGGATCAGGCTGTAGGTACTGGACCTCACAAACAGCTCCCTGTTACCCTCCCCAAAGCTGATGATCTCCTCCACTGTGAGGGGTAATTTGATCCTAAAATAAAAATGCAAAGAGAAACTTGGTTCAGTGGATTGTCTGAGGCTTTGAGGTAACTGGATATTTGAGACTCTTTGTAGGTTAAGCATGGGTACCCCTGACTGACATGTTTATAAGACGCTCAGCTCAGACAAAAGCTTTGGTTTGAGTGCTTACCACACAGCTGGCATAGTTCTTGCCAGCGAGTCAGAGCTGTGAAAGATACAGGGAGTCCTTGCCCACATGGACCCGAAAGCCCGTGGAAACTATGGGGACAACTGAACTGCTCTGAGTCTCTTATGGATAGGATTTGAGTGCACATCTGTGAGGCTGGTCCAGCCTTTATGTTCTGCCGCCTCTTCTCACCCTATTAGACACACCTCCCACAGCCTCTCCGCAGATTTGTGTGAGAAGGGGTGGAGGGGTTGAAAAGTCAAACCTGAGAGAACCTGTGTCAGATTTCACAACTGTCTTGTTTTATTTTCCAAATCTGTAGAATTGAAATGACCATGTTTTCTTCACATGACCATTGTGGTAACACTGAAGATTGTGGAGCTGAGGGGAGGCCTCTGACCTCTTCCTACAGCCAATCATCCTTGGATCCACTATGCAGGGGGACAGTGCTGTGACAGTCTGAGGTTGAGGCACAAATACTGCATGAGATGACATCAGAGGATGAGGCTGACGGTGCGGGAAGCCTTGCTTCCACTAATCCCAGGCGCCAACCAGCTGAGTAGATTTCTTCTTTCCTCAGTCACTCAAAGGCAGCAAGCTTAACCTGGGATTATGGTAACAGGACCTTCAAATGGAGCTGAATACCTTGGCTTAGTTTCTTACCATGAAGCAGGGCCTTTCCTCAGCTTCTTTTTTTTCTGGTTTTCAAGACAGGGTTTCTCTGTCTAGCCATGGCTATCCTAGAACTTGCTCTGTAGACCAGGCTGGCCTCAAACTCACAGTGATTTGCCTGCCTCTGCCTCCCAAATACTAGAATTAAAGGTGTGTACTACCACTGCCCAGCTAAACAACAAGTTTTAAAGGATATAAATTATGCTTTAAAGATAGAAAGTACAAACTGAAGTCGCTAATGCAGTTAAAATAGACATCAGGGTTCAAATAGAGAGGCCTGAAACACATGGGAGGGGGTAGAGCCAACCCGATCACATAAGGGGAAGGACAGGGCTCTGGGGAAGAGTCAGTGTCTGTATGCTCTGGCTGGTTCCCACTTCCACAAGAGCCTGCTAGAGGATATACTCAAGGCACTAGTTGGTTCCTACTCCACACAGCCCTACTGGGGGACATATGTAAGTCTCTGGCTGGTTCCCACTTCTACAAGGGCCCTACTGAGAGACATAATACAAGGCACTGTTGGCCTTTCACATATAATTGCTTCTAATCCAGCTAACTGCAAAAGACTAAATTGTGGGTAAGAGTAATTCCTAACATGATTCTTCTACTTAGTTCAGAAAGGAGATCACCCCAGGCCACCCTGTAAATCAGGAGTTGGATATGAGGCAACACAGAAAAACTACAGCCAGATGTTAGTAGGTGTGACAGGAGTTAATGTTACCTCTCCACAAACAAGTACACCACAAGCAGGTGCGGTTGGGATGGTAGCTCAGTGGTAATGTACCTATTACGCATGAGACTCTGAGTTCAATTCTAAGCACTGCCTAAAAACAACAAAATAAAACAATCCCTACAAATTGAAGAGAAGAGTTTAACGAACTACCAACAGACTCCACCAAGTTCTGAGGCCAGTAACACCTGTAAAATCAACAACTAACAGACAAGCAGACAAAAGACAGCCAAGACCAACAGCTAACAAAGCTATTCAGAGAAGAACAGGAAACTGTGATTACTCCCCTGTGTGAGCAGCACGTGAATGAAGCGCACACGATCATCTCCTCAGCTGGGTGAGGAGACTATGCAGAGTTTGGGATTCTTCAATTGGCTTGGCCTGTGATATGCTCAGGGAATTAGCCCATGCCAATTGAAACCACCTCAGTCTTGTCTAGTTCCCTGCTACAAGTCCTGCCCCCAGAAAACAGCTCGATGTTTTTTTCCTTTCTTAGAACTCTTCCCCCTTTATTTTACATTTTCTTACTTTTTGTTAAATTTTCTTAAGAAAGCCTGCTTTTGCTTTACTTACTCCTATATGTGTCTGTGTCTTTAATCATTACCCATTTGGCTGGATGTCTGTCCTTTGGTTATGACCGACTGGCATCTGAGTCTTTGAATCACATACATCTAGGCTGAGAAAGGCCCTGTTGCCCTCAAAGATCTGCATTATTCCACTGGTGATAAAACAGAGCACTGGGTGAGCCAGCTCCTGTTGTGATTGGACCAGTGTCCCTCCTCCATACTCCATTCTCCTGGGACTCTTCTCCACTGGCACAAGAGGCCCACTCATTAGCTTGGCACTTACATCAGCTCTCCGGACTTCAGCAAGCAGATTTCAGCATCCTGCCCCACTGGCATGTCTTCAGTGTCTTCAGGGGTTAGTGAGTTTGATGTAGTGTCCCTGAAACATCATAAAGGTGAACAGGCCGTTAGCTATCAGCACACAAAGTTATACAGCCTGAGGCCTATAATGGAGTCATGTAAGGACTTCTGAGGACAGCAGAGGAAAGACAACAGGGCTGCAGGAGTGCCTGGAAGGAGTGTGAGTATAAACACCAATGAGTCACTCTCCCCTTCCACATCAGTAAATCCTTCTCTATGTTTAGGGGAGGCAGGCACGACACCAGCACCACTGCCTCTTTGCTCCTCAGTACTAGTCCTGTTGGTTCTGCAAAGCCGGTTCCAGCATCAGATACCCTGACACGGCTCAGTCGGAACAAGAATATGTCTAGGCAGAGATGGGACAGAGGGAATACTTACCTTTTCTTTCCTTCCTAATGTACCACTAGGAATACAGAAGGAGCTGCTTTGGAACTGGGGCTGTCCCAGTCGCCAAAGAGTGCTCTGTGGATAACCGATACACAGGGAGCAAGGGTTACATACATCTTTCTCTTAGAAAGTCATTTAGGCAGTTGTCTAGGTGTTTCTTCCTCATTAAAACATTCCCTTTCAGATGGAGGAGAGCTCTTAAGACTCAGTAAGCTAAAGACAGAAGTGCATAAAAGTTATAGAACTCAGTTTGCCTGGCATGGTGGTGTAGCCTTCAGCACTTGGGAGGCCAAGGCAAGTGGATCTCTAGGAGCTCCAGGCCAGTCTAGTCTACAGAGTACTCCAGGGCATCCAGGGCTAGCTACATGGATAAACTGCATCTCAGAGGAAGAAAAAAAGGAAGGAGGGAGAAAGGTACAAGATTCACAAGCCCCATCCCCCTACTCCTCCACCCCCACCTTTAAAGCAGCAATTAATTGCTGGAGAGAGGAGACTCTCTTCAGGCAGCTACCTGAAGGCTGTACAGAAAACTCCAGAAATGCAGCTGTTATGAGTTCTCACCTATTCTAGGGTGTGCTTTTTGGTGAGGCAGTTCCCCATTTTACCCACACACCTGTAAGTAACACTAATTAAATTAACGGATTCATCAAGCTAGATTTGGATGGAAGTTTCTTTGGTTGTTAGTGTCTTATCTGGCGTGTTCTTGTATTTATCTGACCATGGAACATTATGAACACCTGCAAAATTACTGACCCTCAAAACACATGGGCAGATAAAAGTCCCTGGATGGGGACTTGAGTCCCAGCTATTTCTCCAAAGCAAGATTCGTGCCAGAATTAAGATAATTTGACTGCAGCTCAGTGTGCTCCCATCCAGGACTCTATGCCCAGCCTGGCTAGTAGCTCTTAGGGGTCTCATAATCCAACCAACTTCAGCTGACAATTATGCCCAAGAAGACACATAGGCCCAAGAAAGAAAATAGTTGGCTCCCACGCGAAGGCCTTAGGAAGGTCTCCTGCCCAGGATGACCTCTTCCCCGGATGTTGAAACTAGTCTCAAAAGTTCTGGAGGACTCTTGAAATATCCCATGGGTATGGTCAGTGTGTCTCAAACTTTCCTCTCACCAAAGGCTCCTTTCTGCCTAGACACAAGGCGCATTTACTACAATTTCACAAGGTTTCAAAAGCCTTGCATCATTTTTGGGAAATTTGGTCTCTCCTAGGTAGTCATGTAAATGCATCAAGGGATAAATTAAAGCAAGTTTGAGAAAGTCAGGAAACATAAGCAGGACCACTAGAGGGCACCCTATCTCCTTCTATAGCCAAGTCCTTTCTTTCCTATTGAAGCAGTTTTCTCAGAAAAGTCCATGAAGTCAGTGTTCTCAAGTGACCTTGCCCCAGCAGTAGGGTCTTCCATTAGCTTCTCTGACTTCTTAGAGTGACATGCCCACCGGTCCATTGATATGCTCTTCCCTCTAAAGCAGTGGCTCTCATGTTCCTAATGATGCAACCCTTTAATACAGTTCCTCATGTTGTGGTGACCCCAACTGTAAGATTATTTCATTGCTACTTCATAACTGTAATTTGCTACTGTTACAAACTTCAGTGTAAGTATCCGATGTGCAGGATATCTGACATGTGACCCCCAAAGGGATTGCAAACAACAGGTTGAGAAACATGGCTCTAAGGTGATGATCCCAGTGTTCCTAGGAATCTCATTGCAGTTGAAGCTTAACAAATGTCTGCATTATGAGCCTCAGTGTAAGGGACTTTCCCATCCCACATGCTATCAAAGGTGCATGTAATCAATACTCCAATTTACTAAAGAATAAAAATGGCTCAACGATTAGGAGTGTTTCCTAATTTTCCAAAGGAGCCATGTTCAGTTTTCAGCATTCATGTTGGGTTAGCTGTAACTCCAGCTCCAGGAGGTCCAACACCCTGCCTTCTTTTGGCCTCTTTCGGCACGCGCACTCACATGCACATGCACACACAGATGTACCTAAATAATAAATAAATCTTTGAAGTTGGAGAGATGGTTCAGCTGTTAAGAGCACTTGCTGCTCTTCCAGATGATTCAGGTTTGGATCCCAGTAACTACATGGTAGTTTACAACTATATGTAACTTCAGTTCCATGGGATCTGACACTCTTTTCTGGCCTCCACAGGCACTGTATGCACATGGTACACATACATGCATGCAGGCAAAATATCTACACACATAAAAAAATTCTTATGAAAAAGAAATAAAGGGGTGCAGAAACAAGGCCAAGGTTAAGGGCCCTACCCCCAAAGTGATCAGAAGTTCATACCTCTCTGGGCAAGGAGCCACCTGGGTACTTCCGGTGGGGCCTCTAGCATTTCTTTCTCACAAGTCTAAATATTGTAACTCACTTTTCATTTTATTATAGCTCTCTAGGCTACCGAGAACAGAAGCTCCACTTGAGGAATGCCTAGCAGCCGGTGAGTCCTGCTTATGGTCTTCCTTGGAGGTCTGTCTCCATTTTGTCACTTACTGCAGTGAGTCCCAGGCTCCAGCAGGGGACTGGGAGTCTTCAGTTCAGATTGCTCTGTCCAAACTTACACTAATCAAAATCAAATAAACTAGGATCTCAGATCCAAATTTGCACTAGTTAGCCTTCAAGGGTGCAGTCACCACACAGGCTGCTGACAGACCATGTGGCATAGGACACATCTACCATAGAAACTGACTTCCTTTCTGTAACAACGAAACTAGCAACAACACTTCTAAGATGCTGGTTCTGAAGACTTAGTTCTATGGTCTAATCACAACACACAAACCTTCAGGACCACCCTCGTGACCGGCAACAAGTGCCAACAAACCAGCCACTCCTGGCTTACTTGTAAATGGTGGTGGCTATTCCCTCAGGGATATTCAACCATGAACTTGTCCTCCACAGCTCTGCCTCTCACAAGTGCCCTGTGCCAACCTCTTCTCCCACAAACAGTAGGAAATGTGAAAAATCTTGGGTCCTAAAAGTGATATCCCAATAGTTCTGGCTTGAGAATGCCAGGTTTCTAGAAAAGGTTAGCACAAAGTGACTTCTGAAGTAAGACTGCAGCAAAAAGTGCCTACAACTTCCCTTACGTTCTTTTCTCAATTCTATTTTAGATATTCAAGTATTCCAGAGGAATGCAAGGCAAAGGCAATTGGGCACTCATTCTGGAGAAGTTTAGATCTTTGATTCAAAGGAATTTAAGGACCTTGGGGCAATTATACTACAGATATAAATAGTAAAATGTTTTTTTTTAAAGTGCTCCCAAATGAACTAGTTCCTTGAATTTAGTTGAAAATCTTTTGTTTTACACAGAACTTTTCTTTGCAGTGCTATGACAAAAGAACCACACATCCCCAATACACGCATCCAATCTCCCTACATTCACCCATGCATGTTCCTATAGATGTTCATGTACAATCACAGAGGGTTGAGATGGGACTCTGTTCTCACTGGGGAAAACAAATGACTTCTGAGAAGAATATAGCAAAGCTGGACAAATCTCAGGTCATTCTAACAATACCCTGTGAGTGCAAATCTCAGTCTTCTGCAAGAACAAGAAGTGCTCTTTAACTGCTGAGGCATCTCTCCAGCCCCCAAAGTGTTCTTTCAGGAGAAGTGCTTCAACTATCTCCCTCTTGGTATTTGGAGCAGCCTATGCATCTATTCACACTGTTCACTGCATTAATGAGGAAGTGAGGAAGCCTCTGGCATACCTGACTTAGAGCAAGATTGATGATTAGCTTCTAGATTCTGGTCCTACTCCTAGGGTAATTTCCCAGAGAAGTTAGCAATACTAGCTCATGGGAACTAATAGCCAGACCACATTAAGATCATATCTACTACATGGGGAAGGTCCAGGAGGGCAAGTCCAGGCAGGTTCTAGACAAGACAAGGGCACTGCCTGGAAGGGGCCTGTGGGGGCTGAGTGCAGGGCTGTATCTGGCCCTCCAGCACAGCCAGACAGCTAAAAGCGGCCTGGACCACTGGTCAGGGGATGACCAGAAACCGGAGCTTCTAGCTCTGAATTCACCAGTTATTTTGGCTCTGGTTTCTATGTTCTCATTTATAAACTGAGTCCCTAGGGCTGCTGTGAGACATGTGCGGTACATGTTGGACATTTGCACAGAGCCTAGTCCATAGCATGGACTTTGTGTTGGCCTAGACCCAAAATGTTTCAAAGATATGAATGACCAGTAAACAAGGTAATTTTAATGCACAAAGTCCACCATCATCAGTGGACAAAAATCAAATCTACTTACTGCCCCTCTTTAGAAAATGGAAGCCTATCAGCTTTAACAGCAGGATACGTGCCAAGCCAAGAAAAAAGGAGCACGAAGCATCTGAATGTGCTTCATCTTTGACTCTCAAATTAAGTGGGCGGGCTTGTCAAAACTGTCATGAGGACTCTGCCTGTAGGATAGAGAGGGGGGCAGGTCACTCACTAGCTGAAGGCTTTTAAGTATTTGACGGAAACACAGATCACACATCACAGAGAAGCAGAGGAAGAGCTTGAAGGAGCACACTTCACTCTGGAACAAAGCTACTGGGGTTTCCCTATTGGTGAGTCATTTGCTTTTGTTGGTTGTCTCAGATTCCTACCTTCAGCATGACTTGTATAGAGGGTGCAAGCTACTGAATTCGGCTACACACGAAGCCCTAGAATTACAGACTTTCACTTATTTCTCAGTGAAGGTCTACAGCTTTAATGAGATTCTCAAAGAGGTTTGTGATTACAAAGGTTTGGAGGCCAGGTGTGGCAGCAATCCCAGCACTTGGGAGGTGGAAGCAGGAAGATCAAGGCTGCCATCTATTTGTTGTAACCATAAGAGCTCATACTTTTTTTTTTTTGCATGTTTTTCTCGTATTTGTCCTGTTTTCAGTGATATACTGAAATTTCAAAAATAATTAAAAGTGCTTCTTAAATATTTGAGTTAATTTTATGCTTCAGATATAATTATGGTTTACTATAAGGCTTTTACATTATGTACAAAGTTTTATTACTTTTTCATTTTCATAAATCAACATTTGATTATAGATGAAATATTCTTAACTTTTTATATAAGGGGCAGTGATTTTGTGTGTGCGCATGCATACTTGTGTATTTATGGGTCCATGTGCGTGTGTACGCAAATGTCTTTCCTCAGGACCTTTTTTGTTGGGACAAAGTCTCTCACTGGCCTGGAACTCACCTCATAGGCTAGTAAGATTGTTGGTGGCCAGTGAGCTCCAGGAATACGTCTCTACCTCCTAGTGCTGGGGTTACAAGTATAGACCAGCATGCCCACTTTTTTTTAAATGTGAGTTTTAGGGAATTAATTCAGGTCTGACAGCCGTCTATCTCCCCAGTCCATTGATCTTCATTCAATACTCTATGTGTATGGTCAAGTCCCTATCTGCCAGCATAACACTGAATACGAATCTGTACATTTTCTGAAGAGTCATGCTAGGGTTGGATCCAGAAAAAAGAGGACGACAAAATGGCAAATATAAGTCAGAGAATAACAGAGAACTAGATGACACTCTTAGGAAAGCAAAGCTGTTAATTTTTCATATTTTAAATGAAAAATAAACTGTCCCTATGTGAACCAATAACATATGCAACAGTATCGGACCTTATGTTAGCACCTCAGAAAGCTGTGGGACAGGAGGACCAACTTCAGCCCATCAAGACTGGATATCTTGGATATCTAGCCTCGAGGTCTAGGCATGGGACAATGAGTAGCTTTACTGAGGTGAGAAAAAGTATTATGCCTCTAGGGAAGGTAGGGGCTGTAGAACCATCAGAGTGGACACTTTCCTCCTAGGACTCAACTTCAGGGCAAGAAATGTTCACGTGGATTAAAAAGGGAGGATGTCGTCAACTTTCACATGCCCTCTTCTGGACTAGGGAATAGTCTGTCTTGGTAAATCTTACAGAGGTTCTACCCAAACACTTGCTCATCTTAAGGCATCTTCTAGAACCTACACTAGTAGGATATGCATCCAGGACACTGGCAAGGTTAGCCTGGCTCCTGCAGTCAGGCTATGGGTTACATTACCCTATATCCTACCTGTCCTTGGTAAAGTGAGAGAACAGGGCAGAACAGGGTCAGAGACATGACAGTCAAGGAGGATGAAGTCTTGGGTAAGAAAGGCAGGCATGTGGTCATTGCTGCAAACCTATTCAGCAGCCACCCTACTTCATGCACCACTCCAGTTCTCCAGGGTCCGAGGCTCCAGCACAGATGCTATAGACTGACAGATGATAAATGGGAAAGTGTGGTCTGGAGAGTCAGGACCACACCTTAATTCCCCAGTCAGTCAAAGTTCTGGGCACCTACGGGTTTTCTCTCCCTTGTTTCTTCATCAATTGCCCTTCACAATATACAGCTCAAGATGAGTAAACAGGAAGAACTCCCCAGTCAGACACAGTTCTTGTCATTCTCCAAACTCCTGAGGATATCAGTAAGGAAGCCTCCTAGAAGGATTTGATTTGGCTTTCATGATTTTTCACACCAAGCGGCCTATATTAGTTAGGGTTTCTGTTGCCGTGATAAAACATCATGACCAAAAGCAAGGTGGGGAGAACATGTCCTGATATCAGTGCATCAGGGCAGGAACTGAGAGCAGGAGAGACCATGGAGGAGTGCTGCTTACTGGCTTGTTCCTTCCTAGCTTGCCTGTCCTGTTTTCTTATAGCACAGAGAACCAGCAGCCTAGGGGTGTCCCCACTCGCAATGGGCTGGACCCTCACACCTCAATCACTCATTAAGAAAATCCATTACAGCCAGGCAGTGGTGGTGCACGCCTTTAATCCCAGCACTCGGGAGGCAGAGGCAGTTGGATCTCAGTGAGTTCAAGACCAGCCTGCTCTGCAAAGCAAGTTTCAGGACAGACAAGACGGTTATACAAAGAAACCCTGTCTTAAAAAGCAAAAAAAAAAAAAAAAAAAGTTTAAAACAATGACAATGCACTACAGACCTTCCCACAGGCCAATCTTCCAGAGGCATTTTCTCAAGTGAGAGTCCTTCTCAGATCTATCTAGTGTCAAACTGACAAAAACTGATCAGCACAGGGCAGAGAGTGGCAGGCACCTGCTATGAGACCGAAGCAGACGGAGGCAGGCCTCCCTGACAGACAGCAGTCCAGAGAGATAGCTCAGCAGGTAAGAGTACCAGACAGTCTCCAGAGGATCTGCGCGTGATGCTCTGCTCACAAGCATCTGTGACTCCAGTCCCAGGCACTCTAATGTCTTCTGGCCTTGGCGAGCACTACACACACAGAGCTTACAGGCAGACTTGTAGGCAAAACATTGGTGCGCATGAAATACATAAACACAGAAAACACAAAACAAAATAAAACAAAAAACCAAAGGGCTACTATGTCCACTTGATTGTATGGTATCTTTTCTTTTTCTTAAACAATTGAGCATAGTGTTTTGTGGGACATGCATGGGAGGAGTCTGAGATTTTTAGGGTTAATGAAGATTCCCTCACACTGGGCGAGCAGTGTCCCCTGGGAAATGGCCACCTTCAACACACTGCTGTTACCGAGCGTAACGAGTGGGTTAAAGACAACAATCTGTTTCCTAAATGCAGTCAGTAATCAATAAGGACAGTGGGAAGAAAGAGTGTCAGTCACCTGGACAGAACCAAACATAACTCTTGGGTTTTGACTCACAGATTCTGCCACAACAGACACCATGGACGACGATATAGATCCCTGGCTCTTCAACATGTCCAGTGATGACAGCGAGGAGCATGAGCGTTTCCTAAAGTTCAAGGGGGTCTTTCTGCCCTGCATGTACCTGACGGTGTTTGTCTTTGGACTGGTAGGGAACTCCCTGGTTCTGGTTATATACATTTTCTATCAGAAACTGAGGAGTCTGACAGATGTGTTCCTGGTGAACCTGCCCGTGGCTGACCTGGTATTTGTCTGTACTCTGCCCTTTTGGGCCTATGCAGGCACCTATGAGTGGGTCTTTGGCACGGTCATGTGCAAAACTCTTCATGGCATGTACACAGTGAACTTCTATGTGTCCATGCTCACTCTCACCTGCATCACGGTGGATCGTTTCATCGTAGTGGTCCAGGCTACCAAAGTCTTTAACCAGCAGGCTAAGTGGAAGATCTGGGGCCAGATCACTTGCTTGCTCACTTGGGTGGTCTCCCTGTTGGTCTCTCTGCCACAGATCATCTATGCCAGAGTTGAACGTTTGGACACACACGTCTGTCAGTATCACAGTGAGGCCATTTCCACTGTGGTTCTTACCACGCAGATGACCCTGGGGTTCCTCTTGCCATTGCTCACTATGATTGTGTGCTACTCAAGCATCATCAAGACCTTGCTTCACGCTCGAGGTTTCCAGAAGCACAAATCTCTAAAGATCATCTTTGTTGTAGTGGCTGTGTTCCTGCTGACTCAGACCCCCTTCAACCTTGCCATTTTAATCAGGAGCACAAGCAGGGAGTACTATCACATGATTAGCTTTCACTATGCCATCATAGTGACAGAGGCTATAGCATACCTTCGGGCCTGCCTTAACCCTGTGCTCTATGCCTTTGTTGGCTTAAAGTTCCGGAAGAACCTCTGGAAACTTGCGAAGGACATTGGCTGCTTCCCTTCCTTGGGAGTCTCAAGTCAGTGGAAGTCTTCTGAGGACAGTTCCAAGACTTGTTCTGCCTCCCACAATGCAGAGACCACCAGCATGTTTCAGTTGTAGTAGGCCTGGCCAGACTTGGAGAAGCTAGCATCAGAATTCTTAGGAGCATCGCTATGTCCATTGGATGCAACAAGAAAGGATTTGCTTACAGAATGTGGACTCTCGTGGAGATGTCACTGAAAACTGTGGTGGTATACAAAGCTTCTCAGATGTAAACATACCCTGTTCTTAATATCTTTACCTCAATGCTCAGAGGAGAATGTCTTGAGATTTGTAAGCACTTTCTTTTTTCCATCCCCAAGAATGCCAACTCTAGAGATCTCAGGTTCCCTTTTACCCAGTCTGGGGCTAAATGTTGAAGAGGAGCTGCATCAGCAAAGCTGTTGATGGCAGGTACCATGCAGGGCTCCTGAGTTCACAAGATTCTTCTCTGGGCAAGTGGTGGAGAGCTGAGAACCCTCCCACACAAGTCTGGTCTATGTGGCTCAGACCTGTCACCAGGCACCTGCTAGGGATGAACCAAGCTGATTCACCCAGAGGTCTGACTTTTGTATTTACTTGTGGATGCTCATATTTTCTCAGATCAGCCTTTGAAAGTGCAGCACGAGAGACTGAAAATGGGCCAGAATAAACAGCTGAATTTCAGTGGTCCACATAATACTAGAAAAATGTGTAAAAAGGAGCCTACGACTATAACAACTCTAAGCAAATTACAGGGACTCTGGTGGCTTTGCTCATCTTAAAACAAAAACAAAAACAAAAACAAAAAATGGAACTTTCCAATGCCTGCCACACAAATATATCAAATATTATGAGTTTCATAGCTAAGAAATAAAACCTTTTACAAGTTTTCAAACTGCTTTAATCTTCTACATTATACTTTAATTTGGTATACCTGGGACACAAAACAAATTAAACTCTCACAAATTGCACAAAAACAACCCAGTTAACTTCTAGGCTTAGAATAAAGGAAATAAGTTAAAATTATTTGGGGGCAGTGGTCTATGAAGGAAATAGACTATACCAATGGGAACAATCTTGCTTTCACAGTGGCTTCCTGCTCCTGCCCAAGATGTGGGGTGCATTTGTTCAACTCTGTAATACTGCTCCAGGATGAGGTAATTGTACATGCCAGGCTGGACTGACAGTCAGGCGAACAGCCCTGTAGGTGCTTGCTGGGTGTTTGTACCACTAAAGCATTACCTAAATATGGACATCTATTAAAAAGGCTGGCCAGAACGATGGGAGGTTAGCTAACCCTGGGCTCGGGGCTGGAGAGAGCAGGCTGCCTTTCTGCCCTTTACCAGGTGAGACTGGGAGCAAATCAATCTCAGCCTCTATTAACATGCTTGCACTCACACTACAGGTTCCCTCCCTTTTCTCCTTCCCTCCTTCGTTACTATATTGCTGTGTAGACCAGCCTGGCCTCTGACTCTCAAGTGCTGGGTTAAAGACACAGTCCAGCATACCTGACCTGAACAAATCCCTTAACCTCTGGCCATTTCTTTTTAACGAGACAGCACAAGTCTCTCTGTTGATATGAGGAGGACTTGGGATAACACATTTGAAACAGCTGGCACAATAGACTGGGGAGGAATCTCAGTTGGTAGATGCTGGCCCAGTGTGCATGGAGTCCTGGGTTTGGACCTAGCACCACACTCAAATTGGGCATGGTGAAACACACCTACAATCCCAGTGCTTGGGAGGTCAAGGAAGGAGTATCTAAAGTTTAAGGTTATTCTCACCTAGAGAAAGTTTGAAGTCAACTTAGGCTACATGAGACCCAGTCAAAACCAAATCAAATCAAATCACCCCACAGCGCAATCTATTTGTAGGTGAAAGGTCCCCAAATTAGCAGCAGTCATTTCTTAGAAGATCTAGTAGCGGCTCCTTATGCCATCCATACGGATGGGTGTAGTCACACAGGCTGTTGTGTACTTTTTCCTGGACATGCAGGGCATGCCACATAAATCCTGGCTCATCAGAATGTGACCACACCTTGGAGTACCCATATGGTCTTTTGAACTGTTTTATCAAACACATACATAAGGACTATAGTACACTTCCTTGCTATGTAAAGTGACATGCAAGATCAAGTGCTTAAACAACTAGCCTGCTCTATGCAGGGTGATAAGGCTAACCTTAAGTGATTCTTCTTTATTTGCAACACTGCTGATGGACGGGGCCTGAGACCCTGATTTCCCTAATATTCCAGCTCAGGAGATATAGGCTCTAAATGGGAAGCAAGTTGACTCAGGTGAAAGGGCCCTGTAGCTACCTACACAGGTATTCTGGAGAGAGGCAGGATTGGGCACTTAGCACTCAGAGATAGTGCCACCCTAGGTTAATCCCAGAAAGCATCTTCAAGACACGGCTCATCATCTCACAGTGCCGGGTGACAAAGCTCCCTGGGCCTTCCCTGACCAACTGTCTGCCCAAATGAAATGGAAGAACCTGCTGGATCATGTCCTCTTCTAGGTTCCCCACAGAAACCTTTCTTCTCATGCCTCCTAAGCCACTATTTGCCCCATTTTCTGGGCATCTACCTATTCCACTTGGGGCATGTTTCTATCTCTTTCTGTATCTATACCACCATTAGCAATAAATCACACACGCACACACACACACACACACACACACACACACACACACGACCCCAGCATGTGTTAGTTAAAGAGAGCTTGTGTCTGACCTGCACTATGACCCAGGAGGGCTGTTGCTGCAGGCTCCCTTAGAGGTGTTAGAAGTCTCAAGCTCTCCGTGATCTCTTTTTCTCACCTCTGACTCCCATTCTTGCTCAATAGCAGCAGATCCTATCAAAGGCCAGGGCGCTACAGTGGAGTTGGGGGAAGAGCTGGATGAACATGGACCCGGCTTGAATCCAGACTGTCCTAGATACGCTTCAGAGCCTCAGAGCTAAGGCTGTGTGCTTCCCTCCCACTGCGTTCCTCATTTCTAGGATCATGGACGAGCTTATGGGCTCTGGCTTCAGTCAGACATATGAAGGCCACGGTTATGTCTCCAGAGAGGCGAATGCGTGTGACTCTCTTCTAGAGGCCATCGGGTCACCCGGGAATTCTTGGTGTCTTGGATGAGGAGATGGTGCCACAAGAGAGCAGAAGTGGGAACACAGAACCCAGCTCTCGGTTACTCCGGCTTCCATAGAGCCTTCAAAGTAGCACCTAGGCCAGGTGCTCAGTTAGTGCTGTCTTACAGGCAGCTTGGTACTGCCATCTCCCTTTCTCAGAGGAGAAGTGAGTGAGGACTGGTCCTTGTTAGCAGCTTCTCTTCCCCCAAACACTGGCCACAGAGCTTTCAGGCAGGTGTGATACCACAGAGAGCCTGCCTGCCCTGGAATCCTCTGCAGTCAGACGTCCTTGGTTAATACAGGCATAAGGTGGCTTTTGAACTTTAACCATGATCACCATATCCTGTCCTTGTTTCGTTTCTGTGACAGCAGGCATCAGATCTCTTGGTTGGTGACCACACTTCCTCCACTAAACACTCTGACCACAAAGCCCTGGTTCTGAAGCGATTGCTGGCAAGCAGACTCTGAGGGTAGGTTTCAGATCATTTCGTGTAATCTGGGTACCTGAAGGAGGCTTTTTTGTTTTTTTTTTTTTTTTTAAAGAAAAAAAAAAGATGAGGCTACAAGTTGAAGATACTGAGAAACATGTGAACACAGAAGATACGTACATCCCAGGCTGACATCAAAACTCAGCATCAACCTATCTCCTCAGGAGGTTTCTGGCCCAGGCACTATCTCCAATTGCCTTTCTTGAGGAGGGGTAGATTCTAGGCTCTCCCAAACAGCTAAAGGAGCTCATTTAGAGGCTGCACTGCATGGCCACAGGGCATGGAGCTGAAGCTCTTCACCCTGAACAGCCTGTATATCTCGTACTGAGAGAGGAGGCCAGACTGTGGAGACTTTGGCTGTATGTGAGCTGGGCAGAGGCCACGGGAGCCAACTACCTATCACCTCAGTTCTGAGAACAACTGGAAATCTGGGTAGTGGTGTGTAGTGGTGTGTAGGACACAGAGGGAGAAAGGTGTGAAGGGCATCTATCTGCTACAGGTGAGGGCTGTGTTCCTGCTAATTATCACCAATCAAGATAAGATAGGAATGGGGGAAAGGCAGCTGCCAAAAGGAGATCCTGTTAGGTTTCCCTGTGAGAGTGAAGCTGGATCTGGAGACTTTTCCTTGTTCTGCCATTTCCAGGAAGGGTCAAAGCTTAATTCCTCTTTCATTACTTTGTTCCTCAGATTGAGTACCTTTCCCTCTAACTTTCCTGTGAGGGGTCCTGGTGCAAGTGTAGGGCTTTCTTTCCCATACTTTATCAGACTCTTGGTATCTTGGAATGCTAAGGAAAAGCTACCATACATGCTAACACACACTCTATAGTGTAGAAAGGTGGCTCTTCATTCACACAGGTGAGGTACAAGGACCACAGATTCCCATCAGTCAATCCCAGATCTGTGTTGGTGGCTGCAGGCCAACATACTGGCAGTTTTCTTTCTCTGGAACAGTTCCTGATTTCCCAAGACCAAAAACTACACATACTGATCAGCAGTCTAGAAGCTTTTTGTTTCTGTTCCTACCAGGAAAGAGGAAGATGAAAGATGAGGGAGGAAGCTTTATGCAGGTTACAGGTGTTTGTGCCAAGATGCTTTCAAATCCATGGCATCCTTCTGGGTTCCTAGCTCCTGGTCTACTCACCCTTCTGGCCATGCAGCTTTCCAAGTACCAAGGACAGAATATAGTTTATTGCTAAAGGAAGAAAAGACATTTTGGGGACCACTGGGTCATGGGGGTCAGGGTGAACATTGATGATTACTGACCAGCACGTCAGAGAAGTGTTTAAGGAAGGAGAGAATTGGTCCAGAGTCACAGGAGCAATCTTAGGTCTGACAATGAGAGGGGTTTGTCCATGAGCTGAATTCAGTGACTTTAGTAAGAGAACACACCAGTGTAGAGATACACTTAAGCCTAAAATCTAGGCTAACAGCCTCATGAAGATTTGAGTTCACCCCTCCCATGAGGCAGAAATTAACACAATAAAGATAACAGTTAATTCCTGGTTCTGTTTTAGATTCTGAGCAGGAGACAGAGATCTCACTGTGAGTCAGCATAAGCTCACAGAAATCCTTCACCAGAAGAAAAGGTGGCCAAGCAATTTTGAGACTGTATTTGCTACTTTTCTCATTGCTATTACAAAATATCTGACAGGAACAACTTAAGAAAGGATTTATTATGGCTCAGAGAGTATTAGTCCATCATAGCAGGGAAGGCATGGCAGAGCAGCTCCATTCAGACTTATTTATATGACATTGGGCTTGGAAGCAGAGAACTCATGCTGGAACCAGGGGTAGGTAAAACTTTCACAGGCTGGTCCTCAGTAATTTCTCTGACTTATACTTCCATTATTCAGGCTATACCTTCTAAGTGATCCATAGCCTTCAAAATAGTGCCACAAGTCTAGGATCAAACATTCCAAACAAACTTGCCAGGGACATAGGATTCAAAACATAACATTTAGTCCTTGACCCTTTTGGGTCAAGATGGCTCACTGCTATCTCACAATACAAAATCTACTTAGTTCAGCTTCAAAGTTCAAAGTCCCTTTTGAGAACTAAAGGTATGCTCAATTGTGAGACCCTGTAAAATCAAAATTTAAATTATATACTTCATATAAACATTCTCATTCTAAAAAGGCAGTATTAGGGTAGAACAAAGAAAGAGACGACAACAGTGAAAACGTTAAATCCGAGTTTCATGTCCGGCATGAGGAACACATTCGATATTAGCCCTACCTTTATGGGCCTTCTTGCCAGTTACACATACAGGGTCTCTTTTGGACTGGTTCTACTAGGTGCCTGTAGCTTTCCTTGGTAAATGTTCTACATTCCTGGTATCTCCAATATATTGGGGTCTCCACTGTAATTTAGGCTTTACCCTCAAATTTTTATGCATATCCCACTAATGGACTACCAGAGAATCTGACCCTACTACATATTGCTTGGCCTCCCAGGCTGTTCTCTAGAATCTTGGTACAAACCTCTTACAACTGCAACTCTTACATCTGCAATGCCTACAAAGACTGTAGATAATGTCAAATTCTGCTGCCAGCTTGATAAGTACCAAATATTATCTTATCCAAGGTAAGTATTCTTGGATCACAGCTGAAGTAATGGAGTGTCTGTGTAGCTAAACCTGGAAAAATACTTTCTAGGTGATTATTTCAGAGAAGACCACTCCTGTGGCTCTATCTTTTCAGACATTCTCTTTTTAAAGGAAAGTAAAATGCATTTAGATTTTCATGTTCTGAAGCCTTTAATGAGAGGGCTCTTTTCCCTAGAGTCCCTTCCCCCCACTGTACCAACACAAAGCAGCTATAAATGGTATTAATTTTGAACAGTTTTAACTACTTTGTCCACAGTTACTGTGGTCTCTTGCTGTGGCAGCCTGAGCTGACTGATACAGTTGCCTAAGCCAAAGACTGGCTTTAGTGAAGATGTTGAATCAGGGCACCACACACACACTTCCCAGGAACTTTCTGATACAGTACCTTCCTGAATGTTTCCTAAGCATTGTCACTTTTTAAGAGCCACTTGACTCTGAACACCATTCTGAGGCATCTTCCCTTGGTAGAGACAGTTGATCCTGACTCTAGCATCTTATTTTCCTGGTCTTTTGATGAGGAAGTACAAAGGACAGGTACTTGATGAGTAGTTAGGAAATGGAGGTAACATCTACTCACTGTTCAGCCATATTTGGGTCCAATGAATCAGTTTCAGTGGGTGTTTCAGGCAAGGAGGAGCCAGATTCTTGAATCTGGCACAATTCCTCATCAGTGATGATGTCAAACACAGCATCATCTGGTGGTCTGCAGACTGAGTTTGCTCCTGGGTGGTGGAGGCAAAGCAGGAGAGAAAAAGACAAACATACCATTAGGCATAGACTAGGGATAACATAGGGAAGTGAGGGGTGCTGCTATGGAGAACAAGATGAATACATTTGAAATGGTCTCTTAACTGACGCTATTCTATCTAGGTATGAGAGGAGGACTACTGGAACATTCCAGGAAACAGAGGGACTATAGAAGATTTTGAATATATAGCCTCAAGACCTCCTTCAAAGGTCTTTCAAAGGCAGAGTAGAAGTTTCAAGGACTACCACATTCTCTAGAATCCTTATTTAGAAGGAAAAAAATCTACCAAAACTATATCAGATAAGAAACTAACAAAGAAAATCTACTGATCCAGTGAGGCCTTGTTCCATTAAACACAGTCAGAAATAATCCAAAACAGGAGATTGCTTGATTCATACCCCCTCTTCTGGCCCACTGTTGGGCAGAACAGAATCTCTCTTTGTTCAGAAAACTGCAGGAGGCATTGAGTCTTGTGTTTGATCTTGACCACTCAACTGGCAGGTAACTGTGCCAGTCACCTACCCATAAACATGTTTCATATTTAATATAAGGGTAGGTTTGAGGCAGAAAAAATAAAGAGCAGACAGAAAATGAGAGAAATCAAAACAAGAAACCTCAGCACAAAACACTGTTATCACTTTGTGTGCTGAACACCTACCACTGAGATAGAGCAAGGGAATCTGGCTACTTAGTCAGAACAGTTTAGCTGTCCTCGGCTTTAGAGGTAATGTTTTTCCTCTCAAGTTTCTGTAACATAGAACCAGAAGAACAAACTGATTAAAAGGACCCAGTTACACTCCTAAATCTGTTTTCTGAGGCTGATAAAGAGATGGGCAAGAGACACACAAAAGAATGTTTACCAGAGTAAATGGAAGCCATATCATGTTCATGGATTAAAATGGACAACACTTTATTAAGATGTCAAATCTCAGACAGGTAGTGGTGGTGCACACCTTTAATCCCAGCACTTGGGAAGCAGAGGCAGGTGGATCTATGTGAGTTTGAGGCCAGCCTGGTCTACAGAGCTAGTGCCAGGATAGGCTCCAAAGCTAAACAGAGAAACCCAGTCTCGAAAAACAAAATAACAAAAACCAACCAACCAACCAAAAGAAAAAAAGATATTAAATCTCTCCAAACTGCTCTCCAAGTCCAATGAAATCCCAATGAAAACCTCATCATGGTTTATTTTTAGAAACTGAGAAACTCATTCTAGAATTTATATGTTCGATGAAGAACAAAATTGGAGGGCTTTCTTTGCCTGTCAGTCAGATGCATTAAGAATCTATTTAAACAGCTAGACATAGTAGCATACACCTTTCATCCCAGTACTCAGGAGGCAGAGGCAAACTCATCTCTGTGAGGTCAAAGCCAGCTTGGTCTACAAAGTGAGTTCCAAGATAGCCAGGACTGTTTCATAGAGAATCCTGTCTTAAAAAACCAAAATCAAACAAACAACCTACTCCTACCCCACAACCCAACAACAACAAAAGATTCTACAGTAAGCAGCTGTACATGGTGGCACATGTCTTTAATTCCAGTTCTTCGGAGGCAGAGGCAGGTGGATTTCTGTGAGTTTGAAGCCACTTGGTCTACATAACGGGTTCCAGGACAACCAGGGCTACATAGAGAAGTCAATTCTGTCTCAAACAACCAAAAATACCAAAAAACATAGAATCTATGGTAATCATACAGTAAGAACTGGTGAAAAGAAAAGGCACACAGATGAACAGAATGGAGCAAAGATACAGACTCAAATATATGAGGTCAGTTTTTTTTTTTTTAGTTTGCTTGCTATTTTCAATTGGCTTTTTACATATATACATAAGCAGTGTGTGTGTGTGTGTGTGTGTGTGTGTGTGTGTGTGCACCCAAATGTGCCACTGGAAATTCAATCTAGTGCATTTCACATGCAAAACAATCACTTTATCATTGGGCCACAACTCCACCCCACACAGAAAGGCAATTCTGATGAAAACAAAATAGACTTCAACTAATGATGTTGGCAACTCTAAACAAGAAGTAAAAACTAAACTATCCAATACTCTATATTATCACTTTACCCCCCAAACTAACTCAAAACAGGTTACACAGGCACACACACTATCCTAAAAAAATAATAAAAACTAGAAGAAGCCAGATGTGGTGGCACACACCTTTAACCTTAACACACTCAGGTATTGGAGGCAGGCAGATTTCTGAGTTTGAGTCCCAGTCTACGTAGAGTTAGCAGGACAGCTTGTCTACAAAGTGAGTTACTGTCACAAACAAACCACTCATACAACCAACCCCCAAAAAACCCAACCCAAAACTTTTAGAAGAAAAAAAACCTTTTGAGTACAGGTGTTAGCAAAGTTAGATACATAAAAAACTGACACATAGAACGTGATTATAAATATTACTTTATCAAAACTACAACTTCTGCTCTTCAAAAAGAAAAGCTGTAAATCAGGAGGAAACATATATAAGACATGTTTGATAAAGAATACATATCCAGACTATGTAGGACTTGCAAACTTCAGTACTGAAGAGACTGAGAAAGATTTGAAGACCCCAATGCTATGTGCAAAAAAAAGCACAAACCCCATTCTTGAATGGTAGGGCCCATTGATCTATTTAAAGAAGGAAGGAGCAGGATTCTGAAGGTTTCTTAGCCTGCATCCAGGCTGAGATCAAAGGAGAGTTCACAAGGTCTAACTGTAGCCAGCAGTGATGCCTGAACAGAGAAAAGCCCCATCTTTGCCATCTCTGCTCTAATCCTTGGCTCTACACCTACAGTGTAGTAGTGTCCAGTAAAGAGCCTGGGTCACCTATTAGGGTGGATGCAGAAGTAGCAGTAATTAAACCCTCCGCCTGTTTCCTGGCTGAGTTGGAGGATGAGAAAGTGAGAAAGATGCTGAGTACTGAAGGTACAACTGCTGGTTTTATGTTACCACTGAGCAGATAATGGATATCAGAAAGGAGGTCCTAGAGGACTGACTCTTCAAGGTACGGGGTATATTCCACTGGTAGTATGTGCATATACACAGTCATATTAAATCACAATCACGACAGGAGAAAGTTACTTGCTTATCAACCCCAAAAATATAAGAAAGTTTTAGGCTGGCGGTAGTATATATTTAGCAACTCTTAGACACCTAAGTTTGGGAAGCATTGAATGAATGAGTCTTGCTCAAGCTAATTGGCCCTAGTGAGAAAGCAGTGACATCTACGAACCGGAAAGGCAGGGGCCTGACCTTGGTTTCCTATGGCCTGGGGGCCTGCTTTAGCTGGTGAAGCCGTGGGGCTGGGCTCTCCCTGGCTAGTGCTAGAGCCACTGCTATCAGGGGATCCAGGGCTTTCACTGAACTTCTGGAAGCAGGCTCGGCAGCAGCGCTCCTTCTTGCCACTGGGCTTAGTCATAACATAGTTGTTACAGCAGTAGTAACAGAAGACGTGGCCACATATCCTGGGAATGAAACAAGAACAGGCTTTGAGAATGGTGTACAATAGATTGTGCATTACTGAGATCTGCTAAGCACCAGAACAGGTCTCTGTGTTGGCAGGTTCCTGATGGCCCATGACCCTCCAGACCTAGCTCTGTCCTTAATGTAGAGTGTGCTGTAAGCCCATTTCATAAGAGTTCAACAAAACCATCATGGTGAGCTTAGCAGAGAATGATTTACTTCTGTAGGTCCTCGAGGCAGGGAGAAAATGTCTGACTAACATCAGGCTACAGGTGTGCATTCCACATTTACTGTCAGGATTTTAGGTAAGCCTCTAAGAGAGCACCTACCTGCACCCAACTCCCAATCTGCCTTTCTCTTCACCCATCTTTCCTAGGTGCTGGAAGGATCTGTGTTCTCTGGCAGGGTCTACATCCACCATAGGCTCAAGAAAAGCTAAAGGGTTGGTGTTCTCTGAGTGTACCACATGCCTGTGGGTCCCCTTAACCCCACCCTCATTTCCTTTCAGGGGGCCTTCAGTGTCCTGCTAGGACCCCAAATAATACACTCTTCTTCCGCTTCCCTTGGTAGATAGCTAGGTACCCACACTTGTCTCAGATCCCTCGCCCAGCTTCCACTCTGGTGAGCCGCCTGCTGCTAACCTGCAGTGGTGCCGCCGCACTATCCAGCTGAACTCCCGCTTGCAGTCATGGCAGTTGCTGGCTTCCATGTCCCCAAGACATTTCTCTTCAGCACTGAGCTTTTGCTGGAATTCCAGTGCATCAGACTTTTGCCAGAGAGCATCTTTGTCCCTGCAATAATACCACATTTTAAGAATCCAAGAGGAGCAGAGGATGACCTTGCTTCATTTCAGAAAGCTGATATCAAATGTTCCAAACCATAGAAGCTAAATAACTTTCCTTGTAAATGCTCTCTTCTCAGCTCAAGGTTTGTGCTGACCTCTCCAAAGGAACCCCAAACATTGATTCTTTGACCCCATGTACGTGAGCGCATGTACAAGGCACATGATATATACCAAAGGCTGTGTCATCCACAAGGAATTGCCAGCACTGATACATCACTGAGAGATCTTACACTAAAAACAAATTACTAATGAAAGTAGTATACCACCAGGCTGATAATGGACATGCTATGAACACCATGCAATCTGCAGTTTGCTGAATGTATGACTATGTACCACCTGTGTGCAGTGACCTTGAAGTGTGAAGAGGGCATCCGATCCCCTAGGATTGTAATTAAAGATGGGTGCTGAAAATTGAACCCAGGTCCTCTGGAAGTGGCTAAGGGTTAGGAATATAAAGATGACTGACTTTTTTCAAGGATGCCTAAATTGTAAGGAGACAGGCTGACTCATCTTCTGGTCCAGCTTGTTCTTCAAGCTAATCCACAGCATCTGACCAATATGTCCCTAGGAAGCCAGATACTCACACCCTGGACTGTGAGAATGCTACTTGGTTTCTCTCCCACATTCCTCAAGAAGATACCTGGAATTCTAACAAGTGAGTAGATATATAGGCATATTGCACAAGTGGAAGTGAGTAGATCTCATCTGCCTTGGGTTTTATCGAGTGTCTCCTGACACATTCATTTTTCAAGGCGTAGTTGTGTAAGAGTGCTTGTCTTGGAAGCTGGTGTGATAGCAGACATTTTTTAATCCTAGAACTCAGGAGGCAGATAGGCAGGGAGATTTCTGTGAGTTTGAGGCCTGACTTATCTACATAGGGAGTCTCAGGTCAGCCAGGCTACATAGTAAGACCCTGTCTCAAAATAAAATACAGCCAAATAAAGCAAAAAGATTTATTGTCTTAAAAAGTTTGATATGGAATATTCATAGATAAAGTACTACTTTGTCTGGATTTTGCTTCAAAGCAATCTAGAGGTGAGAAGATGTAAGTGGCCATGGATTGATTCCTGTTGAGGTTGAATGAAGTATAATTATTATGACTTGAGTTTGAAATAGCCCCTCATGTGTTTGATCTCTTGGCCCCCCAAAGATAGTGATGCCATTTAAGGAGGCCATGGAACTTTTGGGGTGAAAGGCATAGCTGGTGGAGGTGGGTCATTGGGAGTCTCTACTTTCTTGTCTGCTAAGACATGGAGTATTACTACTGCCTTAAGCTCCTACTGCTATAGACTGAACCAATCCCACTGCCATGCCTTATCTGCCAAGACTGACTGAAACTGGACCCCAAGTTAAAAAAAAAATTCTTTCTTCCCTAAGTTGCCTTTGTCAAGTGTTTTGTCACAGAAAGGAAGGAAAAAAGGAAGGAAGGAAAGGAGGAAGGAAAACAGTTATAATATTTTATCTTCCATATTTGATTCCTTCAAGAAAAAGTTAAAGTTGTGAGTGACTTGCAATGCATTTACCACCAGGACATTTCACATTCCCATGTCTGTCTTGGAAAGTAAAGGCTGGTTTTGAGTGGAAAGAGTGGAACATACTGGGACCCTCAGAGTCCCCTCCAGTTTGGTTCCCAATGGACGCTGCTGCTGGGTCCCGACAGTACAAGAGAAGGTTCACTGGAGATAGGCAAGGGATAGGGAAATGACCAATTACTAAATGTCATTTTACTGTTATTCTTTGCCAGGCACTCAGAGTTTAACATAAACCCTCATCCACACAAAAACCCAAACCACCGGTGTGATCAGGGAAATCCAGCCTTCAAGAATGCCAAAGCCTAGTGGGATCCTGCAGGCATATGGCTCCCTGACAGCACACCATTGGACAGACCTTGAGGAAGAGGGTCCATTTCCAAAAATGGTTTTTTCCTAAGAAAAGCCAATCATAGACAGGGTCTTCCACTGCCTCACACTCACCTGAGCAGCTCTATCAGCCGTTCCTCAAGGTATTTCTTGGTTCTGTTCAGGTCGTCTAGGTCTGCATGCATCTTCTGGTCATTCCTTTCCCTGTTTGTCACCTCCTGGCAGAGTTTGTTATAATATTCTTGGATTTTTGATGTGGCCTTTTCAAGTTCCTTCTGAGTTCTGGGAGAGGAGAAATGCGTTCTCCTGGTTATCTCTGACATTCAGCTTCCTGGAATCTGTGGGCCCTTCTGGCCTTCAATAACAGCTCCTGCTGACCTCTTGGCCTTTCCCTCTCATGGTGAGACAGGACCTGTTCACAGGTTATGCATTATCCCAGAATCTGAGACTCCCCCTAGCTCCCTGTCAAACATGAAGGGGTATTCTGGGATGGCAGAGACATTCCAGGATGCTAACATACTCAGTGAGTGAGACATGGCACTCCTGTAAGGATTTCTAAATAGGACTTGAGGCTGGGAGGAGCCAGATGGAAAAAGATTTATGGAGTGATGATGAAGGATGAGCAGGGGTGATGAGTCAGGACATAAAGTAAACGCATGGTCTCTCAAAGTTGGTTATGAAGAGGGTCCTTGCACTCAGGTGTCTTTGGGACTCTGCTTTGAGGAGGGTGCTGGGTCTTTAGCAGGCCCTTTACCCGGTAAGTCCTCCAATTCCCTGAAATTCTGTTCTAGGCCCTGTGGAATCTTAGCATACAACAGAGGGGGCTGGTGGAGCTGGCTGTCTGCCCAATCCCATGCATTCCACATGCAGTTTAACTATCCCCTTAGATGGCAGTTTCTAAGAATGTTACAAACCCCAAGATCCAGCAAGGTGTTTGTAAGAACTCCATTAAACAGGAATTCTATGCAAAGAGTGCATTGTTTGCATGCTTTCCAGCCAAGTATTACACATAGCTATCAGAGCTTATTAAATAGTCAATGTCCAAAAAATGATTTCAGAGTACACAACACAAAACATCATGGGAGTCTAATCCTAGGAAGATGAACTATGCAATTCTGAGCAGCTAAAACAAATCCTCTGAGATCTTCCACACACCATTCTTACAGCATTTGGCTTTGTTTTTTGAAATAGGGTCTCACTATGTAGCTCTGGCTGGCTTAGAACTTGCTATTTAGACTAGGATGACCTCAAACTCAAAGAAGTTCACCTGCCTTTTGCCTCCCCCCGCCCCCCAAATGCTGGGATTAAAAACATTTGCCACAGTAGAGTTGACCCTGTTGACAGGCCTGCAGGTGATTCTCCTCGCCACCCCTGAAAGTGTGTGGGTGATCTGGCCCCACCCCTCCCCTGCCATATGGTGGAGTGGGTGAGGAAGAGAAGAATTCCCCTTCCCTGCCATATGGTGGAGTGGGTGAGGAAGAGAAGAACTTCCCCTCCCCTCCCCTCCCCTTGCCACCTGTGGTGGTGAAGAGTTGGCCCTGGGGTCATGAGAGCAGAAGAACCGGCCCTGCTCCTTGTTCCCTACTGCACTGGGTGACTAGCTGGGGCAGTGCTGAAGAGCTCACCCTAGTGGTGACAATGAGAGAAACCTGGCAGGCTGACCAACCCTGCTAGCACCTAGTCTCAGAGACAGGTCTATGACTTGGTCCATCCAAACACCCACGTCATTTATGAACTGCTGGAGGGGCAGGATCTACAATTCCACAAGGCAACAACAGAAAATCCAGAAGGAGTTCCACTGTATCTACAGAGTAGTAGAAGCCAGAGGCCTTGACCAGACCAATGATCCATTGCAAAGAACACTTGTAAGTAAAGATGTTTGGACTAAGAGGTGTACTGTATGACTCACTGGTACATACTATAGCTTCTATGTCAAAATTTTCTTTTCTTTCTAATTTTTTTTTTGAGGCTATACTTTTACATTTTTTGGGGGGTGGGGAGTCACAAGGACAGAGACCAGAGGAGAGGAGATGGAGAGATGAGCGGGGCTGGGATGTATGATTTAAAGTCCATAAAGAATCAATAAAAAGTTAAAAAAATGTGGCAGCATACCCAGCTTTCATTCTTATAGCATTTAAAAATACCAGTCCAAGTGTGTCCTCCGTTTAAACCACATGACCAAGATCTGACTAGGAGCTGTAAGAAATGGGCCAATCACTAGGCTTCACTGAATCCAGAGTCAAGCAGGAAGGTAGGTGGCAGGAGAAAAGGATAGGTACAGGCTAAGGACAATCTGATATCCCTGCTTTTCTGGTGGCACCCAAGGGGTCCTCTCCTTGATGAACTTTTCTCAGCAGGTCCTAGCTACACTAGTTTGGCCCCATCTGCAGAAGTGGGCTGTTTCACAACTCCACATGGCCTCACGCTGAGAGTGATAAAATGGGGAGAAACTAACCCCTCTCACAGGACTGTTAGGAAGACTCAATAGGTAATTACAGGTTAAACATTCCTAATTTTGAAAATCTGAAATCCAAACTGCTCTGAAATATGAAGATAACTCCCTTCTGCTCTCAAGCTCCAGCTTAAGATGTTCAGCCTGCACAAGCTGCATTTAGAACATGCCACACTGCAAGCAGGACTCAATGCTTGTTCTTATTCCCGCTATTTTCATGCTCTAACTGTGCCTGCTTTCAGTTTTTTGGAAGTATGCAGTTAGTGTGTACCTTGCTGGAGATATAAAGCTGCACCAGATAGAAGGCACCTTGCCTCCTGTGAACTATGGCAGGAAGATAGCTGCTTTTTCTGTGCAAGCTTCTGGCCCTGTGCTTTCTGATGGCATGACTTTTGCCCGACTTCCTCATCTAGTACAAGTGGCTGACTTTCTAAAATGAGTGCACCTACCCACTCCCTGAGGACCACCAGCGGCTGTGTGGGTGATCCAGTGACTGACCTTTCTAGGCTTTTTCGAAGAGTCGTGCTTTCTTCGTCTTTGTGCTGCAGAGTGGCCTGGCACTCTGCGAGACGGCTGCTGGTACAGTTCAGTTTCTCCTCCATGGCTGCCTTGGTGACCTGGTATAAGATATCCGGGAGAAGACACAAAGCGTACAAAGCTTACCCTCCATGGAAGAAGAGACTGGTATGCTACTCACACTTCCTGACAGGGCCACTTCTAAGGGGAAGGTTTTGTGCTGAAGTTGGAGTGCAATGGCACGGAGTGAGGCTACTAGTGGGACCAGTGGCACTAGAGAATGCCAACAGAGGTGACTAAGAACAATTTCCCTTTAGTTCAAAGTCTAAGGAGGGAAAGGGAGTCAACTGTCTGAATCAATGACTGTCTCAGTTTGAGAACTGGCAGCATTTTGAAGAGCATCGGCATCAATTCAGTAAAAGCAGATCAGACCCCCTTTCCTTGATAGCACACCTGCCAGGCCCACCTTCAGTTCGTGCACAGCCTCCTTAGTCACTTGCAGCTCCCGGCTCCGCTCTTCGAGCTGGGCCCTGAGGCTCTCACACTCTTCATTGGCTGTCTGGAAAGGATGAGGAAGCATCGTAAGAGAGAGGTTCTTGCCCCGAGACTCCTTCATCTTTATCACCCAAAATGGTTTCTAAAAACATAACTGCACTGTTTCCTGAAGTGGCTCCTCAACAAGCTTCTTCTCTACTGCTAACAAAATACTTGCAAATTTACAAGGGAAAGTCTCAGCGTATTCCTCAAACAGAATTAATTTCTGCAAGTAAAAAAAGTGGCCCATGAGGCTCACAGGGCCTCATGGGCTGGAGAGGGCACTTTTAGGAAGGGCAGAAGAGGGTGCAGAGTAGGCTGAGAGCACAGAGGCAGGTTCAGACCCACTAGGGCACACACTGGGAATCACAGTACTGTGTCTACTTGTCACTGTCCTTATCTACCACTCTTTAGCCTCTTTTCTTCATGAGTATCAAAAAGGCTCACGGTCTATCAGAGGGGGAGGGGTCCTCAGATTTGTCTCCTTTACGGGCCTTGCTTTTCTAAACTGAGCCAGTTCCCGGAGAAGCTGACTATTTAGTAAGGACTAGTTAGGACTCAGGATGTCACAGACTGGTGACCATATGGAGGATGGGGCTCCAAAAGAAAGAGCAAGGGTAGAGGCTGAAACTTATGCCTGGAAGGGGCTGTACACAAACACACAAAAGGGGAAGCAGCAGAAGGGTGTGACAGTCTGAGCTGCTGCTGCAGCCTGGTGGGGACATGGAACTGAGCTACGAGACCTGCTGAGAATTCAAATGAAGTCATAAACCTGAATTTGTGTTCATTCTGCTCTGTCAATGTTGACTATTAATTGTTAGAAAGTTCTGTGTGGGCCAGCATCTGCCACGGTCCAAGTGGAGGTTTCTAGGTGAAGGCATTATGCCCCATGTTCTCCCTGATGTGCTTGTGTTTCTGCAAAGAAATGTAAGCTACCAAAGTTGAATGGGATCAGGACATTTCTTGCTGCAGGGCCACCTAATTGTGGAGCCACCCAGGAACACCTGAAGAAATGGCTAAAGCTGGGCTTACCTTCAGTCTGTTCTGGTGGCCCATGATCTCAGCACTTAGCTGGAACTTGAGGGCATCTCGTTCCTGGTGTGCAGCCTCTTGGAGGCTCCGGGTCAGCTGCTCAGCCTGGGCCAGTTGTGACTGTAGACCAGAGCATGAACTAGCTGCCTCCTCAGCTGCCTTTAGTTTTTCCTGTAACTCCTCCTTCTCTTGCTGTAGCCCCATCACTCGGAGCTCCAAGCCCTTTTGTTCCCGCAGTGCTGCCTCTTTGGAGTCCTGGAGCTCCTGGGCCAACCTGGCCAGGGCCCCCTCCATCCGATCCTTCTCGGCAGTCAGGGCACAGACCTGGATGCCAAGCTCAGCTGTGTCTGTGTTGGCTCGGTGTAGCTGGTCCTGCAGCTCTGCCTGCTCCAGGTGAGCTCCCTCAGAGCTGCACCTCACCAGTGACAGCTCTGCCTGCAGGGCTTGCAGCTCTTGTTCCTGCTTCTGGGCCTTATAGAGGCTCTCCTCCTGCAGTACCCCTTCTCGCTCTGAGCACAGCAGCAGCTCCTGGACATGGGCCCTGTTAAGGGCTTCATTCTGCTCCTTCAGTTGTTGCACCAGGGTCTTGTGCTCCCTCAGGACTGTCTCAGCCACACCCAGCTGGCTCTGTAACTTGTCCCGGTCACCTAGGGCCACCTGGAGCTTGGCCTGGAGGTCCACCACCTCATTCTGTAACCGCTGGGCTTCCCCCTGATGAATTTCTAGCTGTGCTTGAGACAGGGCCAGATGGGTTGTGTTGACTTGGGGTAGGCTGAGTCCCTGGTGGCCTTTTTCTGCAGAGAGGGCCTCAATCAGCTGAATCTGCTGCTGGCACTGGTTCTCAAGAGCCCTGAGTTCCTGATCCTGGGCCTCTGTCCGAAGCCGGCACTGATCTGCCTCTTCCTGCAGTCGCCGGCACTCACCCTCCTTACTCTGCAGGGCAGCTTCCTTCTCTGCCACCTGGGCCCTCATGGTCTCTTTGGCTTTCCTCACAGCCATGAGACTTGCTTCCATCTGGTCTCCTAGGTGCCGGATGCTGGCCTGCTCAGCCTCCAGAGAGGCTAAGGAGCCCTGGATAGCTGCCTCTCGCTGCTGCAGCGCTGTGTAATCAGTTTGCAAGGCTAGAAGTTTGCCCTCTAAGAGCTGGTTGCGCACGGCCATGTTCTGCAGCTCCTTCTGTAGCTCCTGGTTGACCTTTCGCAATTCCTTCTGGTCTTCCTCTGGCACTGTGGTATCGTTTACCTCTTCTTTCTGGAGGTGTTGCTGCCCGTCTTCTGGCATCTCCCCAGTTTGTGGTGAGACAGAGCTCATGGAGGCCAGAGCCTCCCTATTCTTGCTGGCCCCATGCACTTCACCTAGCTGCTCTAGTGTGCTCACTTTCTGGCTGAGATGATCTCTGTCCTGTATAAGCTGCTTCTTCTGTTCCTCCAGGTCACTCACAAGCTGGCTCACCTGTGCTAACTGGGTCTCTAGGAGCTGCAGCTGCCATGTCAGAGACTTGGCCTCCTGCTGCAGCAGCTGCTTTTCTTCTCGATGCTGCTTTTCCTGCTGCCTGGCTTCTGCGAGCTCTTCCTCCACAGAGCTCAAGTGGGCCAGGGATTCCTGTAGCTGCTGGTGGAGCTGAGCTGACTCTTGCTTCTTCCCAGATAGCTCTTTCTGAAGTGGGGTCACATCCTTCACTAAGTGCTCTAGGTCAGCCAGGGCCTTTTCCTTTAGCTGAAGTTCCTTGGCCAGTTGCTCTAGTTTGATACTCTGCTGCTTGTTTAGTTCCTGGGCCTTGGTGTTTTCTCCTTCTAGGGCTTCAAGTTTCCCCTTCAGTTCCTGGAACTTCAGGGCCATGTCGGCAGGAACTGGCTCTTGATGAAACTTTGTGTCCGGAGCTGAATTTGCCTTCTTCTCTGCCCTGGCCAGGCAATCTGAGAGGCTGGCTAGAAGCTGATTTTTCTTACCCAGGGAGTCTCTCACAGCCTCAAGTTCCTGTGCCATGGTCTCAAACTGCAGGGTTGAGTGGCTATTTTCTTTCTTGTCTACATTCAGCTCCAAGGCCTGCAGACATGTCTGAAGCTTCTTCACTGTGGCTTGGGTGATCTCCCCCTGCTTCTGGAGCTCTGCCACTAGGCCCTTGAGGCCAGTGTTACCCTCCACTGGAGGGTATCCCCTCTCCGTCTCTGCCTGAAGCTGCTCCCCTTGCCTGCTGATCATCACTCGAAGGGCTTGGTTCTCCCTGTCCAGTTGCTGTACATGTTCTTGTAGCTGTTTCTCCCGAACCTCCAACTGGTCTAGCTCCAGTCGCATCTCATCAAAGCCTTCTAGTGCTTCATTGTTTAGAGGGCTGTTTAGGTCAAAACTGGAGGCCATCTCCTGAGTCTAAGGGGAAGTAAAAGACAGGAGGCTTTGGAATTAGGCTGCCCAGCTATTTGGATAAGTTTCTGCATTCTATGAAAGTAGAAGTAAAAACAAAGGGATTACCTGACCTAAGTAAGGTAAGCTTTTAGAGCTATTCCAAGATTAGAACCCTATGTTCAAAGCACCCACCATAAGGTCCAAACACATTCAGGGCCCTGCAAGTCCCACTAATAAGCAGACTCACATCTCTAGCCAGCCTCCATCAGCTTTATGACTTTAAAGGTTACTGGTTCTTAGAAAATCTAAACTCAGTTACACTGAAATTATGGTAAACCCACTGTATTATATACACCAGTAGTACCATGACATGACAAAAATCACAAAATGAGGTCAAAGAGTAGATCGATCTATCTATCTATCTATCTATCTATCTATCTATCTATCTATCTATCTATCTATCTAGTCTATCTGTGTTTTGAGACAGCCTTGGTTGGAACTTGCTATGTAGGCTGGCCCCACAGAGATCTGCCTGCCTCTGCCTCCTGGGTGCTGTGACTAAAGGCATGTGCCACCATGCCCAGCTCATTTTTTTTTCTGTTTTGAATGCTGTTTATACGTAAAGAGCGTTTTTGTACTGCAAATAAATTCCTATTATACGGTTACAATAGGTTCACATTTTTAGTACTTCCTGACCCACTGTTCTTAAGCAGTTTTCCACTTGCTCCTCCACTGAGGACCAGGATGTTTTTATTAACCCCTCTTACAGAAAAAAAGAGTTGAAGTTTCTAAATCAATTTCCCCTTCATTGGATGCTGGTAGGTAGCAGGGTCAATTCTATCTAATCTCAGTGCTAACCTACATCTTGTAAGACACTTTAAAACTACTTTAAGATTTCAGTTTTAAAAGATCTAAATTTTATCTGACTGTAAAAATCTAAATTCCAGGACATAGAGGATATAGCTTGAGGGGTTATATTACTCTGCTTAGAACAACAGTATTTGAAAGGACTACCCTTGAGTTGCTAGGGAAAAAGACGTACCTTGGCCACCCTAAGAGTCTGCTAACCCCAGCCTTCCCGACATTACCTGCAAATAGTTGCTCACTAAACTGCTCATGCTGGAACTTCGGCTGGGAGGTTTCCACAGGTAAGCAGAAGAGCTGGTGGCCAGCGTCCTCCTGTGGGGGCACAGCGCAGACAGAGGCAATGGTGCAGACAGTTACTAGGCAACCATGTGGCGGTAGAATATGGTCTGGATATCACTTGAGTAGGCTAATAAAGGGTTCTATGCTGGCCCTTAGAATGGTGGTACCGAGAGACAGTAGAACCTTTAAAAAGTGTGGCTAACATAAAGCCTTAGATCAATGCTATTTGAAGGCACTATGGGACTCTAACCTCCTACTATTTGGGACATATGATCTCTTACTTCTGCATAAAATACACCCCATCTCCTCTTCACAGGCCACCTACTCTGAAATATTAGTCAAGGGGATCCCTTGCCAGAGCCTGGACCATGTTGTTCAGGCCTTCCGCCTCTAAAACCGTGAACTAAACCTGTCTGCCCCCCTGCACCCAAAAGGAAGACTTTCAGACTCTTTTTTTAATTTAAAAATTTATTTTTATGTGTGACGGGGAGGCAGAAGAGGATACGATATTCTCTGAAGAGTGGTTGTGAGCCGCCTGACATGGGTTCTGGGATCTGAACGTGGGTCCTCTGGAAAAGCAGAAAGCATTCCTAACTGCTGAGTCATGCTCCCAGACTAAAAATGTCTTTTCTTTATAAAGTTAGTCTGCCTCAGGTTTTTCATTACAGTAATCAATGGATGAATCCTAGATGGAGCATCTAAAGAGCAGATCTCCATGGGCTGGTGGCAGGTACTCCATTGGCATGGGAACGAGAGATGGTCTAGCAGTTAGAAATGCTTGTTATGCAATCATGGAGACTGGAGTTTGAACCCCAGCACCTATGTGACAAACTATGGATCCCAGACATGCCTGAAATCCCATCTCTAAGAGAGGTGAAGACAGAGAGATCACTGGGGTTTTCTGGTTTCTAGCTTAGAGGAGAAAACTTGAGCCTTAGTTTCAGGGAGAAAAGGTGTAAGGTAATAGAGCGTAACTGGTGCCCTCCTCTGACGTCTCTTTACATGCACTCACATGCACACAAACAAATGGGTCCAAATACTATAGTTTCCTTTCACTGTCAAAAAAAAAAAGAAAAAAAGAAAAAAAATCCCACCGGGCGGTGGTGGCGCACGCCTTTAATCCCAGCACTCGGGAGGCAGAGGCAGGCGGATCTCTGGGAGTTTGAGGCCAGCCTGGTCTACAAGAGCTAGTTCCGGGACAGGCACCAAAGCTACAGAGAAACCCTGCCTCGAAAAACCAAAAAAAAAAAAAAAAAAAAATCCCCAGTAAATACAATTCCAATTTTTAGTTCAGTTCATAGGAACATTGCAATCTAATCTCACTTTTACCCTCCAGAATTAACCTATAGTTACTGAACTGTCAAACCTATCAGTCCCCTCAACCTTGCAAGGACCTCAGTCAAGAGTGCTGCACAACCACACGTGTGTGTGAGGTATGAGGGAGGATGGGGGAAGGAAACTCTTGGTAGATTAACACTGCAGAAAGGTGGAGCACCTGGTTAGGGTTATTCACGCAGTAGAATATTCTACACCGTGGGTCTTTATATAGAAACTATATAGAAATTAATAGTCTATATCACACCTACTCCTGCATGAAATCTGCCACAAAATATGTAAAGAGATGGGCAAAGTTGCTTCACATAGTGCTATGGTTTGCTTCTACCCCACAGCCACAGAATCGCAAGCGTAAACACAAGTAAAACTAAACACTGTGAAATGAAAAAAGGAAGTATGAAATAATAGCTTTCTCATGATTTACTGTGTATAACATTTTGAAAAAATATAACATACTATCATAAAATATTTATGAACATATATACATATAGTGAAAATAAAGCCTTGCTATTGACATGCCTCAACCATGGTGCTGTGTTTACTTTTGGAAAGGAAGAAGGAAAAAGATAACATCAGAAAGATGGGGTCTTAGTTAGAGCTACAGTATTTTGTTTCTTTAAAAAAAATAAAATATCATACAGAAGAAAGAAACCCTACACAATTCAGCCTGAAAGTTTTCCCTTTGGAAAATATGGTTAAGTTAAACTCAAGAAATAATGACAGAATGTAACCAATTGAACAACAACAAAACCAAACCAAAACCACAAACCTACCATCAACAAAAAAAACCTCATGAGTCAATTCTGAGATAAATGAATAAATAAATAGGGACAGCAGAAAAAATAGTCATGAAGCTATATGTAATTTACTGAGTAAGAAAATTTTCTGGGCAGATGGGTGACTGTCTTCAAAACATTGAACATCTCTTTCCTTTTCTTTTCAAAGAAAGCAGTTCCCCAAAGTACCTAGCGAATGTTGGCCAGGCGGCATCCAGGTCGTAGCCCCTTGACGCTAGATCAAACTGAACCTCAGTCAGCTCATACAGTTGGCCCACAATGTCAGAGCTCATCTTTGGCTTCAGAAAGGGGCTTCTTGCATAATACCAGTCACTGTAGAAAACATACACTGTGTGAATTGAGGAGAAACAAGGATAAGCAAAGAATAAATCTACTCAAGACCATCCTGTGTGGTTCTGCCTTATCAAACCCAGTGACTTGTGGTACTAAATAAAAAAACAAGCAAACCATTTTTTCTTTCACTGCTGGACCACCGTTCTTAAATAAGCTTTCTGTGCTTAAAAGAAACTGCTGCAATGATCTAGATGATTATTATTTATATAATATGCCTCTCCTCCAAAGAATTTGAGATACTTAAATCTTTGCAACTTGCCAAGAAAGGGCGACTGTAGGAGACAGAAAAATTCCTCTGGGAAAGATAACCTCAATTTTTATTCCTTTCACAGAATCCAACAAGACACACTGGGCTCATTTCTAACTTCTGTTCAGATATTAAAAGCAGAGGAGTACATGTCTATCCAGAAATGTTATATGTACATTGTTATTGTGGTTTATCCATCTCATATGAAGCAATAAGAAGTTAAAAAGATAGTACTGATGAGTTTAAAGAATTACTTGTTTCATATTTGTGGTCTGTGATGCTGACTTGTTTAAGGCAGTCTTTACAAAATACCTACAACAACATACTCTTCAAATCAAATGCACAAATGTTTTTAACTCACAAGTCTGACACACTGGTAAGAATGTAGATCAGTCTTAAAGGTGACAAAATAAAGCTAAACATTTGACTTATTTTTTAATTAAAAAGTCCTTTCTTTCATTAACTTAAATCTCTAAGGAGAGGCAGAGCAGAAATAGAAAAGAAATGCTGGGCAACTCAACGAGGTTCGGCTGGTGAGGCCCCGTTTTGCAGCAACGACCCTGATGCTCCCGCACCTTCACTCACTCAGGACTACCTCTCTCCTTTTCTGACTGTTTCCTGGTGAGGCTGCATACTTATGAGGTGCAAACACTGACAGAGGGGCAACCTGGATTCACAGCAGTCACCCTTCAGTCCCCAGGGAGCCTGGCTCTGTGGTAAGTGGGAGCCCAGACTGAGTAAAGGAGAACCACACCGGCAATTCTTGTGGGAAACACAGGAACACTGGCTCCAAGCTCCAGGATCCCAGTTGAGCATATGAGAGAGCTAGAGAAATATTCCCCCTCTTCACTCCTTTTACCCCACATGCTCAAAGACTGGTAGGAAATACAAAGAATAATGACTATACAGGAAACTGGAGGCACCGGCCACTGACTGACATAATTTCTGTTCACTGGTGCTATGGGGTTAAGCGCAGCACAGTCTTGCAATTACCTGGTCACTTTAGCGTTCATGAAGCACTGCTGCAAAGTGTCTGCCAACCTCTGGTGCACCAAAGAGTAGCGAATGAAAGCTCTGCCTTTTCCCAGAGATGTTCGAAGCTGAAAACATAGATCACATCGAGATGAACACTTGTGTCACAGAGGAATAGCAAAAGCCACGCATAGGACAAAACATGCTGCCCAACCCTACTCCGACACTGGTAGCCCTCATACCCATCAAAGGCCACAAAACATGTGGCACTGTCAGTCTAGAGTAAAGCCTGAAGTGGGCGGGCTTCTCCCAGGCCTCTCTGAGAATACTCTGCAGCAAACATGTGAAGAAAGACATGAATGAGAATCAAACGCCTGTACATTGAATGGAGTCACCCTTGTTCTTCTTCCTATTATTATCTCTGAGTCAGACAGGAAACTCCTTGATTTAATCTGGAGTAAGGTGTGGAATCTGGAGGTAACTGAACGGCTTCTCACCCAGAAGCTACACGAGGAAGGGATGGTAAACTTGGTTGGTACTGGGGGTGAGGCTCATGGAGAGAGGGGCCTCCAGGGCTTGGTTTGAACATGAGTGGAAAAGGGAAGAAGAGAAAGGGTGGGGTGGTGTAAGTGGAGCTCTGTAAAGGCTATGGCAGATGTTTAACAGTTCCCTTTGTAGCCAAAAAAACAAAACAAAACAACAACAACAAACCAGTTTCCATGTATCTGTTTATGCTTTCCTAACTGGCTGGTTTCTTTTCAGATAACCCAACTCACTGCATTTAGTCAACGTGCTATGGATGAGAATAGGGCTTTCCAGGAAGTCCTGTCATCAGGAGTAGAAGTCATAGAAAAGCCCAGGTATCCACAACTCTACAATGACTTTGATGACAAAACCATGTAAAAGCATGAAGGGATCCATCTGAGGTTTAGTCACTTACAACATGGCATGCTGGGCAGACTCTGCAATGAGGCTGCAATGCAGGGCCCCACTAGCTGTTGGCACATGGCAGCCAGACCAAGTGGATTGAAGAGAGCTGCCACAGAGGATACCTGAGACAGGTTTGAAAATTAAGATTCATAATCCTAATCTATCAATCCCAGAAGTAGTCAGGCATTCAAAACACACTGAATCTGGCTCTGCGCAGAGAAAGCAGGGCCAACACTCAGAATGTGGTAGGTGAGGGATGACGGTAGTCTGGTCAAAAAGGTTCTTACTATTCTCTACTGGATTGAGACAGGAAGTATGTGGTACACCAATAAGGCACCAAGAGTGCTGTAAACATCCCAGTAGCAGCTAACATCTTTAACTCAGAGGTATTTCTGACTTTGAATCGTTCTTATTGATGACTCAAAAAAATAATATGAGGTGATTTTAAAAGACATGAAACCTCATGAACGATGGACGTCATAAGACATTTCTTCATGTATCGTCACATGGCTTAAACGGAGGCGGGCAGAAGACTGACCGGAAATAAAGCACTAAGGGATGCTTCCAAATAGTCACCCCAATCGGTGTTTAGAGTACAACCTCGACGCCAACACCATGTTCACTTTCTCCTCTAATGAGTTAGATGACAACAAAGTGCTTAGTGGGGACAACTGGGCAGCCAAAAACAGCTAGGCAAGGTGGCCACCCACATACCCCAAAACTGGAGTAACGGTGGAATCTAATCAGACCTCTGCCCACAAAACTACTCTTGTCTGTAAGCTCTGCGAGCAGGAGTGAGTTCTTATTCCTCCTACATGACAGTAAAACTTCTTAAGTGGTAACATTTGAGCTCATTAGCGGAACAGATGAATATAAAGGGAGCTAGCTACTTACTTTAAAGGGACTTTATAAATGTTCTTCAGGAAAAGGAATATTTCCTTTGTACTGAAAATGAAAGCAACTACATACCCCCTTTAAAAAATGAAAAAAAAATGTTTTAGATCATAGGTCAGCTTTTATTACTCAATTCGTGGCATTCTTGGCATCCCATATATACCACGCTGAAAAACACACACACAATAGCAGCACAGGATGGGGGACCTGCAAGGAACATGGCTGCCTCTGCTTTAAACCAGACCACTGTGCCACGAGCCTGGAGCAGAGCTGGTCCACAACACCTCTAAAACCTGCATGAGCAATCCAGAAGTCAGCACACAGCTTTCTTAACTTCTTTAAATTCTATCTGTGTGGCCTCAAAAGGTCTGAATGCATTATGAAGAGAGGAAAAAAAAACAGCTTAAAAAGTAGATTGTTTCAGAAAACACTTCATGACCCTAGTAATGAAGACTATCTTGTTGTTAGACTTCACTTGCCCAAAGTCATACAAGTGAAGGCTTCAGCGATGATAAAATGGGTGAGGAATGGGAGAAGAGGGTGAAGTGGGAATCTTTCTAGATTTCTGATATATTACACACTGCTTTACATCATGAACTTGGTTTTCTCACCAACCTCACAAGACCAAACCACACCATAGTGACATTAAAGATGCAAGCAGGACAAACACTTCAGAACTGCCATCTTTCCTTGCAGCTGGCAGAAATCACTGAGCCTCTGAAGCCGCTGTGGCCAATACTGTTTCCTTACATAAGAACAAATACCATAGCCGGGCGGTGGTGGCGCACGCCTTTAATCTCAGCACTTGGGAGGCAGAGGTAGGTGGATCTCTGGGAGTTTGAGGCCAGCCAAAGGGCCTGTGGGCTGACTTTAAAGTGATTTCATACTTGGCAGAGATGCTGACAAGACAAAATGCACAAACTTTTCTAGCATTTCTCTAAATTTCGGGCCCATAAACCATGTATGTGTGTTTCACTTCTGGGCTGACTGGGCTGATGAGAGAGGGATCACTGGGATGGGGAAAGGAAAGAGGTATGAAGAAAACCATCTGAGGTTTAGGCACTCACAATACTCACCACACGGTGTGCTGAGAAAACTCTCTATGGACCTTAACACAGGACCTTCTGGGGCAAAGCACCCAAGATACATGGATTAAAGGGACTGCCGCAGAGGTCTCCAGACAGGATTGCAAATTAGGATCCACAAAGGAAGAAGGGTGTGTAGTGTGGTGTGGTGTGTTTGTATTTCTTTAGAAGTTTGTAGTAAGACAAACCCAGGGGATAAAGGAAGTTACTTAGCAGCTCTGCAAGATAAGAAATATCCTTGAGGCGGGCAGTGGTGGCGCACGCCTTTAATCCCAGCAGAGGCAGAGGCAGGTGGATCTCTGTGAGTTCGAGGCCAGCCTGGTCTACAAGAGCTAGTTCCAGGACAGGCACCAAAGCTACAGAGAAACCCTGTCTCGAAAAACAAAAAACAAAACAAAACAACAAAAAAGAAATATCCTTGAGACCCTACCTTACTCTCCTCACTTCAAATCTAAGTTTCGTGACCAAACTGCTGGAAAAGTAGTAGCCCGGAAACTTTAAATTTTTTCGGGCTTACATTTATTCATTCATTCATTTTGTATGTGTGTGCAGGTCATGTATGTGTCATGGCACACGTGGGGAGGCCAATCTGCAGGAGTCTGTTCTCTCTTTCAACCATGTGAGTTCTAGGGATGACACTTTGGTGGCGAATGCCTTTACCTAAATAATTGTCATGTAAGTCCCCTGACCTAGCAACTCTAGAGAAAATGATTTTTTAAAAAAAGGGAAGTAGTGTTGCACACTTCCACAGGGTGCCATGAACAGACTTTCCAGTGTGGATAGCCCAGTTGGAAAGTAACATTTAGGACCCAGCCCATTTCTGCTTAGTCCACTCTCAAGTAGTTTCCATGAGTCTGAATCATATAACAGGCACCCAGTGTGCCTTGACGAGATTTCTTGTCTTCTTGGCCACCCATAGACTTCATGCTACATCTAGCTATTTATAGAAGAGGTGTCCACAAAGAAGGTTTAGGCAGGCCAGTGTTAGACAGGTGTTCTTCTCTTCATGGCTTAGTTTACCTCAGAGATGGACTTGACAAATCGGATCCCATCATTTGCTCCCTTCACCTTGGCTAGGCACGCACAGAAGTAATCCCAGTAGTCCTTCTTGCTACCCAGGAGGCTAGCCTTCTCCTTCTGATCAAACTGGGCAGAAAGGGAACAGAGAGGAAGTCTGAGCCCACAGCTGTTCATGCTCTATTAACACAATAAATAAAACTAGTTTCCTGGGAACAGGCATTGAGGGAGGTCGCTTGATGGTCTTACTTTAATTTATTGGCAAATCAGAGTATGTTAATATCAAAACAAGAGTGTTTTAATTCGCCAACTTTAGATGTGTAAACCTAGGCTAGTAAATACCAGCTCAAGGTCATATAACTAGCAAGATTCAGGAGCAATAGTTATCCCAAAAGATTTATCTCTTGGTACTTGCCTAGCATATTCAAAGCCTGAGTTGTGGTTCCAGTATAGCAAGCTAGATTGATTAACAGAAAAAGAAAGGAAGGGAGGAAGGAAAGGAGGGAGAAAAAAAAAAGCAAGAAGGAGAAAATGAAAGTAATGAAAGGCAAAAATTATCATAGTTTGGTAGAAAACCTCCAATTTTATAAGGAAATTCAAGTGAAGAGTCTTATGTTAACATTCAGAGTATTAACTGTGCTGTAACTTAGGGAACTGAGGCAATGACATTTCACCTATTACTCAACTCTCAATACAATCTTAAAATACATGGAAAATTCAAATGAATGTCAGTGTTGAGTACTTTCAAATTCAAAATCAAAATGGGCTTACCTGGAAAAGAAAAAAAAAACAAATAAAGTGAACTCTCATAACCAGCTGGTGTCAAAGAAACAGGTGGAGGCATAAAGTGAGCCCTTCCATGCCTGTCTTTATTCCTAGTGGTCCTCTCACCCGATGTGATACTACAAAGTATGGTAGGTATCTTTCTATACCATTTATAGAATTTCTCCCTGGTTATGGAGTAAGATTTAAATCTAGGTAATAAAACAAAACCCAGAAAAAATAGTAATGCCTCATACAATTGTAAAAGAACTGCAGGTCCATTTCTTTCCTGCCTATTTCAAGAGTATGCGCTTCCTAAATCAGCAGAGCTGTCTGGGTCAAATTAAGTAGACACAAAAGTCACACCATGAAAATGTTGAAAGAATGTGGCCGAGCAGGTGTTGGCAGAAGCCTTTAATCCCAGCCCAGCCCTTGGGAGGTGGAGGCAGGTGGATCTCTGTGAGTTCAAGGCCAGTCTGGTCTACAGAGCAAGTTCCAGGACAGGCTCCAAAGCTACACAGAGAAACCCAGTCTCGAAAAACCAAGAGAGAGAGAAAAAAAAAAAAAAAAGAATGTTTGCCTGACTAATCCTGATTCGGCCAGCTCCACAGTAACCATGCTTGAGGAGCAAGGCTCTGAAATGGGCCTTAGATGGTCTTCCAGAGTCTGCACTCTTGGAAATCACCTTTATGCCTGGCTCGTGTACATACACTGTGTCTTCTATAAGGGTGACCCTACAGGGTTCAACACGTTTTCAAAGGGTGTAAGTAACCCTACCCTACAGTTAAGAGCTTTGTTGGACAGGCCTGTTACTTGTTTTAACATGGTTTAAATCTTAGGGGAATGTTTTCAGTTCCCAGAACGTGCTGACTTGCACAGGAGGACGAAGCTCTTACGACTGCTCTGACTCTTGGTCTTACCACAAGGGCTTAATTGCTCCACTGTGCTTTCTGAACCACATCCTGGAAACCAACAGAAGTCACTCACATAGGGAACAAAAGACTACTGTGACAAAACCAACACATGACAGATGCCACTTACTTGCAGAAGATACTCAAGTTTATAGGAAAACTTGTGCAAGCTGGTGCTGTCATCTGTGATCGGTTCTCCTCCTTCTTTAAATTCATTGCTTAGTTCTGTCACTGCATCTTTAAGACAACAGACAGAAACATGTGACTAGAGACACAGATATGTTTACTTTACATTTCAACAGTCCTAAAATTAGCATGCATCTGATATGTACTGAAAAGTAAGTCTGAGAAAGCAGAAATAACACCAGGAAGCACTAGGATAAGTGGTCAATGGTGGTCACCTTAGAAACACACATCCCCGTGAATCCACTACCAAGCTAGCACTATACATATACACAGCCAGTTACCAAATGGTTGCTATGTGGATTAATCAACCGCAGTGTCACAAAACAAGACAGACTTGGGACAGTGAAGGGCAAGAAAATGGCCAGGATAAAGTCCGTTTTGCTTTGTGATTAAAAAAAAAAAATACTGGGTATTCACAAAGTAAAAGTATTTATTTAACATTTTAGCAGCTCTGGATTGGGATTCATATTATATGTGTTGAAAAACAAGGCAATACTTTATATGCAATGATGCATTAAATGAGAAACATACCTAAAAACAAGGCATCAGTTTTGGAGGTTCCAAATGGTGGCCTCTGTCATTTAATAGTTTGACATTCTGTTTCATAACTTGCCCCCACAGGAATTAAACCATACCTAAAAGACCGCTCTTTGAAGACAGCATTGAGTTCTTCTCAGGGTGGCCATGACTCAATCAACCTGTCACTAGACCCTAGAAAGGTTCCATTTCTCTTCAACAGTGGGAGGCAAGTTTCTAGCACAAACCGCAGCATTCACTACAACCCTATCAGCACAGGTTAAATGCAGGTTTCAGAGCATCAGCAAGTACAAGTAACAGTAACAATGGGTGCCCAAGAGGGCTCAGACCTTTACATGTATTCTTCATTAGTAGAGTGTCTGTCTTATTTCAACAAGCCAGAGATGTTATGCAATATGCATTCTAATTTTAGCACTAAGAAAGATGAAAAAATTAAATACAACATAGAATCCAGGAAATCTCTTATTATCACCCCCATTTTAGGATCCTTCTGGCAAACAGCAGAGCTCTAAGCAGACACTGGTCCTTTGACCTCTCCAGTTGCGGATTGCTTCCTTTGTTTGTTGGCTGGGTTTGATGACAGGATGTAGGTTTCAAGACTATTGAAACAACTGTGAAATTTCAGTGAAACTAATACAGATTCATAAAGCTTTCTTTGAAAACTAGCCACCATGACATAGAAAAGACCATTTTGTGGTTAAACTGCTAAGGACCAATGGCAAACACAGATTTGCACAAACTGTCATTTATTTTCTCTGTATGTCTGTATAAATTTAACAAAAGAAAACGAAAATGAAAGTCTAATGTGGTCACGTGCTAAGACTGATGGTGTATAACCCCAAGCTTTGTTCCATACTGGTTCTGTGGTAGTAAGAAAGTCAGATACTCCACTGTGAAAAACGGTAGCAGCAATGGCACCTACCTCATAGGACCAAACAAGAAGATTCTGTAAGTTACTCCCAGTATCATGTATCTGTATACACAATGGTGTCTTATGTACATGAAACACCATTCAAAGTATGACTCAAAATATATTGGATTTTACTGCATTTCATTTATCAAAGTTTTAAATTAGGGATGTTCACCAACATAGTGTTCCAAAATTGCAAAATATCCAAGAAAACTACAAAATATAAAAATTAAAATCAAAATCTGGACCACCTTTCAGATAATGGACACTCAACAGGCATCAGCCATGAGAGGTCCCAAAGCACTGTAAAGAGCAACTCTGAGAAAATGGGTTGGACCTTGTTGGGTTTTGATCTCCAATGCAGACTATGGACTGCACTGAGGCTATCCCCGACCAATAGCCTTTACTACAAGATTTCTACTTGTTGGTCAAGTTCAAGCAATCAGGAACTGTGACCTCTGCAGGCACAGCTTACGGTGAATGTGCTGGAGCTCCGGAGGCTTACAAAAATCAACCCCGGCAGAGTTGGGGATGAGAAACCTACTAAAATCTGGTCCTTGGGAGACCATCTAAAAGGGTAAAACTTGGGTTTCTGCAATCCACAAAAATGCTGTTATTCTGCCAAGGTCTATCTAGCTTCAGGTTTGCCTGTTCCCCTCTCTTGCCTTTCTCCAATGGGGAGAGCCACAAACCCAAGTGACCCCCTTAGGAGTCCTGGAGGTAGGAGGCCTGGTACTAAAACACATGGGACAATGGCCACCAGTGGCCAGGGCTGGTGTGGGGAGATACAACATGAAACCTTCAATTACCTCATCTGCCTTCCTGCTTAAAGAGAGGAGAATGTTCCTTTCCCTAAAAGCCTAGCTCACCAAAGCCCAGCAAAGGCAACTAAGCAACTTAAAGCACCAGTAACTGAGACCAGCCCAGTCCTCCTAGTGTTAATCCGATTTTGTTCACAAACCAGAGGTGCTGCTCTGAGAGGAATGTGAGGTGAGCCCTCCCAGCTGCACAGAGGCTGGAGATCTGAGAACCAAATATTTCAATACGATGTATACTGTGTGTGGGAAAGAGGAAAGGGCTGAATTCTGACCATCAACAGTCAGGGCACAAGTCCAAGTTCCTTAAAACAAAGCCCAGTTCACTAGCCACTCAACCAGACCTTGAAGATCACGGATGATCCTCTGGAGCTGGGTCTCAGCACTGCTAGAAGCCATGGTGTTCCTCTTTCTTGGAGTGTCACTTCAGTCAGCAGTGGTCAGACTCCATGCTGGCACCTGCACAGGGAAGAGGCCACAGTTTAAAGAATGCAGAGAACCTTTTTGTGTGAATCTTGTTAGAAGGTACTCTCAGGACTGCTTCTGACATACTTATATTCTGACACCATGACATGCTCTAGGTTGTTCTGATTGGCTTTTCTGTCAACTTGACACAGCTAGAGTTATCAAAGCGGGAACCACAAGCATGAGAATGCCTCTAATGACTGGCCTGTGGGCAAGACTCTGGGGCAGTTTCTTATTTAGTGATTGATGTGGGAAGGCCTAACCCATCCTGGCCCTGGATGGTGTAAGATGGCAGGAGGAACAAGTCAATCAACAGCACTCTTCCATGGTTTCTGCTCCAATTCCTGCCTTGACTCAATGTCTGGAGAGTTTTAAGATAAAATAAACTCTTTCTTCCCCAAGTTGCTTTTGGTCACAGTCTTTATCACAGTAATAGAAATCCTAACCAAAACACAGACTTAACAAGAAGCAAGATCAACTTAATAGCAGAGCTGGTTCTCTCTGAACTGCCCACCATGTCTCTTGGGACAGAACTGCCTCATATTTGATTCTCAGAAAAGTCTCCAGTGGATCCCTTACCACTTCCCACAGAGTTCATACCTGCTGATTTCAAGTTCTGACATCCCTAAACCCTGACGCGCCAGCTCTGTTCAGAGCCATTTTTTTTTCATATTTCTTTCTAAGGAACAGTCAGAAACTTCTAGTCAGGCAATGTTGAGGGGTTGGAGGGGGCAATAAGTAGGGGATACATACCCTAGGACTTCTGATAGGGACAGTCTGGCCTGCCTAGTAGAATGTGGCTCCTCCACTGTCAGCACTTTGAGCCTCTTCTGCTCTGTGTTCCGCTAAACCCGAGGGTGATACTCCCTGACCTGTCTGTCACCCAGGAGCCTACACAGCCCTCCCTCCAGTCCAGGGACAAGGTACTATTTTAAGCTCAGTTAGAGTTTTCTCCAGCTGGAGAGTCCCCTACTTAGGCAGCTGTTAATGTCATTTAAGGACATGGTAGTGTTTGAAGATTAACAAAAAGGAATGTGAACACCTGAACGGAAGTTATGACCATGCATTTGGACATTGAAGCCTTTCAGAAGCTTTAATCCACCCTTTAGGTATCCTGTGTGAAGGTGCAATGTCTGCTGTAAGGACACTAACAGTCACACTACTGACAGCCTGTCCAGGGCTCTGGTTCATATTGTACACAGAGCAATTACTTGTAGAAATCATTATGATAAGGTAAACACCTTTCCTGTTTACAAAGGAAAATCAGATGTTTTGTAACATAAGGCCCAAGGCCACTGAGTAGAACTGACTTGATTAATGTTGTATGTGATTTCAAACCTGCTGAACGCTTAGGACAGCACAATCATTATTACAGTACAATGACTCAACACTCTACTGGCTCCTAGGAGCCATCTTGAACTTCAGTGCTTCCCAGTAACATGGCATCCTGAGTGTCTAACATGTGCCAGCTCTCTCACTCATTCAGTGCTATGGCTTCCTTCTGCTTCAGGAGGTGGGGCTTCCAAGGAAGCCCTGGAAAGGAAATGGCCCTAGCCATAAACAACTCCAAATATTTATAAGCATTCTAGTGACTGGTCAGGCCAGCATAGGCTTGTCACTGAACAGATGCCTAGGGTCTATTTTTAACTCACAAGCCAACACAGTTGTGACTCAGTGGAAACACACAGAGCTTCTCAGGCTCAAGAAGAAAGAGCCAGGCACTCAGCTAGACCACAGTCTCACGAATGCACGAGGGTCAGGGTTCAGGAGTTCTAGAAACACTGTTTATAAAGGCCCCCTAAAAGTATTGGTACCATTTATCAAGGATAATAGACAGGAGACAGGAATGGTTTATGAGAAGCCTGCTTTCCATCCCAATGTTTCCCCCAGGTCCCATGCTGAACACAGAAACCAGGTAGGGACCAGTCATAGCACCAGAGAAGGCCAGAGCCTAGGCTCAGTCAGCCTCTTCACACAAGGGCCAGGCAGACAGTGTCTGCCTTAGTTTGCTTTCTATTACTGTGATAAAACAGGAAGACCAACCTGGGCTGTTGTGGCTCACACCTTTAATCCCAGGTATTGAGAAGGTAGAGGCAGGTGGTTCTCTGAGTTCAAGGCCAGCCTGGTCTGTGGAACGAGTTCCAGGACAGCTTGAGCTACACAGAGAAACCCTATCTTGAAAAATCAAAAATCAAAAAACCAAACCAAACCAGACCAGACAAATCAAACCAAACCAAACAAAAAACCCCTATCAAGACCAAAAACAACTTATGGAGGCAATGGTTATTTCAGCTTACAGCTGCAATTTATCATGAAAGGAAATCTGAACAGGAACTTGAGATGGAAATCCAGAGGCAGGAACTGAAGGAGAGGTCATAGAAGCACACCACTTACTAGCTTGCTCCTCATGGCTTGCTTAGGAACTGCTTTCTTATTCAACCCAAGACCATTTGCCCAAGGGTGGCAACTGCCTGCAGTAGGCTGGGTCCTTCTCGCACCATTCATTAAGAAAATGCTCCTATAACTTGCCTCTGGGACAATCTGATGGTGACATTTTCTCTATTGAAGTTCCCTCTCCCCATGTAACCCTGGCTTGTGTCAAGCTGACAAAACAAACAAAGAAACAGAAAATGAACTCTAACCAGGACAGTTCCTATTGGTGGGGTAAGGATGACTCTGTATCCTCCCCATTTACCTGTGGCCCTATCATCACCCTTTATTAGATGCTTTGTAAAGGCAGAGAGCCTCACAAAGTACAGTCTAGTTTTGTTGAAGCTGAGGTACTGTGCTGGCTAGTTTTACGTCAATTTGACACAAGTTAAGAGTCATCTGAGAATGGATGGAGATAGAGACAGAGACCCACACTGGAGCACTGGACTGAGCTCCCAATGTCCCAAGGAGGAGCAGAAGGAGGGAAAATATGAGCAAAGAAGTCAGGACCACGAGGGGTGCACCCACCCACGGAGACAGTGGGGCTGATCTATTGTGAGCTCACCAAGGCCAGCTGGACTACGACTGAAAAACCATGGGATAAAACCGGACTCTCTGAATATGGCGGACAATGAGGGCTGCTGAGAAGCCAAGGACAATGCCACTGGGTTTTGATCCTACTTCATGTTCTGGCTTTGTGGGAGCCTAGCCAGTTTGGATGTCCACCTTCCTAGACCAAGATGGAGCGGGGAGGACTTTGGACTTTCCACAGGGCAGGGAACCCTGACTGCCCCTCAGACTGGAGAGGGAGAGGGAGAGGAGTGGAAGGGAGGGGGAGAGGAGAGGGAGGAGGGGGGAAAAGGGAGACGGGGAGGGAAATGGGAGGCGGGGAGGAGGCGGAAATCTTTTTTTTTTTCAATAAAAAAATTATATTAAAAAAATAAAATAAAACAAATAAAACTCTGAAAGAGACGCAGTAAGAATCCCCGAAGACCAGCGAACCTTTCAAATTTGAAGTCAAATAGAATCAAATCCTTTTTTTTAAAATAAAAAATTAAAAACACACACACACACACACACACACAAAAAGAGTCATCTGAGAGGAGGGAGTCTCAAATGAGAAAATGCTTCCATGAGATCAGGCTGTAGGCAAGCCTGTAGGACATATTCTTAATTAATGACTGATGTGAGATGGCCCAGCTATCTGTGAATTACTGGTGCTGGGTTCTGTAAGAAAACAGATGAGCAAGTCAAGAGAAGGCAGGAAGCAAAACTTCTCCATTGCTTCTGCACAACTTCCTGCTTCCAGCTTCTTGCTTTGCCCGAGTTCCAGTCCTGCTTTCCTTCAGTGATGAACAGTGATGTGGAAATATAAGTCCCCAAGTTTCTTTTGGTCATGGTATTTCATTACAGCAATATTAATCATAAGACAGAAACTGATACCAGGAGTGGGGTTATTGTTTTGACCATGCTGTTTTGGGGAGGTCTGTGGAAGGACTTTGGAACTTCGGGCTAGAAAAGCCATTGAGTGTTGAGACTTCAGGGGGCTGGTCTGTAGGCACTTGGAAGACAATGCTGATGATGGAGGCTGAGGAGAGTCTGTTAAAGACTCTATTAATGCCGTTTGCTATTTTGAACCAAGAACCTGTGGTTCTAGTCAGCTGGGGCTGAAGTATTGACTGTGATTAACAAGGGATCATCTGAGAGATTCAATTTAGAATCTCAATTTAGAAAATGCCTCTATAAGATCAGGATGATGACAGATTTGTAGGGTATTTTTTAAATTAGTGATTGATGTGGAAGGGCTGCAGGCATTGTGGATGGGGACACTTATGGGCTGGGGTTCTGGGTTCTGTAAGAAAACAGGATAAGCGAGCCAGGAGGAACAAGCCAATAATCAGTACCTCTCTGTGGCTTCTGCATCAGCTCCCACTTCTAGTTTCCTGCCCTGCTTGAGGTCCTGCCATGACTTCCTTTAGTAAAGAACTATAATGCAGAAGTATAAGCCAAATAAACGCTTTCCTCTTCAAGTGGCTTTTGATCATGGTGAAATATCATAGCAATAGTAACCTTATCTAAGAAGCTATCTACCAAGGAGAACAAGAGAAAAACATCTGGCCGATCCTGACAAAATACAAGTGGCCCATGCAGGGCTATGGATAACAACTCCTGGGTACTTGGTAATAAAGAGAAATGAATCACAGAAATTACAACCAGGCATTGAGCCTTCAAGGTGTTCTGAGTTTAAAGAAACCCCTAGAAAGGCTAAATACTTTATGCTTATGTTAATACAATGATTTTCCAAAGAGAAATCAGAATACTTGTTGCAGAAAATGGAGAACAAATGGGTATAACTGCAGAAGGGCAGGTAATGGTAGAGGAAATGGAACAACAGTGCTCCATGTCTTGTTTATAGTGGCAAGTGCCAAAATTCACATAATGAGCTGGACTTGGTAGTATAAACCCATAACCCCAACAGCTGGGAGGCTGAGACAAGAGGACTGCTGTGAGTTCAAATCTAACCTGTTCTATATAAACAACTGGGCTATACAGCAAGACTCTAT